TCAGACTATGCGCTGCAACGTCGACATGCTCAAAATCATCCAGCTCGGTATAACACTCTGCGATGAGAATGGCGATTCACCAGAAGTATCGACGTATCAATTCAACTTTGCTTTCAGTCTGTCGTACGTTGCGGCTCTTGCAGATGGGTAAGCTCGGGCTGATGAAAGGGACTTAGCGAGGACATGTTTGCGCCTGATTCGATCGATCTTCTAAAGACATCAGGGATTGATTTCAAGCGTAATGAGGAGGAAGGAATCGATATCGAGTACTTTGGAGAGTTGCTTATTACATCTGGCTTGGTCCTGTTTGAAAACATCAAATGGGTTTCCTTCCACTCGTACGTTTGCCGTCCTTTCCCACCCGATCCCATCCTGACGAGTGCCCAGTGGCTACGACTTTGGCTACCTCCTCAAGGTCCTGACGTGCGAACCCCTCCCTGCCGACGAGACCGACTTTTTCCGCTTGCTGTTCATTTGGTTCCCGTGCATCTACGATATCAAACATATCGTGCGGTCGATCAAGACGCTGAGAGGAGGTCTGCAAGAGATTGCCGAGTCATTAGGCGTAAGTTTGGACCCCGATTGAGGCTATGCGTGCTGACAGAGAGCAGGTGAAAAGAATAGGGCCCCAACATCAGGCTGGTTCAGATTCGCTGCTTACAGCAGCCGTATTCTTCCGTATCCAGACCATCTATTTTGACGGGCATCTGAGTGACGACTATTACAAGTGAGCACCTCCCAAGATTGACATGATGAGGCGCTGACTCGGCGCAGGAACTATCTGTATGGCTTCTCATCAGGTCGGCTGGGTAAAAACTCTCCAGCGACGCATGGAGACAATCTAGTCTTGGTAGATAAGCCATACTAGGACCCCACTTCTTACGCGCTTCCATCTTGAATTTTGTCAAGTCATAATCGGCCTCTCGCCATTGAACCATTGTATAGTCGTCACCACTGCATGTACCCCTTCTTATGGCTCTTCAACGGTTAACAGACAAGTAACTCGATATTCATACATGGTAGCTCTCTACACGCTTAGCCGGACTATTGAACAAGATTACTATTGTGATACAGATCCGCATTTCCGCAACCTTTGGTTTCCCCCATCTACCCTCAAGGCCTTCTCCTTGAACCTGAGAGCATCTACGCCCATCAATCAGTTTACGTTCCCAGGGACACGAGCTGAACTCACCGGCATGGTCCCCCGATCTCATCGCAATACCCTCACACTCTCCCAGTTTCTCTACCACATAATCAAACAGTGTTTCCCTATACGGCCCACACAGCCCATGTTTATTCCTCCACGAGCCTTTATCACTCCCCATCGCCCCTCTTTTACTCCTACTCTCTTCCTCCAGCACCGCTATCCTGTCCATCCACCTTCCCACCAAGTCTGCCGCCCTATCAACAAGCTCCACAAACGCCTGCTGATCCGCCTGATGCGCCGGCGAGAGTAGATGGATCCTCGCACAGATCAACAGTAAAAAAATGATTGGCGCATCTTGATTCTTCCACCCTTCCGCTTCTTGCCCTGCCGAAGCATGTATACTCCACCTATCCGGTACGATGCTCTCCACCCACACACACATGCCTGTGATCTCCTCGCATACTTCTGGGTACGCTTCTCGAGGGGATCGGGTGGGATCGAGGGTGGAGAGGAGGCGGTAAGACATGGGGCTCTCGATCTCGCGGGAAGAGACGGTGCTTGCGCGGTGAAAGAGGTGGAGGGAAGCAAAGAGGAACGAGTAGAGGGAGTCGATACCTCGGTGGTCGTCTGTGAGGGGACCGTTGTAGAGGGTGCGGAGGTTAACGTCAGGGACTTGGAGGATGGTGCCCTGTGACAACTGTAAGTGGGATTCCCGCGCAAAGGGGGTGGCTTACGTTGAGATAGTCATCGGGTGGCCGAGGTAGGGGCGTAAGGATCATTTCATCCCTCAGCAGACTCGGCCACGGCGTCCGTAGCCGCCTTGCCCTCTCGTTACCCCACGCACTCCAGCTGCACAGCATCAGCTTTGTCCCACACAGACACGGGAATACTGACAAGGCGTGTATGCGCTCACACAGTTCCCATTGACTTTGTGGCGGTGGTAGAAGCGATGCGGACGATGTGCTCATCTGACTCTCTTGCAGTACCGACGAAGGGATTTTGTGTAGCTCACAAGCCACCGCAAGGCTACTCTCGTCAGCATACTCTCTTTCAATTCGAGACGACTCACGAGATAGCCTTTGAGCTCCAGACGAATCCCTCCAAATCTCTGCCTTTCAAGAACAACCATTTACTCAGATTCTTACTCGCATTGACAACATCCACCAACCTCCGCCTACCCCCATCCTTCTCCCCTTGCGCCTCCCTCATGGCCCTCTCAACAAGCCTTGTCGTGATATCATACAAGCTCTCCTCCAGACTCTTGATTGCCGGGATATACGACGTTGACGAAGCGATGGTGTACATGGAAAACAAAAGAGCCGGGTGGGGTTGAGAGGGAGACGGGAGGGAGAGCCGTTGGTGGAATTGGGCTTCAGTGAAACATTCGGATCCGAATCTGCATCGGGGCGGGTCGGGACAGAAGAAGAGATTGAGGCTGGGTCACGTCAGTACGGAACGACCGAGGATAGAACGGGCGTACAGGTAGTCACGGGCGCTTTGAGAAATGTCGTCCTCTGTCAAATCTCTTTCTGGCCCATCACCGTTTCCGCTCGTAGCGGGCGTAGACGTCTGGAGCGGCGGAGGATAACGCATGAAATGGGGTGTCGAACTGGCCTGTCTTTGGGGTACGATGTTGATCGAGCCAGAGGACGTGTTGCCGAAATCATAGTCTGCTTGCATGGGTAATGTCTGTCACTGTTAGAACGCAGTATATGAGATCTGATGTTAGACTCACTCCAAGAGAACTGATACGCATCCTCGCAAGCCCATCATCTCCCCGTCCCAGCCCAGCAGCCGAGCCGGGGACCGCCCTATTCTTCTGAGCTGACGGGCTCCAGTAATTCCCCTCGCCTACATTATTATGGGACACAGTAAATGGTGATTGTCCAAGAGGTGCCACAAAACCTGGGGAAGCTGCAGTCTGCTGAATATGTTGCGGTGTAGTCCATTCGAGTCCAAGACCCGCTGTCGGCCACGCCCATCCTGCAAACTGATCGCTATACCCATCCGGTTCGCCTTTTGCTGCACCGAATGCGGGCGAAGGTGCAAAATTCATTTCTACCGTCATCCCCATGGCCTGCCTGGTGTACAGCCCCGGGTCCGGTGTGCCGCTGTCCCTAAACGAGTCGGCATAGAGCGGTTCGTGGACATACGGCAGACTGCCGTTGCTGACTGGAGGGCCGCTGGCATAGGGCGTGACGAGGCCCTGGGATATTGAACTTCCGTACGAGCTTGTAGATGGTCGTGGGTTTTCTGGGGGGATAGAGTCGGATTTCGGATCTTCCATCTGCGCTGTGGCGATCCTCAGCCGCCGTTTTCACACTGAACAGCAAGACGTACCGAGTTCTGCTTCTAGCTTCTCGATTCTAGTAGCGGGCCTGCCTGTATCATAGACACAGCTGTCTGAACGTTTCGAACACTGGTCGCAGACGGGCTTGTCGGCTGAGCATTTCTGTGGCGTGTCAGCGTATCGCGAGTGTACAAAAAGAGGACTGACAAGCTTCTTTGCCCTGCAGCGGAGGCAGGCATCTCCGCGCCTGAGGGGTGTGACATGGGCTGGACAGTCAGCGAGGGCAGAAGGAGATGGAGCTGAGTCACCTTTTTTGGGGGGGAGCTGCTTCTTTGCCCTGTGTGGTTCGTGGTCGTCGGCGCGGACCGCCTTGCGTCTCTTTGTGCGTTCTTGCATGGTGCTGGGGGGAGAAGGGAGAAGGGGGCAGTATGGGTTATAAGTGTTATAAGCCTCGCTGGGCCGAGGTGGAGGTAAAGGCACTGGGTCCGAAGGAAGACGGGGCGAGGTGTTTGGCATTATATACGTGTGTGGGAAGCGAAAGTAGGGGCGAGGACGACTCGCGGCATGCCGAGCTGTGCCTTTTGCTTGCTCATCTCCGCCCGATCGCACAGCTTCACCGCCAGAACCATATCACTCCGCCTCCTATACATGCTAGTCCTTCTTCTGTCCATGTCCATGTGCTTCGTGCATGGCTCAGAGTGGAGTGCAGACTCCAGCAGCAGGAGATGCACAATGCACACACCCGACACAAGCTCAGGGTGCAGTCTCACCTTCTGGCGATCACCCGAACCCTAATCCCGACGCCCGAGGGGAGATCTACCGTACAGGACAACCATCACCCAGTAGCACCTCGCCCAGTGGCTTCAGGGATACTCCATAGATACTGCCACGACCCCCATCCCTCTACCAAAAGAACAATACCCCAGGCGTGACTACCTCACGCTGCCATCTCCGTCTCCCTGAATCTTATCATCAGGGCGTGCGACGTCCTCATTTTGGTCTCCGTCTTGCGCCAGCAGCGTTTCACCATTAATTAATTGTTCCGGCGGAATTCTTTATCTATCTCACACAACGGCCGCTCCTTCACCTCTTACCTTGGAAACGTTCTTCAGCTTCCACTGGAAGAAGTCCACTGGAAGGAGGGTAGAGTCACGCTGTTTGGTCCTCGCAGTCGTCGCACATTCCTTCATACCATACATACGTCAATGACAAGCCTTTCATATCGGTACAAGCTTACAGCGCAATCGGCTACCCGATACGCTTAAACCCGATAGCCTTCAAACGATGCACAACCTTTCAACCAAATAAACTATGCACAATTCCGTTTTGGCGCCAAGGGGCCCGAAGGGCGGATATTCCGTCTCTAAAAGTAGCGCTCAGTGTAGACGATACTCCCACAAATCGTGCGTGATGACAGTGCTCGTCCCGAACAACACCTCCATATACCATGCAGACGGGATCGACTACAGCTGTGCGAGTAAAGAGAGCGGCAAGAAATGAAGTGTCTTTTGAATTTTGATCTCATGTCCACTTGACTCATACCATCACATAGTGACCATGTTTGCAGAATTACTCGCTACCAGGTCTTCCGTACTATGCGCGCCTCCCGATCTCCTTGACATGGATTTCATCGAAAGTATACACTGTATAAAGGTAGCTACAAAGGATCAAGTGGATCTCACACACATATTATACACTCGAGGACAGCCTGCTTCTCCCACCAGACCTCCTACAATCTTGCTTTGACGCCGACGGGAAGCATCCGCTCGTCTGCGAGAATCCTGTCAGCTTCCACCCAAGCGCCTTCGGCTCAAGCAGAGAAGGAGGAACTCACAGTTGTCTTCGTACATGGTGACAGATGCACTCGTCCCAAACAACGCCGAAGTGTCCACCATCTGCGGTACCACATCTGCCATCGTAGGCGCCCCCAGCAGCCGCATATTCATCTCAAACTCGTCCTGTCCCCTTGTAAGCATTGTCCACCTGACTTTAATGACAACTCACCTTGAGAATCTGCAAAGCATGCGCCACGCCATCTTCTCCATACGTCGACATGGCATAGATCATCGGTCGCCCAATACCCACGCCCGTCGCCCCCAGCGCAATCGCCTTCAGCACATCCGTCGCCCTCCTCACCCCTCCATCCACAAACACCTCAAACTTGGGTCTGTTTGGATTACCCATGAACCCCCTCGCAGTGAGCGCTTGTACCACAGAGGGCAGCAGCGCAAGGGGCGACGGTGCAAAGTCCAACTGCCGTCCGCCATGGTTACTCAACACCACCCCATCCGCACCAGCTTCTGCCGCCATCACCGCATCTTCCCAGCACTGTACACCCTTCAGGACTACCTTCATGCCTTGCACTGCGTCCATAAGCTCTTGCAGGTGAGACCAATTGAGGGAAGGGTCGATAAATGACGAGATGGCGCGCGCGGCGCCTTGGTCGCGTTGGAACTTGTCTTTGCCTTTGTCTTGTTGCGCAGACGCAACACCTTCAAACTTTGTGCGCATGTCCTACTCACGTGTCAGCCAATGGGGCATGTTGTTTGAGCTTGGATGGCTCACCTTTTCGCGACGACCCAGTTGCGGCGCGTCTACCGTGATGAACAGCGCCTTGACACCCCTCTCGGCAGCATGTCTGATGATCTTCTTGGTCCTCTCCCTATCCGAATTGACATACCTTGCCAGACGTCAGAACCCCTTTCCGTTTCGCAAAAAAGGCACTCACAATTGTAGAAATTGCACTTGGCCAGGGATAGCAGCGTCGACCATTTCGTCAAACCCACAAGAAGCCAGCGTAGGGATCTGCCGCAAGTCAGCTTGTAGTTACAAGCCCGGGAAGTGGAAAACTTGCCATTTGGATGATATCCTGCGTCCCGGCAGCTCTCGTCAGACACAGTTCTCCCTCCGGATGACCCAATTTGCCTACACACTCGTAAGCCTCCCTTGCCTTCAATCAGATAGCAAAACCAACCTAGGGCTGTGGCAGTAATGTAAACCGGCATAGACGTCTTGTGACCCAGGATGGTAGTAGAGTAGTCGACCTTGCCCACATCGCGCAAAATACGGGGACGGAACCAGACCCTAACGATGGAGTCAGCCAACACTGCATACACGTGTCCCAAGGGGTACTCACCGTTGATATGCGTTATGATTCTCCCTCATCGTGACTTCATCATCCGACCCGCTAGCATAGACATCAGTACTGTCTCTTCTTACGGTGGAAAGCCACACTCACGAGCTGTAATAGTTCCAACCCCTTCGACTCATAACTCTCCTCGCAACCGCCTCGAAATCATGCAGACTCAGAATTTCCACCAACGCCGGTTTCTTGTACTCTTCCACCTCTCCCCCTCCACCTCCCTGGGCCCCTCCCCCTTGGCCGACCTGGACGGAAGCGGGCGCGGGCGCAGAGGCCGGTGCAGGTGCAGGCTCTTCGGCTGGGAGCGTGCCGGCTTTGAGTGGGCCAAGGTGTTTGGAGGGGTCGAGGTTTTCGACGATCGCATCGGGTGGGTGGATGGGCTACAGCTCGTCAGTACTTTTACTCTGGCAAGGTGGAGATGGAAAGCACTTCGTATTCTTCAGTAGCATCTTTGCCGGCATATTTCCTATTCCAGAGTCAGCCTCAGCCCGGTGGATCGTCCTGTTCGCAAGGCTCACAAAATGATATCTGCGCCGCCTATTTAAACCCTCCTGTTAGCATAGACCTCACACGTCTTCTCTCAATCGTACGTATATACTCACCGGGGTGCTCCTGCAAGGTAGTCAGCCATCGATCTACACCACCTCGAGGAGTCACCCACATCTAGAAAGTCTGTCACATCGTACACCTTCCCTGTCTCTCTGTGAGCTACGAGACTCCTGGATACCAGCCGGGACATATGCCGTACCATGTACCACAATCCACACGCCCTGTATTGTGCGATGAGCAAGAGGCACCCTACCAAGCGCAGAGAACCCACCTTGTCGCGACTGTTGTGCTCTGCGATTTGTGCGCCGTCTACGTGCTGTTTCTCGTCGCTCATGCTGTGTTGTATCTTGAGGTATTCAAAGCAAGAGTGATATTACAATTGACAAGTCTTGTTCCAGCTATCACTGGTGGTACGGCAGTCGGTCGACAAATGTCAGCATGACATCGCTCTTCCGGTTATCGTCGGGCCGGTACAGCCGCCAATCATCACCCCGCCATAACGCCCTCGTTCAACGTCAGTTCGTCAAGTCACCTTACTCGAGTCATTTTGCGCCAAAACGAAGACATCCCAGCGCAATCTACTCGAAAGGAGGATGAGGGGCTACATGTATCTGCCAATCAGCGTAAAACAGGGTTCTCTACAAGTGGTGTCAAATTACTTACTACTAATGATACCAACAAAAAGCCGGAAATGTTCTTCAGGTCGATTATACCTGGAATCGTGTATAGAATAAACGTCAAGTATGCGTTAAAATCGTCGCTGGAGATAATGCATATCTATCTGAAAGGAATGTATGTCTATCACGGAGCGCCCATCTCTCATGCTTCGCTCACAGTGGCAGGTCAGTCGGAGCAACTATACCCGCCATGGGACCCGAACCTCTCGGCGCCCATGTCCTCTTTGCCCCGGCCGCCTCACTGGCAGTCTTTGACAGTACCGGGCGAGTAGGCTGCGCTGGAATTGCGCCATAGGTTGTCTCCAATATACCCCACTTGATCCCCGAGTCGTTAATCCCGACGTTCAGTGCGTACCAAGGCTGATTGATATAGTACGGGTCGATAGTGTAGAGAAAGTCGGCATATTTGCCGTCAGGGTCGCCAAATTTGCGGATGGCAGCGGCGATAGAAGGCGCGAGCTGCTTGCGCTGGTTGTATTCCTCGGTGGTTTCGGGGTCTTGCTGCATGGCATATTCCAGAGCCTCTCGCAAGCCAGTACCAACATTCGTCTTTCGCTCCCACCCAGAGGGTTCGAGTCCGACAAAGTCGCCGATCTCGGCATTGGTGACGAGTGCTAGAAGGTTGTACGCTCGGTAGTGGTATGGGCGAGTTCGCATCGACTCGTAGTACTGATCGCCGTTGGGCCAGATCTGGTCGAGCTATACGCCGTTGTAGAACTTTTCGAGAGCTTGCTTGGCCATGTCGTTGTTACCAACAAAAGCGTAGAGCGCGCTAAGCTGATTGTAGGCAAAAGTGGCGTGGTTGCTGAACGCAACGTCAGCCACGGCTTTTAGGCAGGGGCAACGTCCTACTCACTTGGGAGACGCCAATTCTTCCAATGCGAGCTCACTCGTCTCCATCCAGGTGATCTGTTGAGTCACCCACGTAAGAAACCCATCCTCCGTCACCTGCCTCCACTCCGCCGGCTTGAGCGCTTTCATGACGTTGACACCGCTGATAATTTTGGCGATGACGGTCATGTCGAGAACTCCCGTATGCTTGCCTTCACTGTAGCCTGGACCTCGAACGATCTGCGCATAGTTGAGGTTGGGGTTCATCTTGGTCTCTTCGTTGACGAAAAAGGTGTGGAGAGCATGGTCGAGGTTGGCAGAGTATTCAGGGTTGCCGGTGGAAGCGTAGGCGAGGGCGGCGAGGTAGACATAGTTGGAGACGTTGATGAGGGCTTGGGGATTTTGGACTATTATGCGTGGTGAGTTGGTGCAAGTGTGAAGGTGGAATGGCTGACTGAGGTAGATATCGGGGTTGAAGATACCATCTCTTCGGACATACTTGCACGTGTTCCACACTGGTCGCGCATCAGTATTGGCCGAACAAAATAGCAGCGCAAAAGCTCACTTTCTTCGTCCGCCAACTCTGTGATGTTTCCAGCTTCCGAGCAGTCTGGCCAGTAGTAGACGGCAAAGGAAAGATAGTCTCGCATGTCTCCAGAAGGTGGTGTGATTGTCTTGTTGGTTACGGCTGCGCATACTGTCAGCTTCATTTCGCACGACATTTCGCAATCACTCACACCATGGAGCCGAAGCCCATAGCTCTCTCGACCAATTCTCGCACATCATTCTCGGCCATGCAGCTTCATCCGAGTGAAACCAGTCATTGTTGACGACCTGGTCGGGTGCAAAGAACAGATTAGGGTAGTTTTGGATGCCGAACGCTATTGGAGAGGGTCAGCTAGGCGTGGGTTGAGAGAAGGGCGACTTGCCTGAGACGAGAGGCGATAGTAAGGCGAGAAGGGGGAGGAGGACGAGGAGAGTGAGCATAGTGGGCGGAGGGGACAGGGGACGGGGGTTCTTGAAAGAGCGTGGGGGAGAGGGGGGGATGAAGATATGCAGAAGAGAAAAAGATACAAATGCAATGCACATGAGCTATTCTCCAGTGACGGTCAGCGTCCTTTGGCAACATGCGCACGGCCCTCCATCATTCAACACCCGCGACGCGACTTTCTCGGCACCTCTTGCATTGCGCGCTCTGGTGGCCCAGTGGGTAAGCGAAGTGTCAAGGATGCACAAGGCAGTGTGTGGGACAGGAAGGTGTGCCAGGGAGAGTGAGTTGATCGATGAGTGATGGTGATTCCTGTAAACAAAGCCGCGGCTTGGCGAGGAGTCACCCGCGTATATCTTCTGTTGCCATGGCGAACCTTCTAGAAAGCACGTCTGAAGCGATCAATGAAGCGTTGGGGGCGTTGATACCCTGATGGGCTTGAAGGCAAAAGGTTGTCCATGACGGGCGTGGTGAGTGAGTGACCTTGCTTAGCTAGATCCTGAGCGAGCCTTGTGCTGAAACCCGCGCCTAGACCGCCATGGACGTACACGCCAAAGCACACATATATATTAGATTGTATGCATTCAATCCTTGCTTCTCACGTATTCTCTACCCCCCTTGGTCTGATCATGAAGAGGGACCAGAGCCAGTCTCGACGTCCTTCCTAGAGTGACCAGCCTCTCCAAGAGAGTCAGCAGAGGCCTGGGCAGTCTGCAAGATAGGTCAGCACACCGCAAACAATTGATCAATGCAAGACTCACCTTGACGGCAGAGGCAGAGACACCACCCGATGATTGCTCACCGGGGGCAGCACCAGGGTTGGTTCCCGAGACACCAGGACGCTGGTCGGCCTGGGTCATCTGGGGGACGTTGTTGGGGACAGAGGGGTCGGGGGAGGTTCTGCTGGGGGATTGGGCACCGGTGGACATGATTGTGGATGTGTTGTTTTGTGGGTGGTGGGGAATTCTCAACTCGCCCTCGTCCTTTATAGGCTGCACACGTCGGTTGGCGACCGCTTGACGTCATGCGCGCCTCCACCCAGTTGCATCATCGGAGCGACCTCGGAGCACCGTCCCCTTTATCGCTCTATGCATACGCGGACGGTCGCTGAGGAGACCCCAGAAGGGTAGTGCATGCATCAGCTTGGAGGATGTGCATGGGCAGCTAAAGCAACGCTAATCATCTCGAGGGCTGCTCTTGGGGCGTTTATAGCTATACATATGTACATCTCCTGTCGCTGACAGCAGTAGTTTCAGAGGACTATGGACTTTTCAATGATATGAGACATCATGTTTGGTCCGGTAGGCCTTCTGCAGCCCTGCCTCTGGCTGCTGAGTGTTAGGCCAGCTTCAGCCCTGGGTCTTGAGATTCAGACCTTCCCCTGCTCTGCTCCTGCTCCTTTACGATGAAGATGCCTCCTTTCGGCTACCCGCTCAGACAGCTTGACTTTGGCGGGTGGTTCTAGAATGTTGGAAGATGGGAGGCCGTGCTCTTTTCGGATGGCTATAAAGGAATCCGCTAAGCGGGGATACTGCGCAAAAGAATCGCCCGTAAGCTGATTGTCGACCTTTCGGACCATGGGCTCACTTCTTCTTCCAACGGCTCCAGCTTCTTTGAAATGGCCTCTACAGGTCTCCCATGGGATTTCTTCACCTTTATATATGATCCAAGCACGGCTTTGACATAGCTACATGCCCAGCGTCATCAGCCAAGTGCCCGTCAATGGGGTTCAAGGGACTCACTCTGTATTCTTTGTGAGCTCTGGATCTCGGAGTGCGCATACTATTTGCGTTGAATCCTCCATCGGCTCTATTTCGCTAGATGAGGTGGGAAGCTTCGATTCAGAATCAGCTCCCTATCTCTGACCTTCGTACAGACACTCACTTCATTTTTCGACCCCTTGCCGCGCCGTTGAGCAGAATCGACCATTGTTTTGACAAAACTCATTATAGTATGGATGGATCGGTCTTGTAACAATCTAGATTACTCAGCAGGCAGATGAGCTTATATATACAGGTCTATAATCAAGCAGCTTGGCGGATGGTGGCAAGAGACATTGACATCACAGATGTGAATGAACGGCCGGGGCTTGTACTATGCGAGGTACTACGCTAGCTTGGCACGCCTTTCGGTCCGGCATTTGGTCCCGCTCTGAACGCATTCAATCGACAAGGGATATTCTTTGAGGCTGCTTTTGATCATTGCATGTACTACAACAGACAATATGCTTTGATGCTGTCTACGCCCTATACGAGATGAAAAAGTCCCAATCCTCGGCCACCCACTTCAGCATGTATGTCTCAACACCCTCCGGCTCATCCTCGAATTCTTCCTCTTCTTCAATGCCCTCCCCTCCATCTGCGTCCACAGCCACAGGCGTCTCTCTCTTCTCGGCTTCAAACACCCTCGCCTTCTTGACCGTCCCCTTCGGACCCTCCTCGAATTCCTGCAGATCGAGCTCGCCCTCGCCTTGCGCCATCCTCGCCGCCTCGACATCTTCTTCATCTTCCACCTCTGCCAGCGCCTTGGCTAGATCGCGCTCTTCGCCGACCCGGGGACGGGTATGCTCGACGTCCACAGTGGGCGTTCCTTCGACGTCAACATCGACGATCCCGCTCTCCTCGGTCGGCTCGGCGCCAGTCGACGCATTCGCAGCTCCCGGCACCTCGCCAAACATATCCTTCCACCCGACCTTGCCCCACCAATCATTGTTGAAGCCGCCTTCTTGGATGACCATCTTGTCCAACAACCGCTTTTGCTCGGCTTTCCGGAGCATGTTCTCTTCGACCGTGTGGCTGCTGACAAAGCGGTAGATGTGTACTTGTCGTGTTTGACCGATACGATGCGCACGGTCCATACACTGTCTGTCCATCGAAGGATTCCAGTCAGAGTCGTAGAAAAAGACAGTGTCGGCACCCGTGAGGTTGATACCGACACCACCTGATCGACTGGAGGCGATAAAGACGAATACTCGGGGGTCCGTGTTGAACCTTTCGGTCAGCACTTGTCGATCTTCGATCTTGGTGCTGCCGTCAAGACGAAGATATCTGTGGCCGTTATACGAGAGGAACATTTCGAGAATGTCCAGGACTCGAGTCATTTGGGTGAAAATCAACACCCGGTGTCCGCCAGCTTTGAGATCGCGTAGCATCTCCCAGAGCTTTTGCAGTTTGCCGCAATCAAATTGCAGCAGACTAGCATCCGGGAATGCAATCTGGAGTTTTACGGTTGAGCGATGGAGTGTGTCGAACGACGGGTCGGTGAGTGAAGGGTGGGAGATGGGCTCGATACCGGGCAGGGCGTAGGTAGTGAGGTCGCGCGCAACGGCATTTGGAGGAATGACGGCAAATCGGTCAATGATGGGCTCGAGTGCCTCGGCTCGTTGAGGAAGGGATGCGATGAGGTTGGCAGCAGGAGGGGTCAGATCTGCAAAAGTGTCTTCTCGTCGAATGCGGTACTCGGAAGGAATCAAGAAATTGGGCAGGTTGCCGAGCATTTGGAGGAATGTGTTGCCATACAGTGGCTTCTCGGCACACCTTTGACGGTTGATATGTCTGATGCTCTCCCATCGTTTCTGGCTTGCCTCTTCCTTGACCCAAGCTTGATACTTGAGCCAGCCTTCCACAGTCCGTGTGTCCTTCACCGGAGGTATGGAAGGCTTGCCACGTTTGACAGGAGTCATAGCATAAGGTAAAAGATCGGAAGCGTCCAGCTTTTGGCGGGTCTGGGCTACCCAAGGCGACGTGTCCTCACGATGGGTAACATTGAAACCAAGAGCGAGCACATCCACCCTGCGGTCATCCTCTTCCTTCAAGAGCCTCTTCCTCACGAGGATATCGCTTGGCTCATAGCCTTTTACGACGCTCTCCATGGCAAAACTGGTCCTCACCGGTCGTACCTCAAAGAGGTCGGGATGGTTGCAGACCTTTCTCAATTGCATGAGAGTGTTCATGACACCCAGGTATCCTCCACTGGTGAGAGCCTCGCGGGTAGAAGCTCGAGCCATGAACTCGTCATAGAGGAACCGTTGGCGTTTGGACAAGCGACAATAGACGACATGCTCAAACTTGCCAGGAAGCTGAGTCTCGACTTCAGACTTGAGTCGACGGAGAATGAAGGGTCTGAGGAGAGTGTGTAGTTTGGCGACGGTCTCAAGAGTCTCTTCATCCATAGCTTCTCCAGTCTCAATGGCCTTGTCCATAGGGTCTACACTGTGTCAGCTTAGAGCGCACTAGACATACTGAAGCTTACTTGAGAACCATTCCATAAAGTCTTTGTGGTTGGCAAATCCAACCACAGAGGTAGCATCTTCACCGATACCTCCGGGCATCAAAAAGTAGAGCAGACTCCACAGCTCCATAAGGTTGTTTTGAAGTGGTGTACCCGTCAAGAGAAGCCTCTTTTTGGCCTTGAAGCCCAACAGTGTTTGCCATCTCTGACTCCTGAAATTCTTGATGTTATGGGCTTCATCGAGGATCATGTAACACCAGCTTTTTCTGCGGAAGATGTGCTGGTCTGCGAGAACGATCTGATACGAGGTGATGCAGACCTGCCAGGCATTTTCTGTATTCCAGCCGACACGTTTCTCTTTGCGTTCCTTCTGATTTCCGTAGTAAGTCAAAACCTTGAGACCGGGCAGGAATTTCTTGAACTCCATCTCCCAATTGAGGATGACGGATGTAGGTACGATGATGAGATGCTGGCCCCAAACACCCTTGGAACAAGCAAGGTGACCCAGCAGGGCAATCGTCTGGATGGTTTTACTGGCAAATGTCAACAACGAAACGTCGATGTAAATGACTGTGACACTTACCCCAAACCCATCTCGTCTGCAAGGATACCGTTCATGCTGTTCTCCCACAAGCTCGCCAGCCACTCGAGGCCCGCCTGCTGATACGGGCGAAGGGTGCCTCTGAGCAGGAAAGGAGGCGTGATCCGAGCAGCGCCGTGCTCATTGATTTCGGGCTCCTTCGGCTCTTCCTCTTCCTCATCTTCCTCACTGTCTTCTTCACTCTCTTCCTCGCTTTCTTCCTCACTTCCTTCTTCGCTTTCTTCCTCCGAATCTTCACCGGCAACAGCTTCCGGAACATCTTCTGCAAGTCTTTCTGTCGAGATCGTCCCATCTTCGACGATGAGTTCAACCTTCTTCCTCTTTCCACTCGACAGCCGCTGAGGGCCCACGTCGTCTGGGGACCAGAGTTCCCGTTTGCGACGCTGTCGCTTACTATCGGACGTCGTTTGGTCGAGTGAGGCAGAAAGCGTAGCGTCGGTCAGGGACTGGTCTCTGTCCGCTTGTCCGACTTGAGGGGGAGTGCTAGCGGTGCCGTCGTGTGTTTCAACTAGGCTGGTTGGCTCAGAAGGCTCGGTCCCATTCGGCGCTTCTTGGGATACCTGGGTTTCGGCTTTCGGCTCGCCAATTGTGTTCTCCACATCATCCTTGATCGGCTCAGAAGCTGTTTCCTCTTCGGCCTGTGCCGCAGCAGGTGCGGGGTACCCATACCTCTTCAACAGCTCCTCAATAGGAATATCTGCGTCCGCCAATAACCCTTCGTCTTCGCTATCTGGTCCTTGATTCCGATCGACATCTTCGCCGTCTTCCATCTCCACATCAAGCTCAGCATCTTGATCGTCGATGTCGCTTGTAGACACGTTGAAATCGACATCATTAGCGTCAGGATCAGGGTCCGACGGAAGGGGCAGAACACTCTTCCTAACACGACGCGAAGGGCGGCGAGTGACAGGTGGGGACGCGGAGGATGAAAGACCATTCACTACGGGGGCATCGTCCGCGGTTGTGGGGCCGCCGTTGGGCGACTGTAACGCAACCGACTCTGTTCGGTCTTGGTTGGCGCCCAGCGAAGATGGCAATGTCATTTCTTCGCTGTGGTCTACCAGAGCGTCGACAGCATCATCGGTGGCCATTGCGTTCTCAGACACAAAGGGATGCAAGTGCCCTTCGGAAGCAACTTCCGTATCCATGTCGTCTTCCTCTTCTTGATCTTCTCCATCATCTCCAGAGTGGTCGGCCATTTCTGATTCAGGAGGAATAGATGTGGGGGGCATTGATGATTCGGGATCTGAGCGATCTCCGTCCTCATCTTCTTCACTGTCCTCGGCCGCAGATACTTCATCCGTAGCGTATGATTCCTCTTCTGATTCATCGGACACTTCGTCTTCCGGCCCTCGGACTTGAGACTCGAGCAACCCAGTACTTCGTTGTAGCATGTTCTGCAGGTGAACCTTGCCCAAACGATCTTGCTCCTGCTTCTGTTCTTCAAGAAATTTGGCGCGGATAATCTGACACAATGTCAGCAAATGACTGGTGCACAAGGACACTACGCACCTTGACAGCAAGCGCCCACCGTTTTCTCAAACCCTTCATCGTCTCCTTCATTAACCGTTTGCGCTCCTTTTCCTCTGCCAGTCTCTCTCGCTCTTCTCTTCCTTCAATCCTTTCCCAGTACGTTTGAACCATTTTTGCGATCTTCTTGCAGACCACCGGTTTTGCCTTGGCTTGGTTCAGGATGGCGTTCCGGACTTGCACCATGTGCACCAAGAGTGAATCATGATGATCTGTCTGGCGGGCTGGAGCACGAATGATTTTAGCGTGAGATGCGGACGGGCCGGCAACGACTCCTTCGTCTAGCAACCGCTGCAGGCGACCGTGACGTTGCAAGTAGGTGACGCGGGCAAGCAGATAGCCATCTTTCTTGGCTCGAGACTCTAGAGATTTGAGATCAGGTTGAGCACCAGTATCGTTGATATGGATGTAAGATTTGAGGATCTGGGAGATATCGCCATTATATTGAGGGGGTGGGGGGATCTGGCTTGGCTCGGTATACTGAACCTTGCGTGGTCTGACTAGACGTTTACGCGGGCGTTGAGGGGGAGGCGGAAAAGGTAGATGTGCAAGAGAGGGGAGCGCCGGAGTGAATGGAGAGGGTGAAGGTCTTTCTGATGTCGGGGTTTCGACAGCAGGCGAAGCACTTTCGCTGGCCGGTACTCCATTCCTCCCGTTTTTCAATTTCTTCGCCGCAGGAAGATCTGGAAGCGACATCCGTCCTCTTCGTTTCCCTTTGGACACCGGCTCTTCGACCTCTACGTCTTCCTCGGGTTCGGGCTCGACGCTAGCACCCATGGTTACGCGCCTGCTGGCCCTTCGTCCTTTCGGGAGAGGCGGGGGTGGCATATCACCATTGGCGTTGACCGCTTTGCCCCTCCCTGTCTTTCCCGCTTTGACCGGCGATGAATCACCAGACTTGGGTTCCACCGCTTTCTCTTTGCCTTTGGCTGACGGCGTTACAGCGACAGGTGCGGGAGTTACGACGTTGGCCAATATTTCCGACTGTTCATGCGCCTTCCGACGCGTTGTTCGAGCCGGAAGGGAAGTACGCGGACGCGATGGCCCAGCTCGGGAAGCTCCGTTTATAGCGGGTTGGGAAGGAAGGAGGCTCAGGAGATTGTGTTTTGATTCTTTCCACTGCGAAGAAAGTCAGCTTGGATCATTGTCAGTACTTGTATACGCTTGCCTCTAGGAACACCTGAGAGTTGTCTAGCTTTGCTTGCTAGAGGACACCATTAGTCTGAAGAACTCCCATGTGACTTATTACTCACCTCTGGATCCCAACCTTCAAGCAAAGTCACGAATCTTTCCAGGTGAAATTTCTCCCGGATGGCCGAGTCATGCTCCTCGACGACATCCTTCAATTCTGCCTCCTTCTCCAGAATGCGTTGCTCGCGACGAGCCTCAATTGATGTCGAGTTCAGGCTTTGACTGATGACATCCAGGTTCCTCTTGGACAAGCCTCGCCCAGCTCCAGGCGCAATGGAGGACCCAGGGGTCGGGACGTCGATTGACGATGGCCTGGCGCGTAGCGAGCGTGCAGCGGAAGCCACTTCTGGGACCAATTTGTTTGCTACAGCACTATTTGATGAGTGCAGGTTTGATTCTTGAGCTGAAGATGCTGAAGTGCCGACGTCCATGACGGACGACCTCCACTTTGGCCGGATGTCGGCGGGCGACGTCTATTGGACGTTTGAAGACGAATCAAGCGTGAAGCGGCACCCTTCGCAAACTTCAGATGCCTGGTTTGAAGTATCGAGGGGTTTGGGAAGACTGGTGGGGGCGAAGTGTGAAATTGGAATACCGCGAGCTCAAGATGAAGCTGAGTGAGGACGCGTAAAGAGCGAATGGACAATTAATCCCGAGCGTGGCGGGTGTCCCGATCCACCACCAAGCGGCAACCCGGGCCTGGCATATATTGGCTCGATACCTGTCACCTCACAACACTGGCCTCCAGAACACCCACCCTTCTCCTCAATGATGACAGCGGCTCCACTGTCAACCTCGTACCCTAGCGCCCCGACTCCGGCGGTTCAAAAAGCAGCCTTGGCAGCTGCGTCAAGCCAGCATGCTCGAACCAATCTCATCCGTCTCGTCAAATCACTCGAGGCAAAAGCAGTGGACAATGATTACGACGAGTCTTCAGTGGTGCTCAAGAAAGAATGGGAGTTGAGTGTAGCTCGGATCATTCATGTAATCGGGCTCATTTGTTTGCAGACGGTGCTCTATGCTCGAGCATTGCTGGATCGGCTTCAATATGTAAATGAACAGTACGCATATCAACATGTCTGGTATAGTTGAAGGCTGATGAGTCTATGCAGATCTTCCAGCTCTACAGCTGCGTTCCAAGATATTGATCGCTCTTTACGCACAGTCGAGACGGTCTTTCGCAGGCGGCTGATGTCGCCATCTCCTACGCCGTCTTTCAATCCAGCTCTGATTGCCTTGCCCATGTCTCCCTCTTCCTCCAATCAGACGAATCCGTCTCCGGTAGACAAAGCCTCACGGACCTCGAACGATCATTACGAGGAGTCTCGAACGGCTCCATCGCCAAGAACACAGCCTACCACAGTCAGAAGCGTCAGACGACGACGGGCTCAAACTGATGACTATCTTGCCAAGATAAACCGAGAATATACTACAGGCGACCATACCAGTCTTTTGCCTCTCAGACTGGAGAAGACCCAAAAGTCATACGGAAACAGTGGAGCTGGTGATAGAGATACTTTGCTGGGAGGTGTCGCGCCGGAAAGCGGTCTTGGGGCCGCTCAATTGCATGAAGAGCTTGGGGGCCAGCTTGCCGATGTGTGTTCATCACTTTCCAAAAATGTCTCTAGCTGATGCCCGTATTACAGATGTCGCATCGGCTGAAACTCAATGCTGTCCATTTCTCCAATTCTCTAGAGAATGAAAAGCATCTCATAGAAGACTCACAAGACGCACTTGAAAGTGAGTGCACATTGCCTACCGTAGAGCCAGGACTAATTCATCGAAGAAAATCTGGCGTCTACCCGTACCAACAAAGAGGGGCTATCGACCGTATCGAAAAAGAGTAGGGGAACAACGTGTATGACCTTTGGCATCATCTTGATGGTGCTTCTGCTCTTCATGTGGACGTACATGCTCATCCGATTTACTTGAGTGGCACATGCAACAGGTAGCACATTCGACATTTGTTCTGGAAGGCTGTCATGATTCCGACTTTTTCATCGTTGCAAGTGTCGTAAAGTGAAACTACACAACACAACACACTCTGCTTACGCCATCGACCCCACACCCCTCTCCAAGATTTCCTTCTCAGACTGCTTCCGTTCCCACCAGCGCCTGCCTTCGTGCAGGCCCATACTTGATCCTGCCAACCCTAAGAGGGTGAACATGTCTCTTGCCCCCAAAGCCTCTGTTTGGAAGACATGTTGGAGAAGAGGGACGTAGATCAATGCCAGTTGACAGATGAAAGATACAGACACCGTCAAGAAGAGCATGCGGTTTCGGAACATGGGTGTTGTGAGTCCACGATTCTGAAGAGCTGAGACCAGGTCAAGGAATACGAAAACAGTGAAAGTCTGATAGGGTCAGCTGCCAGTCTCTTCGATAAAATGAAAGTCTCACCATAGTTTGGTCTCGTTTTGACATGCTCCCATCACTGGTCTCTACTGTGTAGATCCACATAGTCCCCAGAACAATCATCGCCGCCGAAAATGCCACCCTGTACATCAAGGACCTATTCAAGACATGGTCGCCTTTTTGCCTCGGCGGTCGCCTCATGATTGCCTTGTCCACCGGGTCGACACCGAGTGCCTGAGCAGGAGGGCCGTCCATGAGGATGTTGATGAACAGGATCTGCATGGCATTGAGCGGGTTGGCGAGTTTGAAGATGGTGGAAAGAGTGATGAGGGAAAGAGCGGCGACAGCGGTCGACAGCTGAAAGGACAGGAAGTTTTGGATGTTGTAAAAGATGGATTTGCCTTCTTCGACTGCGGGAAGGATGGACGCAAAGTCATCATCAACAAGGATCACATCTGCAGCCTCTTTGGCGACATCCGTACCAGACTTCCCCATGGAAATACCGATGTCGGCCATTTTGAGAGCAGGCGAGTCATTGACACCATCACCCGTCATGGCCACGACGGCACCCCGCATCTGCCAAGCCTTGACAATGGCCATTTTGTGTCGAGGGGTGGTTCGGGCGTAGACAGTGATGCCGGGGACGCGTTCCATCAATTCACGCTCGGACATTTGGTCGATTTGCGAGCCCAAAATACAGCTTGTACCGGCTGAGAGAGGAGGAGCAGTGTCATCCAGCGTGCCGCTGGTTGTAGACGTCACCTTCAGTCCGAGTTGCTTGGCAATGGCCACGGCAGTGGGCTCGGCGTCTCCCGTGATCATGACAATCTGTACACCTGCACCGTGCAAAGCAGTGACAGCGTGGGCGACACCTTTACGAGGCGGGTCCATCATCGCTTGGAATCCAACAAAGACCAGATTGTTCTCTGTCTCCGCGCCTTTTCCGGGAAAGCCGTAAGCCATAGCGATGACTCTCAAACCACGTCTAGATACTTCTGTAGCACGTTCGAGAATGACCTTTTGAGTGGCAGCATCAAGAGAAGGAGTCGAGGAGTCCGTGACGTAGTAGTACCGACATCGGTGAAGGACTTGCTCGACAGCGCCTTTGAGATAGACCAGGTCAGAGGCAGAATTGAGAGAGCCAGTGATGGACATTGTTTTCGTCTCGGAACTGAAGGGGATTTCGGATTTCCGGACAAAGTTCTACAATCTCATCAGCTTGTGAATCACACAACACAGTGCATGGTTGACTCACCTTTCGTTGATCATCAGTGTTCAAGACAGGCAAGACGTTGAGCAACGCCACTTCGGTAGCCTGGCCCACATTCACTCCCTTGTCATCCTTGAAAGCATCGTTACACAGATTGCCAATGAGGGCTGTCTTGAGCAAGGCAGGAGACGTCCAGAGATCAGAAGTGCTCGGGTCGCGAGGACCAAAGGGTGAGGACGCGGCATGGAGATGGGGAGTAAGGTCGACCAAATCATCCAGAGTGTATATGTGTGTGACGGTCATTTCATTTTTGGTCAGGGTACCTAGACTAGGGTTAGCAGATGCCTATGAGGTCTCCTCACGCCCTACCAGTTTTGTCAGAGCAGATCACGCTGACGCTGCCCAAAGCCTCCACACTGGGGAGTTTCTTGACGATAGCTTTACGCTTAGACATTCGCAAAACACCCAGAGCCAAAGTAACGGTGGTCACGATGGGCAGACCCTCGGGGATGGCAGCCACGGCCAGCGATACTACGCGGGTCAGTGCTGATCAGACTAAGGCCGAGCAGACCTACCTCCGATGGTAAACATTTCCAACCAGCCTCGCTTTTGGATGACACCAATCAAGATGATGAATCCAATGACGATGAAGGAGAATATAGAAAGCTGCTTTGCGAGGTCATCCATGTCGAGCTGCAATGGCGTCCGCTTCTCCTCGACATCCTGCATCATTGAGAAGATGACGCCGAACTCGGAGGAAGTCCCAGTCCCAACGACGATACCAGACCCATTGCCTAAAGGGAGATCAGTGTCTCCTCGAGAGCTGAAGAACGAACAACGAACCATTTCTGACCAGAGTTCCCATGAACGCCATACAATGTCTCTCGCCCAGAGCCTTTCCACCCCCTTCACCATGCGTATCCTCGCCTTCTCCTCTATCGCAAGCCTCCACATTCTTTCGCGCTGGTCGTGTCTCGCCGGTCAAAGCACTTTCATCAATTTCCAGGTGATTGGCAGTAATCAAACGGATGTCGGCAGGGATTCGGTCCCCCACAGAGAATATAACGAGATCTCCCGGAAGAAGGCCGTTCGCTAGAGGTGTAGAGGGAGTGGAGTTCCTGATAAGGTGGCAGAAATGCGGGACGAGTTTGTTGAGGGCTTCAAGGGATTTCTCTGAGCGCTGTTCTTGTACAAAGCCGACTATTAAGGTGTCAGCCTCGTTCAGGAAGACTCCGGGTTACTCTTACCTGTCAGAACGATAGTGACTGCAATGACAACGCATATAGCATCGTCCAGCTGGCCCATCAAAACACTGACTAGACTACTTCCAAGAAGCAACAAGATGAGAGGGTTCTCGTAGACCTGTTTGGCGAATTTGAGCCAAAGAGGGTCAGACGGGGGAAGTTCAAACTCGTTCGGTCCATAACGAGCAAGAAGAGGTGCGATGGAAGAGTTGGGAAGACCATCTGTCGGGTGTGTCCCGAATATCTCTAATGTTTCCTTTCGAGGCCCATCAGCCTTGCCATATTGCAGAAGATTGATGTGCTCACCTCTATAGACTTGTGCGCATATATAGCACTGGGCGTTTCTCTCTGTCTCCTTTCCGCTGATAGCCTCTTCTCTTCATTGTCCTGCCGTATCTCATCATAGTCTTTCTTTCCTATTACCCTCCGTCCCATCTTTGCGATCCTTTCATAGAATCCCTCATCTTGATCGCCATGCTCGCTGCCACCAGACAAAGGAAATTGCGACCTCCCGTAGGGCGAAGCGGCGTGAGGGCTAGAGTCTCTCCTTCTACCCGATGAGGGGTGAAATGGAGGGAACACGTCGATAGACCTCTGTCGCCTCAGCGTGGTAGAGTACGCGTACCCTCCATTCGGCTGCGCCGAGCTTTCCCCTGCTGGACCTTCGCCTTCATCGCCCGAGACCAAGTCGGCATCTCCTGCAGGAATCCCACCGTAGACACCTCGCGATACTGGAGCTACGCCGGCGCGAGGGTGTCCGTAAGAGGAGGCTGAGGCCTGGCGGCTCGGGGGTAAGGCCGGCGATGGGGAGTGGGAGCGCAGGACCGGAGGGGAGCGCCGTTTTGACGAAGATGAGTGGGCGGTTGACATCCTCCGTAGCTGAGTATGGGGAGGTAGGAGATGAGGGCTCGGACGCGCACAAGTTGAATGGCTGTGGATACGCCGGGTCACTTTGCTTCCGTCCGCTGCCTCCAGTCAAGTCATCTGTTGTTCATCTTCCCTGCATTTTCTCATCTACCATGTACGGCAATCCACAACAGAGCACGAGACCTGACAGTGCAACATTCACAGACCAAAGCATGCCGAAAATACCCAAAGCCCAAACCATCAGAGTTCTGATCGAACGGGGCGCAGCCACACGCCAACACACACCTGACGCATGGCGCGTTCGCTTCGTTGTTCTGGCTTGACAGTTGCCCCTCAACGCCCCCGAAAGTCTCTTTTCCTGCTCGAAGATGACTACAAGCACTCAATTCTTGACTCCTTTTTGGCCACCAACCGCATTTCCTACTCATAGATAATACCTCACAGCCCAGATGCCTGGCATCTTGCCCCGCACTCGTCCACCCAAAAGTGCCAAGAAACGACCAAAACTCACGAAGGATCAAGGTGAATACCCTGCTTCAACAAACATATCCCCACAAAGCGGCCAAGCCCCTTTCAAACAATCCCGCCACAAACCTCTCCCACCCATCCCTCCCGAAACCAAATTCACCTCTCAAACAGCCGAAGGCTGGCATGCGTTCAAATGGGAGCTCGAACGGCATGATGTTTACCTCACGTACATCATCGAGCAGATGCACAAGGTCCCCGATAGAACCAGCAATGAGTATAAGGCGAGGGTAGACGGGGTGAGAAAGTTGAGGAGGGACGTGTTTGAGCTGGGAGAGAGCGGAAGACATGCTCTTGTGGGGTCAAAGGCCATCATAGGACTGGTATGTAGCATCTGTGGTGATCAACCTGGCTGACAGAAGGAGGCAGGCCGAAAGAACTTTGATGGTGGTGAGGAACATGTATCAACGAACGGTCAAAATGACTCCCAACGTGGATGGTACTCCCATTTCTCCTCCTGTTCTGAAACTCATAACAGACCTTTCCAAGTAGGCTACATCTTGCTCTTGAGAAATGTCCTGACAGACCATTAGCGAGTGCAAAAAGACCTCTTTGCCTATCACGATCAGCAACACCATGACTCTGCGGCGGAACATGGAGCAGCGGTATCTCGATACCATCGAGAAACGTATATTCCATATGAATACGATACTGGCATATATAGTCCATAAGCTGAAAGTGAGTCCTCACCATCATCGTTCGGCAAAGCTCATGCCATGGTAGCTCAGAGACAAGATGATATATCAACCTGACCAGTGGCCGGTAGAGGCGGTAATCACTTGGCGAGAAGAGATACACGAGGCTAAAATGAGTCAGAGGGTCTCAAAAGCTCAACAAAACCCTCGCCGCGAGCAGTGTCTCGTTCAGTAATCCGCTGGGCTGGACAGGGTGAGATGTAGAGCTAAGTTTGGCTGCATATGACTGTATTCATTATAATTTGAGGCTACTATTGAGCGATGCGTACCGTTATGCTATGCGGATATGAAATTAACAATCATCATCGTCCATGCGAAATTCAACTCTCGGACCCCTCCCACACGCCTCGCAAACAGGAGCCTCTTCCATCCTGAGCACCAGCAACTCTTCCCTTCGACGGATTTTGAGCTCCGTCTCCAAATAGTCCAACACGCTATCCCTGATCCTCTTCAACCCTCTTTCCCAGATGACTTCCTCAGTGTCCTCGGGCGCCCACTCATGGTCCCCAAACTCGAGCCATTTGGTAGTCATAAAGGCTCGCAGGCCAAAGATCTCAAAGCTCGTCTTTGCCGCGCTGGCCTTGCGTCTCTTCTTGTCATTGCGATTGCACCCTTGAGAAGCGCGTTTCAAAAAGTCTTTAAGCATGTATACGACATCTTCTTCTGTATATCGCCCTTCGACATGACGGCTTTCTCGAAGCGCCGTGTTTGCCTCTTCATGAAGATAGTCAAGACCACCATCATCGTAGGCCCCCTCGTCGTCAGACCAGGTGTAGTCGTCTTCTGGGTAGCCGCCATCATCTTGGTTAAAGTCTTCCGGGTCGAACGCGCCGAGGTAGAGCTCGTCTGCAACGACGGGCGCGGCGGCGGAGGGAGCATAATGAGAGGTGTGGGATTGGTGCGAAACTTCGAAAGAAGCAGTTTGGAAGTCCTGGCCCTGCTCGGTTCCGATATCCTCCCAGCTCACTGGTCCCTCCGTGGTCGCCGCCACGTCTCCCTCGTGTCCACCCTCAGAATCCTCATCGCCCAGATCCATGTTGCCAGTACTCTCCACAAGCTGCTCCAGCCCTGCCCGCGCTTTCGAGTCCACAAGGCAGATCCGATTTCTTGTCCCCCAAACTCCATTCAGCTTCCAGTCCAAGTCGCAATGGATGACGACCAGCTCGGGGAGAGTGTATCCTTCGCATTGTTCAGAATGGGAGAGAACGTAGGGTCTACAGTGTCCATACACAGAAGTGTGGGTCTGAAGGCGCGGGTGAACAGTTGGACGAAGTGCTGGTACGCAGGGATGGGTATATGGTAAGGGGGAAGCTCGTACGGGTCACGCAAGCAGAGAGTTACAAACTTGGGCGCAATTTTGTCACTGCGTTTATGCAATATGTCTGCGAGGATGGCGTTGGCTTCGCCTATGGAAGCAATGATGTGCGCGTAAGGATCAGGCGCCGCGGTGTCGGTGAAGCCGCTGCTGTAGACGCTGAAGAATGTGACTTGGCGAAGATGACGGAGAAGGGGCGCCTTCTTGTGGCCCCAGCGGAGATACTCGTGGTCGATTTGCTCGGTGGACCAGAAGGAGGAAGGGTAGACAGCAGTATCGTGATTGGCGCCGAGTACAAAGCTGTGAGGATCTTTGGCAACAGCAGCCCTCGAGTAGAGATGGGGGGCAGCGGCCAAGAACAAGGTCTGGCAGGAGTCAGCATTGGCCATTTGCATCTCGTGAAACGCACCGAGCTGACACGCAAAGCGTTGGCCAGGGTGTGGGTGTCGATGTATCCGTCGATGTCGGGCTGCTCTACGCAGAAGGAGAGAATGTGGGACCATATTTCATATGGTAGTGGCTGGGGCGGCATGGAGGGTAACTGGGGATTCGAAGGTGTAACTGAGAAAGCGAGAACGAAGCAGTAACACCTTCACAACAATCTGAAGCGGGGACAGCCGCAAGTGACACAGACAGTTGTCACACCCGACTTCTTTTCCTGCAACTCTGTGATCTCTCCCCGTATCCCTCTTCGGCTCAGCCTGGGCGTGCAGAGGGACATGCCGCCTCCCACCAACCACCGCCCGAACCCGCTCCGGGCCCTTTTCATGCCGAGCGGACAGTCCGAAATACTCGTCGCCATCTTCGACCATCTTACCCTACACGACATCCCCGCTTTGCTTCGCGTCAACAAATACGTCAACGGCGTATTCATCAGCAGCTCCCGCCTGCAACTCCGCTACCGAAGGGCATATCACTCCCTCGCCTCTAACATCTTCCTCTCAACACCAGGCAGGCCTTCGAACTCGGCTGATGAGATCGCTACTCTCCTTGAGCGTGAACGACGCTTGAAATGCCTCCGACCTTCCGAGATCAGATGCCTACATATCCCCAAAGGCGATGTCATTGGGGTCAAGGACAATTATATGCTTGTTAGCGAGTGCGTCAATCAGATGGCCATCGACCCAAACGATCCGGATCAGGAGAATTACTGGGACGGCTGGTCCATCTGGCGCATGAGGGACACTACATCCTTCGATGGCGAGTCCCGGGGCGCGAAAAAGCTGCAGGGAATGTGGAGATGGAAATTTAACTTTGGAGGAATTATTGATGCTACAGACATGTGTGTTGAAGACAATGTGATTGCTGTAGCCTATTCAGTGTAAGTTGACATTGTGGCGGGGATCATAGCTGATTGAATACAGGGATCATCCGCCTTGCGAATCCATCGAGGTTGGATCCATGCAGAAGGTCGTTCACCGTATCTACTTTTACACTCTAGTCCCCCCCGTTGGTACTCCTCAGCAACCAGACGGTGTTTTTCCTACGCCAATCCCTCATCCCGACGCCAAGCTACCCTATATTGAAGTACTTGTGCCTGCGAGACTCCATCTGCACCGCATAGAGGTCCATATGGGAGCAGGCGGGAAAGTGGGCCTACTCCTCACATCTGCGGACCAATTCAGGTCCAACTTTGTCGGTCTTTGGGATTGGAAAATGGGTGTCTCCATTGGAGTGAGTCATGTCGTCCGACGCCATCACTGCCAATGCTGATATTCTGATAGAAACTCTCACCTACCGCCGATACCCCCGTCTGCGACGATTTCCGATTCCTTGGCCCCTTCATCGTCAGTGCATCGATGAAGGAGCTCCCAAAACCGGCAGACGACGACTTTATGGATCTGTTCAGTCGTCAGCCACCCGTGCCTCTACCCCTCGCTAAGGGTCCACTCCCTCCACCAGAACCTAAAGCTCCCCTCCGCCCGGAGAAGAAGTCTGCCAATTCTCCTCAAACCAAGTCGAGGGCTTCCATGTACGACGATATCGACTATGATTCAGAGGAAGACTCTGGTTTCACCGCGAGCTCTGCGATCCTGGGCAGGCCTTCCGTCCCTGCCCCCAAGAATCCTACGAGCGTGTATGACGATATCGATTACAACTCGGAAGAAGATATACTGAATGAACCCATACCCGCCAAGCCGCCTACAGAGATGGTCTACGCTCTCGACACTCTTGGTCACCTTCCTGTGGAACGCGGATCGAAACCTACCAAGCGTCGAAGCGATAAGCATGTCGGCCCAGGGCAAGAGATCGTCGGCCCTTGTACTTGGGACGAAGAAGACATTCCGTATTGCATGCCTCTTGCTTCCCTGCAGCTCCCGGCACTAAATACTGCTCCTCCTTTTGGCGTCAGCAAGTCTCCTCTGGACGTCATCTTGGACTATTGCGTCATCGATACAGAATTTCAGGCAGTCCGCTTAGCTATCGAAGACTTTACGGTGGACAATGAGCTACTGAGCGGGGAGAGACAGGGGTTAATGCCTTTTGTCCTGGCGGGCACTACAGCTGATGGTCTTGGGCGCAGTATGCCGACGTGCTGCAAGGGGATGGTCGACATCAAAATGTTGATTGACAAGTCTGTTGAGGCTATGCGGTGGCATATGGCTAAAGCTCAAGGCGTCGACCTGAAGCTCTTGATGCTAGGCACCAAGCTCAACAAGAAGCACTGGCGAGATCAACTCGCAGAAGCTTTCGTTCTATTCTCAAAAACGGCGACGGAGGATGGCTGGGAGACGGACGAGGATATCTACTCCCGATACCTGCCAAAACAAAAAGCCAACAAGAAAAGGCCCGGGGCGGCAACTTTTTCGAAAAAGGCGAAGAAGACGGGTTACAAGTGGGATCGACCTTATCGCGTACCATTCAAGGACTGGCAATCGGCCGTCAGTATGCGTTTCAATGGCCGGCCCGAAGTATCTGTCTCGGGAACCAGGACCATCACAATTGAGCGTATTCCGAACGCCAAACCGGTGATTAGGAAGAAGGATGGGCAAATGATGATTCGCAATTGGCTTGTCATGCACGACTACTCTCGGCGAACATACCGCGAGAACCCCATGAAACCACGACAATTTTTGGGTGGTCTTCCTCCCCCACCACCACTTGATACAGCTGCCACAGCTGGCCCCTCCACTGCACCTCTCGCATCTGAGCTACCACTCAAGCCCTTTGATCGACCGCGCGTCATCAAGTGTCCCCAGCCTGTCCCTCTACCCCTAGCAGGCATGGACAGTGAGCCAGCAATGTATAAGACTTCAAAGATGGAAGACAAGAGATTGTGGACGAAGCGAATCTTTGAGGAAGAGATTGTGCAGTCACATTTGCCGTTCACGGAAACGAGGACGAAGGTACTGTTTGATGTAGCGAGGCCAACAGTGTCCGCACTGTTCGATGGGAGGTCGTTGGTCGTTGGAGTGGTAAGTGTGTCCATTGATAGCGGGGTATCGCTAACATCCATCTAGGACCAAGGAGCTCATATCTTCACTTTCTGATCTACCTCCATACTCTGCAAGAATACTGCATGTACTCTATTCGCATAGTGTGTGCTTGTGTTCATCGACCCTGATAATCTCGAGGTCGCCGTTTTTGACATGGTCACCTCGTGAGTATGAAAGGCAGGTGTCTGAGTCTGATATTGCCGATCAAAGTTGCACAAGAACAAAAGAGCTCTCGAGAAGAAGCAAACATATCCTTTGAGTGGGAATCATCTGGCTGACATGGGTGGTATATGAGAGCAAAGTCAGGAAAACGTACTTGATCAACCAACAGTCCATCAGGCCCTCATCAACGATGCTTTCGAGAGCTACCCTCATCTTTCCAATATTATTGTTCCTTGGGCTCGGCCGCAGAGTGCTGGCAAACTATGAGAGTGAAGAGTGCTTGTCCGGATGCTCTGATTGGAGTGTGGCTCTGGGTTACTGCAGAGGACAGTACGGAAACTTCAGTCAGTCACAACGCACAAATTCCCGTTCGACAAACTATCGAGCTCACGTCACTATCTTACAGGCCAGCAAATGAACTTGACCTATATGAACGACTTTGTCGGCTGCCTTTGTGTAGGCGATAATGCCGATGGTGGATTCGGGAACGACACAATGACCCAGTCAGCTGGTATATGCCAAAGCTGCGCCACAACCCCCAAGCTCATTGCTACGAACCTTGAGGTGTGTATGATAGAGTAGTGCCATTGTGCGTCCACAATACTGATTGTGAGTGTGACTGTAGGATTTTCTCGAGCTTTGTGTTGTACAGTCTCAAAATGGTACCGCAAGTGAAGCCATCAACTTTCGGCCACAGGGATATGAGACATCAGAAGATACATCCAACAGCGCTGTGGAAGGGGGCGAGTGTGTGAGAGCGGGAGTCAGTATGAAAACGCTCGGGTTAGCTGCTGGGCTATCCGTTATGGTACTTGGAGGACTGGCAGTCTAAGGGGGGGTCTAAAAGACTTGATACGCCAACAACAATATAATACGAGAAGTTTCGATGGTGATGGCTTACGTGCGTCATAATGATAAGCGGCTACAAGGCAGATGTGTATCATTGTCGGATGCATATGGCTCTATACTTTCCGCTCTTCATCCAGACAAAGAAGAAGGATAAGGACAGTTCTGGAATGCTTACAAGACGTCCAAGGTCCAAGGCGATCTTGAGGATCCCGAGCTTTCCTTGACAGATCTTGGCAACTGGGCGCGTTTGTTCAGGGCGCGATTTGAGGACTTCTTCTCACCGAATTCATGCTGCATACCGGCCACCATGCTTTGAATTACGCCAGATATGGCAGGATACCCGGTACAGCATCTGAACAACTGCGAGAGATCAGAGGCTGCATCTCCTTCCCGCTCGAATTGCGACGCCTGTCGTACTGCCACAGCTTTTTACTGTATCTTCCTGACCGATCGCTGATAAGATGAGATCTCCCACGAGCATGCCCGGCAGTTCTTTTTGCTGGGCAGCCGCCGTCCAGGGCCACGACTGAAGAGTTATATAAAGGGCGACATATAATGCACCTCTTCCGTCAACTTCCTATTGAGACCAAATTACTTTACCACTATCCCGGCGCAACACCACTCAAGGACAGAACCAAACAAAATGCCCAGCACGCCGCTCACCTTCTTCCTGGCTCTGTGTTTCTTTAGCATTTCGCCCTTTTTCGGACCGCTTTTCATCCTGGCCAGTACAGATGAGTGCGAGAGCGCATGTACTGAATGGTCGCGGACGGTGCATTATTGCAGGTGGGAATATAATGATAGATGTGAGTGCCGCTTCCGAAATCTAAGTGAGCCCGGCGCGTCTGGGGCGAGGGCGGGCTTTAAACGCGGCGGGTGATGATGGCAAGGCCTGGGAGACGGGCTGGCTGCAATGGCTAGCTGTGAGCCGAAGTCAAGAGTTGCTACTCAAGCGCGCCCTCTGGATTTACTGGATTTTCCCCGCACAACAATGTAGCCAAGCTGATACACCATCTCTAGTCACTGGCGATCAAGACGACTATGACATCGCCAACAAGTTCGTCTCTTGTCTCTGCTATGGCAAACAAGCAGAGGGTATTGAGCTCGGAAAAGACCTTATATCAGAGTACGTGGGAGTCTGCGAGAGCTGCACAGACACGCCGGACATTGTGAAAGAAGACCTGCAGGTACGTTAGAGATGCCATTCTAGTGGTAATTTAGACTGACGCATGGGTACTACAGGGTATGCTCACGGTCTGCACTGTGCAAGCTCAGAATGGAACGGCGGATCTGGCTTCATATTATAGGCCGCAGGTGTATCACACAAACATCACCGAGCCGGTAGTAGCCTACTACTAGAATTATTATGGCTGCTCGGTAATCATCTTGGACATCATCATACTCCTTTCATCAGAGACGGTGCGCCGCGCCCATATCAGGTCACGGAGGTCATGTCATGCAGGTATTGAGCCTGACGGACAATATTTGTAGAGTCACAATCTGTAGAAGATCTTGCGCTTATATGAATCATAATATATCCAAGGCGGTGACCTCATAGTTTGGAGTGACCATCAGCTCATCCTTTCTATCCCTGCGGCTCAAAAAGAGCTACCCAGTAGAGAAACAAAGGATGACCCAGAGGTATCACCGTCCGTCGTGTTTCTTTTCTCTTTTGATCAGCCTACAAAAGCACAAAGCGCATCGTTCTTCAAGTGAAGAGATGCAAGTTATTTAGCTAGACAACTCTTACTTGAAAGACCTTCTACTTTAGTTGACACCAATCTGGTTGTGCTCAGCACCCTCACTGATTTGATCAGCCAGACAACGTCCCACAAGAATGAGGATAGCCAGACTATCCCGTACATTCCGACCATCATCCCCCCGCGTCTCCCTCCGTCTGCCATCATGCAAGCGGGAGCAAGCCCCACATCCTCCCTTGGCCGTGCTTTTGACAAAATGTCTCCTGCCCCCGCTCCTGGCCCTCACTCTGGTTCTGACCCTCATCCCTCTTCTGCTACCCACCATCAATCACCACGGGACGACCTTCTTCACTATCCATCCCACCGGCAACTCGCGGGACACCACAATCACCTACCTCCCTACGGTTAACGAGACCAGCCCGGGAGCCAGCGCATCAGCAAGCGCGGCGATCCAGAATGCCGTAGCCGATGTAGCCAAGTCAGCTGGAGAAGATGCGGAAGTTGAGAATACCTTTGTGCAGAATGCGAATATGACTTTGCAGCAGTGGTTGGGTTTGGAGGGACCGAGTATATTTGCCGGAGCTTTACGTGAGTGTAGCTAGGTGCGAGCATCGGGGTGTTGCTGACATTTGGTGGAATTGAAGAGATCTGTTCTCAAGTCAGTCCCAATGACTCAATAGACTGCACTTCTTCCTCTCAAGCAGCTTACCGTAGGTCCAACCTACGTTGGCGTATCCAGCTCACTCCCTCGTAGACGCAGCGTTACTACCCCTCTCACTGGGCGACGCACTCTTTGCTCTCCCAACTTCCCCCAGTACTCCAATCCTGCTCCTCGTCTCCGGCATCCTCTCTTTACTGGCAACTGTCGTCTTCATCTGCGGCCTCGTGACCTGGCGTCTGCCACGCATTCCTCTCTTTCGAGGCCGTCGACCGCCTCTCCAGGCTACCCCGCATCGACCCGACTATCCAGGAGACACCGAGTCTGTCCGTAATCTCGTCCATGACGACCCAGAGGACGAGAAGAAAGCAATGATCAAGGTCAAGTGGGGCAGTGGGCCGCATCCGGCGTTCTTCTGTCTGGTGCTAGCTGCGCTTGGCGTTGGAGGTGGGGCAATGTTGGAAGTGAGAGATGTGGCGAGAGCTTGGAGAGCGTGGGATGATGTGCAGGCGGCAGAGGTGGGGTTGGGATTTGATGTGGGACCTTTGACCTTTTGTGAGTGCTGTCGTGCTGCATGTGCTAGCTAGAGCTGACAGCTTTGTCAGTGCTTCCTTTCTTGCCATTGTGTCATATATTGGTCATCGTCGTGGGGTCAGCACCCATGCTTTGCACACTGCTGGGTTCTCACAGACCAAAAGCCAGGGTCGAGGCGCCTCATATGACAACAGCTCAACCTCAGATCTCGACACCTACCAGGCAACCCCCTCAACCTACCATACGCATCACCGAGCCAGAGGCCAGCGTCACCGCGACCAATCCATCCGAAAAGCTCCCGGATAAGCATTTAAGTTTCTCAGAGACGCCCATGGTCCAGCATGGCAGAATATCGTCCAGAGCGTCGTGGAGAAACACATTTGGAGTTGGGGTAGCATCTTGATGCAGTCGCTTTGAACAGAAATCCTGTACAACAATGCATTTGCCGGGTCTCTTGTTCTCCTAATATTCCTGTCTCAGATCAGAGCGCCGAGGGTCTGAAATAGATCAGTACGTGTGCGGCAATGTAAAGGTGAAAGGCCAAAGGCATCGTTGGAGACCTACTTATGAGGGGGTGTAGTTGTGCCAAGTAAGTGATCGCCCACCTGAGCCAAGTCAGCCATCAAGTCAACGGTCTTTCAGGTCACTTACATGAGGTAGCAAGCAGTAAGCGTGAGGAGGGTGCTGGTTCGGAGGAGTCTGTGCAGTTGTGAGTATCAGTGCAGCGTACAGGCGGACTGCGTACGTTTGGTTCTGTCCCTTGGGGAAGAGGAACCAGCTGGCGGCCCCGATAGCGGCGAGGATGGCGCCGACGAAGACGATGTGGAAGAAGGAAGCCATGTCGATGTATGAAGAGAGAACACAAAGGGAACGAAGACGATAGTGGACAGTGACGGGGGAATCTGGGCTGCCGGCTCAGAATTTCATAATGCGGGTCCAAAAGCCTGTGATTAATATCAATCTGCCTGGGTAATGTTTTTACGCCCATTTGCAAATGTGGAGGTCTTGGTGAACTTCGAGCCGAACCAGAGAGCAACTCGAAAGCAAAGCAGCCTCAACATCCTCAACAGAAAATATGGCCTCACTAGGCTTGAAAAGAGCTTCTACCTCCAGGCTCGTCAAACGGGCTCTCAGCACTACCCCCCGTTCCGCCAATCTTTCACAAGAGCAGCAAAAACCGCCCATCAAAATCAACGACCTGCTTGCAACCATCTCTGCCGAGTCAAAGTCTAGAAATGCTCGTCTGGATAAAGCAGGAAAAATAGCCTATGATCATGGAGAGGGCCAGAGCATGGAACGGCGTTCGTACTTTGCGAGCGATGTTGACGCCGAGCCGGGGCTTGACTGGAGATCAGTAGGGATAGCAGAAGAGATCCCGGGATTGAATGTTGGAAGGGTTGTTGAATGTCGGAGGTGAGTGTATTGCATGCGAAATGGACACTCTCTGATAATATGTAGATCGGGCCAAGTCTCTATCGGTCTCATCCTCGCTACAATCCTGGTTATGGACAGACCTCGACTCTTGCTCCTACGATCCACTGGCGAAGTCTGGCCGATCTCATCAAATGACGTTCAATTTGTCATGCCTTCTTCGTTGGTGCCCAGGTCTCTTGCCGAAGAATGTTGGTCTCCAGAACAGCTTCAATCTTGGAGCGACTCATCGGAAGCCACCGTTGGCCTCCCGAGTGCTGTCGCCGCTCCGCCGCCAGAGATGATGGAAGCTAGACGAAAGGTTTCTTTGTTGCTTCGGAGAGTGCAGAGAGAGACGGAAAAGATGTGTCAAAAGCTCCGCGGTGGTGTCTTCAAACAAGGAAGAGTCGGTGGCGCTGAGGCCGCTTATGAAAAGTGGGCCTCAGAGGAGGCCGAGGAAAGAAAGTGTATCACTGCTGTCGAAGCGGCCGAGTACATTCTCAATCCTCAAGCCGGCGGGAAAACCGGCACTCCGACTACAGAGGTCAAGCCCAACACCCTTCCAGCCTATGCTGCCCACGTCCTCCTCATGAGTAGGCCAGACATGTTCATCTCCGATCAGACCGATATGTGGGCTACTGGGACCTATGTTGTGCGCTCTAAACCGGAACAAGCGAGGATAGCGCAACTACAGGAATGGGTGCAAATAGCACAGAAGCCTGGGGCTGATGGTGTCGAGTCCCCGGTACGGACGTTCGTAAAGAAGGCAAAAATCGTCCTCGACTTGGCTCGAAAGACTCGAGAAGAAACCGCGGGCCAGCACCTCAAACCTCTTCAGCACAACCTTCCTGAATGGTCAAAGACTGATCTCGACATCATCTCTTGTCTTTTCGCATATGTTGCCGAGACTCGTTCCACCCAGTTGACACCATTCCTTTCCCTATCTCTTGCCATCACACGACTTATCCTCTCTGATCCTCAAATCGATCGTGGGACAGTCACTGTGATGTTGCAAGAACTTGGCACGATCCTTCCTTGGGATAGCTTGGAGACTGCGAGAATAGTGGAAGCGGACAGGAACGCCATGACTACCACGTCTGTAGCTGGACATGTCCGAGGAGACGATGAGCTCCTCAAGGGCAACGAACTGGACGAACTCAGAGAAGACTTTAGCCATCACAAGGTGTTTGTCATCGATGACGCTACTGCACTGGAGCTAGACGACGGTATTGCTGTCGAAAAGATTGCGGGATCTGATGATGTCTGGGTCCACGTCCATATCGCCGACCCTACGCGATACATCCCTCCGGGCCACGAGCTCGCCAGACAAGCTTTCGTCCGGGGATCATCACTTTACATGGCCGAAGGGAGCATGCCCCTTTTCCCCACGGACCTCATCATGAAAGAAGTATCGCTGGGTGCCAATGTTGAAAGGGATGGCGGGCGACAAGGGTCAATGGTGTTTTCTGCACGAGTCAGCAAAGCTGGTAATGTGGAAGACAGCAAGGTCAGGATGGGTTGGGTGAACAAACCTCGAGTGGTCACCTACGCATCAGTGAACAAAGCTCTAGGCCTGCCAACGTCCTCGTATACCAGACCTTTCGGTGGCCCATCTACTTCGACTGAGCCTCCAATGCCCGAAATCACTGCTGAGGATGCCGCCGAACTTCGTCTCTTGTATGACACTGCGCGTAATCTGCGTGCTAGGCGTTTCGCTACCGCGGGCTACGAATGGTCAAAACCTTCTGCTTCCATCTCCCTCCCACACCTTCCAGGCCGGCCCAATCCTCACCTCTTTTCGCGCCACCACCTCCTCTCTACCCCACAGCTCTTCTCCGGCTCCCTTCCAGTCGAATACTGCGTCAAGACTCCTGTGGAAGGCATCGATGCTGGCTCCCTTGTAGCAGAGTACATGGTTCTCGGTGGGCGCGTCGCAGCTTGGTTCTGCTCCGAGCGAAATCTGCCCATGGTGTACCGCGCGAGCGCGGCACCCAGCCCTGTCGCCACATCCCAGACCTTGGAAGACTTGCTTGCCAAACGGGACCCAGAAACAGGCATAATCGACGCTTTCGCAACGCTCGGAAAAGGATGGTACCGCCCCGCGGGCTACATCTCGTTGCAACCCGAAGAGCACTGGATCATGGGTATCGTGGGCGAAAGCAAGGGCTACGTCCGCGCAACTTCACCTTTGAGAAGGTTTGACGATATGCTGGTGCACTGGCAAATCAAAGCAGCTCTCGCCCGGCAGGCCGGTCTTTCGCGGGAACATGTGCGAGGCTTTGAGAAGGAGGATATTGTCAGGATGGCACAGAAGAGCGAGGAAGGTGTCAAGAGGGCAAAGAGGGCTGGAATGGTGTCAGATATGTTTTGGCAGACAAAGGTCATTGGAAGGAATCTGAGGTCTGAAACGTGGCCTTTGCCCGAAGGCTGGGGCAAGGATGAGACTGCGGTAGATGTCAGGGATGTTCTGATCGGCAAAGTCACTTCGGCGCCGGAGAATGCGGCGTCATTGAAGGGCGAGTTGACGACAGTCAGGCTGGACCAGTTGGGCGTGACGGCGAAGGTGCTCCACCCGGCAGGGTTGACGTGGGATATGGGAGAGGAGATGAAGGTGAAATTGGACTTGGCGGAGGAATGGCCGAACCCTCGTATCCAGGGTGTGCGACTTGTATAGAGATTAGAGAGGATAAAATTGTACCATTACATTGTTATATTGCATCATCACGTCTCACTACATATGCATCACTCCGCAAAGCAACAGCGACCAATCTCCATCCTAGAAGCCCATCCTGATGGGTGGCGGAGGCGGAGGCGCTTGCCCAGGCATTTGGTATTGTGCCCCAGGGAAGCCTGTCGGTGGGGGCGGCACGTAACCTTGCGGCAATTGTTGGTACCCGGGATAGGCAGGCTGTCCAGCAGGCGCCTGAGGTTGGTAGACTGGCATTCCAGGAGGTGGGGGTGGGGGATAGACGGGAGCAGTTTGAACTGCGGCAGCAGCAGAGAGGGCGTTGGCGTATTGCCCTTGATAAGGGAGGTTGCCTCCTGTAGATGGTAATATCTGCCTTTTCCTGTGATCCTGTCAGTTCCCGCACGATACTCAGATTTACGAGCCACTTACTTGGCCTGGGCAGCCAGCATCCTTTCAGCTTCACTACCATGTCTCTCGCCCTTTCCGTCCTTCTTGAACGCATATTGCACCGTGATCTGCTTTCCTCCCAAGAATTGTCCGTTCATATTCTCTATAGCCGCATCGGCAGCTTCAAAGTCGTTGTATGCAACGAACGCATATCCCTTTGAGAGGCCATTTGAAGGATCTCTGGCAATCTACTGTGCGTCAGAGTCTGTTCTTGAAGTTCACCTAGTACTTTACTTACCTTGGGCTGCTCCGCCAATGACCCAAACGCAGCGAAAGTATCGTACAAGGACTGCTCATCCAAATTCGCCTCCAAGCTCCCCACAAACAGGTTCGCCCCCACATCCACCTGCTTCTTGTCATAGGACGCCTTGTTGACCCGGATGGGTTTGCCGTAAAGTTTAATTTGGTTCATGATCTTGACAGCGTAGTCGGCGTCTTCTTCAGACATGAATTCACAGAAACCGAAGCCTTGGTGGGCTTGAGAGATTCTGTCTTTCGGGAGAAAAACGTTGGCTAGAGAATGGTGTTAGATTGATTATCAAGACGCAACATTTATGCTTACAGACAGGACCGGCTTGCCTATATCGGAGTCAGCTCTTTTCAGCTGGGCAGGAGGAAGCCGACTTACAGCATGAGCTCCCATACCAGCGCATCCGTACATTGTTCATCCAGATTGCCCTGATCCCTCTGTCAGCTTTAGTCTCAAGGAGGCCATGAAGGACTTACGAGGTACACGGTAGCCTCCTGATTTCTATCTTGCTCTGCCTTATTTTGCATCGTGGAAGCCTTGAAGGATGAGCGGAAGAGACTCTTGTAGAATGCCAGATGGTGTGGGTATTTCAAGAGTCGAGCTTTGTCGCGATGGCAATAGCTGGATAGGGCAGACTTGCAGTTGGCCTGGATCTTGGGTTTGAGCTGAAGAGAGCAAGAGACTGAAAGCGAGTGCGGCATCTTTAACGGAACCAGAACTCCTTTGACGGCACTGGCCGCCTCACTGGCAGTGAGGGTCTGAGACCTGAGTTGCCGCGAAGGCTTGGCGAAGGCGCATATGCGCTGTTAGCGAAATGGATCCTTTCAGACCTGATGCTATACGAAAGCGCACTGCTATCACAACCAAAATCAAAGCGTTATCCAGAGAGAAGCAAGCGGATTCAAAAGCAACACTTCCATGAAAGTTTGCTATGCAACCCTCACCGCGAATTTCGCTTCTAAATCCGCTTGCTTCTCTCTGGATAACGCTTTGATTTTGGTTGTGATAGCAGTGCGCTTTCGTGTAGCATCAGGTCTGAAAGGATCCATTTCGCTGACAGCGCATAGCGCTGTTATAAATGACCTTTGTTGAGAGGCAGTGAATGACTATACTAATCAGTACTCGTACGGTATAATTTGCTAGTTATACCTCTAGTGACATTGATACATACTTGCTTTGTCTAGCAACGAAAGCTCAGGATACACCTGAGCTCCTCTACTGAAGGTCTATGCATATGATAGGTATGAATTACAGAGATATGCACGGGAGTACAGCGAGCACTATATTGAATGGGAATCTCGTTTTGGATCTACTTCAAGAGGCTTGAAACGCCTTGTCCTCGTTCGCCGAATCTTCGGTGAACCTAGTCCTCAAGCTCGATAACAGCATCGTGCTCTTCTCCTTCATCTCCAGGAATCTTCTCAAGCTGCAGTATGATCAGCTTGATGATCCAGAGGCAAAAGGGCACGACTCACGGTGTCAAGCTCAGCAAGCGACTCGCCGATGATCTTGACGGCCTTGCGGATGTCTTCCTCGCTAATGACGAGTGGGGGAGCGAATCGAATACTATTTCACATCAGTACTTGGTTCCAATACATATTGAGGGGGCTTACATGTTGACATGCGTAGGCTTGGCCAGCAGACCCTTGCTCTTCATCAACAAACAAAGCTGCCAAGCAGTCCTGCCCTTCTTGCTCGCAGTCTCATCGATCACTACACCGTTGAACAGACCTCTGCCTCTGATGAGCTTGATGAACGGCGAGTTGAGCTTGGTAAGCTCGGATCGGAAGATTTCACCAAGCTTTTGAGAGCGGTTAGCGAGGTCTTCCTTGACGAGGACGTCGAGGGCGGTCATGGCGACGGCGCAACCGAGGGGGTTACCGCCGTAAGTGGAGCCGTGCTCTCCTGGCTTGATGCAGAGCATGATATCCTTGTCTGCCAGCACGCAGGAGACAGGGTACACTATCTCACTGTCAGCTTCACGACTTGAGGATAATCAAGACGACTCACTGCCACCGGAGAGAGCCTTGCCGAGGATGACCATGTCGGGTCGGATGTTGTCCCACTCGTAGCAGAGCATCTTGCCGGTTCGACAAAGACCAGTCTGAATCTCGTCACAAATCAAGAGTACGTTGTGCTTCTTGCAGATTTCGGCACATTTGGCCAGGTAACCATCGTCGGGCACGTAGATACTATAGACTCTGTCAGTTCAAGCGCTCAATACCGTCGCATAGATCAACTTACCCAGCTTCACCCTGGATGGGCTCAACCAAGAACGCAGCGACCTCCTCTCCGTGCTTTTCGAGCACCTTCTCCAGATCCTCAGGGTGGTTGTACCTGATCAATCCAGTGTCCCACTGAGGTCCCACGTTATCCAAGAACGGGCCGAAGCCATTCCTTGATTCGGGGTCAGTAGACATGGAGATGATACCAATGGTCCTTCCGTGGAAGTTGCCCTCGACAGAAAGTACCTTGGCCTTGCCATCGGGAATCTTCTTCTTCTCGTAACCCCATTTCCTGGCAAGCTTGATAGCAGTCTCAACGGCTTCAGCACCAGTGTTCATGGGAAGAACCATGTCGTATCCGAACATGGAGGTGATCTTCTTGGCAAAGGGACCAAGGTTGGACGAGTAGAAGGCTCGAGAGGAAAGGGTAAGCTTTGACGCTTGCTCGACGAGGGATTTCACTGTCATGTATGAGCGTTGCCAGATATCCGCGACTCGTCAAACTCACAAATCTCGGGGTGACAGTGGCCTTGGTTGACAGCGCTGTCGAGGCTGTTAGACAAACGTATGTGGGTGGTCGCACAAACTTACGAGTAAGCAGAGAGAAAGTCGAGGTACTCGTTGCCCTCGGGGTCCCAAACGTGAGCTCCTTCACCCTTCTCAAAGCAGCTACATCAGGTCAGCAATACGACCTACGCTGTCCCTGTGAGTCAACACTCTGCTGAATACTTACACTGGGAGAGGGTGGTAGTTGTGGCTGTACGGCGGTCAGCACGGGGCAACATAATCAGCCACTGGCAATGCTCACGCAGAGTGTTCGTGTTCGAGGTGCATGACATCGGCGCTTGAGATGCTGGCGCCATTCTGGGCAGAGGTTGCGGGGGACATGTTGATTCGGTTACTGGTGAATGCTGACCTGGCGCAGTTGTACTCGGGTGGAAGGATGCTGATGGAGATGTTGAGATGAGAAAGGGAAAAGGAGGAAAAGCAGGCCTATATGATCGACCTCACACTGCAGAGCGGGTACGGCATCTAGCCGTAAGCGCCCGCAAGGCACGTGACGTAGCTAGGCGCACTCATCAAGTTGGCTGATGCAAGACTTTGCACGGCACATGTCTTTCGAGCGTGTGCATCAGGACAGAGGACGGGATTGTTCACGCATGATTGCGCTTGATACAAAGATCGGGCACAGGTGACAGGATTTCATCCAACATAGACCTACGGTTGTACTATCATTACCCGGCCGGCATAACACAAATACAACGAACTATCAATGTACAATTATGGATCACTACTTCTCTTAATCATATATCGGCGATGAGGACCCGCCCAACATGTCTATGAAATTTTTCGTACTCCCTGGCGTTTTCACCTCATTCGATGTCTGCGAACCACTCGTCGTAGCCTGGCTTTGCCTATACCAAGTCCCATCTTCTCGGCTCGCCTGCTGCCTCATCTCTTCCCCGAACGGGTGGACATCTTCGTCTTCTTCCGCCTCATCGCGGTGACCGGGGGGCGGGGGCAAAGGTGACCCGGTGGACGGACTAGGGGAGAGAGGAGTAAGAGGCGAAGGGGTTCTCTTCAGAGTGGCTTGTGCTCGCTCCACTAGTCGCCTGCGCCTGATCTCCCTCTTTCCCCCTTCGTTCAGCCGGGGATCGTCGGGGACTCGTCCCAGCAAAGGAACCAGAAGTTTTCCAGACGAGTGGGCCGTTGTTCGGCTTGGTCCCGCGGAAGCATTACCCTCCTCTTGCTCCTCTTCAAAGACATGATCCTCCTCCTCGCTGAACGCCTTGTCAAAGCTGCGGATCTGATCTTCCGTCTTTCTAGGCTTTTTGTTCTTGAAGAACCCCTGGGATGGAAGGGATGTCTGCCCCTCATCGTGAGGCTGAGCCCTCGGGGTCTTCCTCTTAGTAGCCGATCTAGTAGCTGGCTTGCGGACGGTAGAAGCTTTGGGCGTCGACTTGGCGGGGGTGTTTCCTTTGTCCTTGACACCTTTGCCCTTCCCGGTACTCTGCGGCGCGGAGGTCGAGCGCCTAGGTCCCATGAGTACGGAAAAGGCGTCCCTCTTCTGCGGCTTCTCACTCTCCCCTTCCGCATTCGCCACAGCATCCTCCTCTTTCTTCTCACTGCTCTCTGTGTCTGCTGCAGCCTGCCGCCGCGTCTTCGCGGAGCTCGAGACCACCTTCCTGCCCTCGTCATCCGATTCACCAATAAGCACGTCACCAGACGTCTGAGGCGAGATCACTTCGCCTCTCTGCTTCCTTTTCCTCATTCGGGGCTTTTCGCCGGGCACGACAGCTGAGCTTCTCGCTGCCGAATTGGCTATAGGGGAAGAGTTGCGCTCAGTGTCAGGCCGCTGGGCAACAAGGTCGGAGCCCCCATGACCAGTGAGATCATCAGGTAACCTGGCAGAAGCCAACTCGGCCGGGCTGAAAGGTCCGTGCTGGCTGACCGGAGACTCAGTGAACTGGCTTTGGCGCATAGGTTGTGTAGGTGTCGTCTGAGTTGAGCTCGGAGATGCTGCGAGGCTCACTTCGTGTGGTATAGTCTGGAACAGCCCTTGTGATTGAGTGGGTCTCAGCTGCATTTTTTTAGCCATCTCTCATTCATATAGCCCCCGGGAGACCTTACCTGGGAGCTTCTCACGTCATCACGTGGTATAGTCTGGAACAGCCCTTGCGATTGAGTCGGCCCAAGCTGCATTGTGTTAGCTATATCGCATTCGAAGAGCCTCGGGGGGATCTTACCTGTGAGCTCCTCAGGTCAGATTCTTCATCCATAAGATCATCTTCTTCATTGTCTCTCGACCGCTGTGACCGTCTTGGTGACCGTCTCGATGCTGATGCGGGCAACGGAGGTGGTGTCATCTGCCCCATTGCCGCCCCACCAATACGCTGGGACGTCCGCTGAGGAGTCTGCTGCTGAGGCGACCGAGTCTTGGTGGGAGTCGCTACCATGGGCATCTCTTCCCGGGACTGTGACGGTTTCTCGCATGATCGGCTTCGCGAGGCAACGTTCCCCGTTGAAGATTGGGAAGACGTCGGCACTCTGCCTTCAGGATGCGACTGGAAAAGATTGTTGTCTGCGTAAGTCTCGTTCAACTGCCGTAACATTAGCGGGTGAGCAAATTATCCTACACTGATGATGACTTACAGCAGGGTCGAGGGTCCCAGCTTCGGCTTCACATCCCTCATCACTCTCCGCCAAGTTTCGCGCCGCTTCCTCTCGCTCGTCACCAAAAAGGTTTGATTGTTGGCTTTGCTGACTCTCTTGAGGCTCCAATTTCACCCTCTCTCTCACTGGCCTTTGAGTGGGCTTCTTGCTCGCTTTGTGTAGAGAGGTTTCGGTGCCAGAGGGTGAAGAGCGAGCCAAAGCGGCAATCCTCGAGCTTTGTCGAGTAGATGCCGGTTCTTCTCCTTGATCATGTTCCTATAACGTATGAGTCCAATTCGTGGATCCACTTGGTTTATTCGCTCACCTCTTCTCTGACTGATGGTGACAGTACATTTCCAGGCACATCATTTCCAGCCGTGAACAACGTTTCGCTAGTGTCCACAGGGACGTAAAGTCTCCCCTCGGACTGCTGAGGCTGTCCCTGGTGTACACCACCTGCCATGCCTTTGGGAGGAACCAAATCGAAAGACTCGTGATGATATACCATCTGCTTGCCTTGTTCTCCTGTCGAGTGCAACGATGGCAAGGGTCGTGAAGGCCCACCGGACGTCTGGCGGGCAGGAAGCTCGAAGGATTGTTGGCTCGCTCCAGGACTGAGCTCGTTGGGGCCGGTCCGCACGTTTGCCTGAAGATGTCGAGGTGAAGGTGAGGAGTTGGAGGCAGGAGAGAGTGCTCGTGGTCTCCTGGGCGTCTTTTTGGGGGTCAACGGCTCACGTTTCGGTGTGGGGGACACGGAGTCTTTGGCTGTTGAGCTGCTTCGCACGGGCGTCGACTTTTGGGACGCATGACTTGAAGGCGAGGACTTTTGGGCCGATTTGCCTTCCCTGGGACGTGCGAATATATTGCCAAAATGGTAGGGTGGTTCAGCCTTTTTAGGCTTTTTTGCTGGACGGGGGGATCTGGAAGAGTCGTTGTCTGACGAAGGATGTTCTGCCAGAGGCAGTCCACGGGCGGCGCGGTGTGTAGGTCGTTCACCCTTGCCTGAACGCGTCCTCGTGGCCATCCTCGGCGACTTGGCATTCTCGTCAGAACTCACGCCACGCTTCCTCTTCCTCGTAGGCGACGCTTGCGGCGCTTTCTGCCTTGGAGGGATTCCGTTGATCTCCCGTACCCGGCGCATGGTTTCTGTTCCACAAATCGGCTCAGGCGTTTCCAGCTCGCTCTCAACGGGAAAGAACCCCAAGTCCGGCGAGCGGCGCGCGGGAGACAAGCTGTAAGACAGGTTCGGAGTACGGGGGATCGGGCGTTGGCGAGAGTCGTTGGTCTCTTTCATAGGAGATCGACGCGTCGAAGCGGGTGTCTTGCTCTTGCTAGACTCGCCATCGCCATGCACCTTGAACCGCTCCATGCCTCCAGCTCCGGTGTTGCCCACCATAAGGCGTCCTCCGCCACGCAGTGGCATGGGGCTGTCCCGCGACTCGTGCCCCCTGTCCTGAGCACGTCCCTTGCCCTTGTCCGCTTTATCAGTTGCAGCCGGCGTGGGCAGCCCAAAAGGTAGAGGCCGCTTCTTGGCCACTTGTGGGGTCACCTCGTTCTCATTGGTGACGGCAGGTTTTCGCGCAGAACGGACTGGCTTGCTGACGCTTTGAGACGCGTATAACGGTGGTTGGGTGAGTTTGCGTTGTTTCGGAGACGAGGGCCTCTTTCTGCTGGTGTTGATCCAGGCAAACTTCCTGGGATTCTCCTGCGGCACCATTGCTGGTGACGGGAGGAGAGCGAGTGGTGTCGACGCGTCTTGTGGGAACGCGATGGACGATTGAATGATCGCAAGAGGAGATGATGAATCGAGAGACGCGTCGCGTGCCTTGCGGCGGGGTGCGCCAACGACTTTGAACATCATCGTTACGTTGACTGACGTCGCTTCGCATGCATGCATCTTTTGACTCTCTGATGACCTGGATATCTGCATCTGAATGTGCTTATCATGCACAGCGTACAACAGCGCCCCGTGTCCACCTTATCCCTTCAGACGCAGTGCCACATGCACTCGCACCACCCAACGGCCGCGGCGGCAAAGTCCGTGCCAATGGTTTACGTAACGTATGCAGTCAAAAAAGCGGATGATCCCGGAGATTCGAGCTTGCCCTCCTATCAAATCGCGTACATTCGACCTTCTCCCCAACCACCGCTCACAAATCATCCAACCAACAATGGCCGCCGCCCTCAAGAACCTCCGCACCGCGCTCCCCGCCCTCCGACGATCCGTCGCCCCCGCCCCCGCCTTCGCTGCCCGAGCCTTCTCCGTTTCTGCGGCCAGGTCTGCCGGCCACGGCCCTCCCCAATTGCTCGGTCCTGGTGCCAAGGCTGGTGAAGTCCCCTCCGAGTGAGTATTGGATGGATAAAGAAGGATAGACGTGCGGCCGCCCACGAAGACTGAAGGAGAACTGTGAAATGGGAAAGGACGGAGGGCGTGTAGATCTGGAGCAAATAAGATGCTGCAAAGGAGACGCGGCAGAGCAGAACAGACGAGACGGCGGTGGAAATGGAAATACACAATAACTGTGCTAATACGATCTCAGCGAGAACCAGTCCACCGGTCTTGAGCGATTCGAGCTCCTCGGTAAGCTCGAGGGTGTTGATGTTTTCGACATGAACCCCCTCGAGGTTACCAGGCTCGGTACTACTGAGGACCCCATCCCTATCTACTCTCTCGCAAGTCACTCTTACTGAGACCGGGCACATCAGGCGGACTAACATGCCATATAGTTCCCTGTCCGTCAAGTCGGCTGCACTGGTTACCCCGTCGACTCCCACGACACCATCTGGATCAACGTCACCCACGAGAAGAAGCACGGTAAATGCCCCGAGTGTGGTTCCGGTATGTTTGCGAGCGGCGTACTGGGTCAAGATGCTGACAGGTCAACAGTCTACACTCTCAACTACCAAGGTTCCGAGGCCAACCTCAACCCCGGTCACCACCACTAAACGAGTCCTCTTGCTCTAGTTACGTAGTGTAGGATGTACGGATATTCTCGGCTATTAGCACGTCAGGCCGTCTAATCAGACCCTCTGGGTTGTCTCATAACAACGTCTTGTTCTATAGCAACATCTCAAACAAGAGGTGATCGCGGACAAGACACATGAGTACAAAATAAGATCCCACGCTGTGGAACGCTTTTTGCCTGGCCACGTTGTCTTCTTACATTCGTCCTTCTAACTTCGTCTTCCTCTTCTGCTACGGTCTTTCAATATAGTCGGCTGTCAAATCTTGACGCTCGTATACAGTAGAACGCGACTAGAACGCGACTGCAGCAGACACATCGTACACAAATCCGGTTGTCAGAGGGGAGAAGGTACATCATTGCCTGTCATACTAAGAGTGGTATAACATGCTCGATTACGACTACGGTCCATTCGCGCATCTCTCATCACTCCTTGGTCGGGCTGGTGGACCTTCGCTTCTTGGGGGTAGCCTTCTTAAGGTCTGTCTGAGTCTCGGCCCAAGCTTCATAGATGGCCTTCTGCTCCTTGTGCTTGGACTTGTAAACCTATATGATTCGTTTAGACACCACTCGATCACTTGCAGCTTTCGACGTACCTCCTTCTCCGCATCGCTCAGACCGAGCCACTTGGCTCCAGTCAACTTGGCCACAGCCTGCGCTCGTTGCAGAGGTGGCAAGTCGGCGTCGACCTGGGCAAGCAACTCAGACCTGACATCGTCGGCGAAAGCAAGGTAGGGGTTGAGCGGCTTTCCGGGGTTACCAGTTCTGGTCTTGTAATCCTCCTTCTCCGCCTTCTTTCCTCCGGGGTACCTGAGCTTCTTCCCGGTGGCCTGCTCGATAGCCGCCTTGGTGTCCTTACTGGTGGACACCCAGAACTGGCGGTACTCCTCGGCAGTCCTCTTCCTCTCGTCCGCAGCGCGCTTCTGGAGGACATCTCTCTCGGCCTGGGGAAGGGCATTGAAAGCAGATCCGGCAGCGACAGTGATCTCTTTCATGTTGAACTTGCCGTTGGCATCGCGATAGTTGTTGCCGTTGGCGGCGAGATATTCTTTGAAGAAGATGGGGTAAGGACTGTTGTTGGAGATTTTGGGAACGACGGGCAGAGTGGGGTCTACGAGGACGAGTCAGTGTGACTGTCGCGCATAGATGGGTCGCGCTGATTTGAAGGATTGAAGCCGGGAACCGCTGACAGGTCTAACAGATGCCTAGGTATGCAGTTGAGACATAGGTCCTGAGATAGACGACCTTCCGAATTATATGACTTACCAATGGCCTTTTTGGACCTGCTGACGGAAGTGGACAGCAACCTGGTAGCCAAGGAACCAGTACCAAAGACGGGGCGGAGAAGGCTGACGGATAGCATGTTGATAGGATTGAATGCGCTGTGGTTCGCACGCGTGGATATAGGGGGAGATGGGGTGAGACAGAAGAGAAAGGCGGATTGCGGAACGCGGACTGACTGAACGCGGGGGAGTTGTTTGCGAAGATGCAGGCGGGTGGCGGTTGCCGCTTTCGGCAAATGTAATGTGGCGAGCCTGAGATGACGTTACCAAGTACGACGCGACTTGTCACTCAACTCGTTCATCATTCAGGAGACAAACAAACTCTGTACTCGAGTATTTACAGTGTACATGCAGTTACGATTATGAATGCTTCGACCGCACAAGAGGCCTCAGTGCTTGATATCTACCCTGGATTCTTCTTCCTCTGCTTTTTTTCCTGACGACTTTCTGAACCATGTGAACTTGTGACCTGGGGATCGCCATTGCTCTCCCTTCACTAGAGCGTATGCGTCAGCTCAGAGATGACACTTCTTTCATTGGAGCTTACCAATCAACAGCAGATTACACCCACACGCGAGCGCCAGAACACCCGCGAAAAGCGTAAAGAGCCCCCCATCACCAATCGCATTCCTGATAGGCTGCGCGATCTGCGACATCACACATCCACAAATCCCTCTCAGCATTGAGTTACAGGATACCGCCGAAGAAGAGATGCCGGGATTGGAGTCGACCAGGTAGGCGAGGGAAGATGAATATATCCAGAGCTGGGAGAAGCCGCAAAAGAAGAGACAGACGACGATACCGGCGATATGTACCTTTTCCTGAGCGGTCCAGGCATATGCAAGAAAGGAAGCGATCAGGACAGGCATCATGACGACGGTCGCCTTCAGTCTCATCTACGCAGCGCAACAACGATAATCAGTATGAGACTTGAGAAGAACATCGCTCAACTACGCACCTCTGAGACACCCACACCGCCATTCTTCTTCTTCAGTCGCCTGAGCACCATATCCGAATATTTCCCTCCTATTACACTTGCAGAGATGTTTCCGATCCCAAAAGAAAGAATAGCAAGACCAATCTTGAGAGGATTGTAGTTGTACGGCGCTTCTCCAAGTAAGAGGGAAGCAGTATAGACAATCGTGTACTGGGCTCCGAAACTGAGAGCTGTGAAGGGCATAGTCAGCAAGATGGCGTGCGGGAGAGAAAAAGCTGTTGAAAACGGTACTCACAAGACGAGGTAACGATGAGGATATTTGTGGGTCGCTTCATGATCGTCATCATCGATGGCAGAGGATTTAAATCCCTCGCGGAAGGCTTTATTTTGGCCTTTCGCTCCGCTGATACAGTCCTTCCCCTTCCTCGCAGCCCAATCAGACGCTGCCACATCGTCACCTTGACGATTTTTCCCTCCTCGCCTTTACCCTCTTCCAATGTAACATCGACCAATGTCCTATCCCCCGTTTGTCCTAACACATTAGCATCGTCGCTCCCTCGCCTGGAGCCCATCGGCGTGGCACCAGGCGTTTCGGATGGGGTAGCAGGGATTGTATCCAGTCCACCAGGCTGATGACTGGCGAGCTTGGCCTTGCGACGGATGTCTTTTTTGTTAGTTTGTTCGGCGCGGACTGTAGCCTCTGTAATGGCTTTTTGATATAGCCTTGAGCGCTTGGAGACAGGTCAGCACTTGGATAGAGGATTGAGAAATCCTCACTTCTCGGCGCCATGAGTCGGGCGTGATGGCAAAGAAGCACTCCATGATGAATGCGTAGCAGGAAAGAAAGTAGAAAACACTTCTCCATCCAAACGCCTGTGATACTTGTTAATCAACTCATTCAGCACTTGTAGAGTGAGACTCACTTGACCCAGTCCACCACCGATGATAGGCGCCAAAGCTGGGCCAAACATTGGGACGCCATAGAACATGCCAAGCTGTGATACTATCAATATAGGTCCAGAATGTTGACCCCAGGTTACCCACCTTTGCACCTCGTTCATGTTGTTCATACATGTCTGCCAAGCTTCCCGCACCGATCGCGAGAGCAGGACCACTGCCGAAAGCTTGCAGAACTCTCATGGCGATCAATACTGGCATGGATTGGGCTCGAGAGCCGATAACGAGCGCGGCCAGGTAGATCTGCGACATAGTCAGTATGGCCATGGGAAGCCAGAGGGAATCGCCCACCGCATATGATAGCAGATATATAGGCTGGAGAGGCAACGGTCATCAGCACCTTTGCCCGGAACCTGTCATAACGCCATTCTACATACCTTGCGGCCAGTAATCTTGTGGAAAGTCAGCGCAACGCCCTCATAATAACTTGTGACTACTCACCTCAGACACGGGAGCCCAAAAGAGTGGTGTACATCCCTGAAACCTGACAGACACTAGTCAGCACAGAGAAGACGAAGCCCTTTATCCAAGTCTGCTCACAGGATGTAGAGAGATAGCGACATTCCAATTTGCGCGTCACTGGCTCCAAGTTCGGAGCGTACATCGTTGACAACTGGGTTGTAGATACTAGCGGCCATAGTGGGACCAAGCTGTACGCTCTCAGCGAATAGCCCATTACCTGGTGCGCTTTAACTTACTACGGCAAATGACATGACTAAAAGAACGCCCCATTTCTTCCTTGGACTCCATTCTCTAGGATCATCGTCCACGGGTACATGCTCAATATCGATCGGTACCAGCCCCCCGCTCTTCTCAACAGAGGCTCCTGGACCATCGCTCTCTCCAGTGGCTCTTGGTCCTTCACTTTCTGGAGGATAGGCGTCGGTAGATTGGATCCGAGAGAGGTGCTCTGACAAACGAGATGCTTGTCGTTCAAGCATTGTCTGCTTCTGAGGGAGATAGGAAATGGGGGTTGTGGAGGCAGATGCCATCTTGATCACCGAATAGGGTCCGGTTTGCCGGCTGACTCCTGACGGCGAGATGATCAGGAGAAATTCACAGGTGGTCGCGGTTATGAGGCTCGAATATGGAGAGCATTGAGTGCTACTCGCTGTCTTGGCTGATTGTGGACGGTCTGGAGATGGAGAGAAACAAAACCGAGTGAATGAGTGGCGTGATCGCTGGTCCGAAGATTATAAGGGCGTTCAATGGCGGCAACGACGGAGCTGAGTGCGGGCGATGTCGGGGTTGGAGGTATAGTCTGGCTGGGATGTACGCGAGATATCCAGAGTCGGGTGGAGATAGATGCAGAAGGACCAGTCACGGGCTGCAACTTGTGCCGAGGTGCCGAAAAAATGAGTCAAAGCCCACAACCATCGGGTATGTCCGTAGGCACATGTCGGTTATTTTGGTTATCTATACATAACCTCTGAATTTTCGGCCGGCCTCTCTTCAGTCTCTGCTTCGCGATGTTCGCATGTATGTGCATGACTCTGTGTAAGAACGCTACTTCAGCTAGGTCGACATGATGTATCAAAACAAGCTCCGGACCCTTCAGTAAAAACAGCTCAACTGCTGCGTATACAATCTCGCTGTGAGGAGAGGGCCGGGGGAGAAGCAATCATGTATGTGAAAGCTGCTTCGTCAAAAGGGCTCAACAAGATACAGTGCTTGCATCTTACAAACCACAAGCCCAATACAGAAGCAAGAGACTAGTTCTTATGCTACTCGTACGACATGAACAGTAGTAGTGGTACAATTGCTCTACGTGAAGAGTGATGCCTCATTCCGTCACCCATTCAATCCCATACCTCCTCCACCGCCAGCTGATGGTTCATCCTCAGATCCTCATAGTGTATTATCCTCTTTGCCCGCTCCGATCCCTCGCCATCCTGGATCCCGCTCGTTAGCTCAATCCTCCATCGCTCTCCGCTGTCACTCACAGAGAGATCAATGCTCGACGTCCTCCTCTTCCGGCATACCCTGGACGCCCTCTTGTCTCCCCTCCGCTTTTTGAACAATTCTTTTGCCCTTTGCCTCTGCGAAAAGCTTTGATCCACCTTCCCTTCCATCCTCGCCAAGACCTGCGCTCCCTTCCAGCCGGTCTTGACAGGGCTACTAGGCTGCTGACTGCTGACCTCCGTGGACAGGTTGGAAGCCTCGGAATTGCGATACGACATTGAAGAGAACGAGGAAGGTGTAGGACATCGCTGAACGAGATGGCGAGCAGGTACAGATGTGTGATAAGGCCCGGTGAAATTTGCTAGGTAGAGATCAGCAATCATCCTAAGAACATTTCAACCGTCCAAATTGACCCACATGTGACGTGAAGGCACAGAAGCCAAAATCCGAAAGGGTCCCTCCAGTTGCCCTCTGTCTCCCAAAAGTCTGGCGATGGCCTCCCTGATGAACGCTCATCCTCTTTGTTGACATTCGGTATTTCTCGAGGACGATTGACGAGGGCGCCACTGAGACCCAACTCCGAGGAACCACGTGTGGAAAACACCTCTCGTTGTTTAAGCCTGGGGGTCAAGGGTCTGGTGACGGTCATTCCAGGCAATCGGGTGGCGCCTGTATCTGCAAGCGGGTGGACGGCTATGCTGTGATTCGGTGTGACAGGCGGCGAGGGGAATGATACAGCAACCAACCAGGTATCATCCACTGGTGCCATGCCGAGAGGATGTTCTTCTTTCCGCCCGACCTGATTATCAGCCTCATCATCCTCCGTCTGGTTCCTCGCACTCTCCAATGAAAGATCCTCGCTGCGCTCGCTTGTTTTCGAAGTACGAGGCGTACGACGCGAGCGATACGGCGTTGATTGGCGTTGGGTGATCTTGCTGACAGTCTGCGAAGCTTTCGGCATCGTATATGTAGCGACGGAGAGGTCGTTCAGAGGTACCGTGATATCGCGATCCGAATTTGATGCCCCTGAAAGGCGGGTGGAGACATTGATGGGCTCCACATGGTGTTTGTCGGGCCGGCTAGCAAGCGCATGGAGCTCGGCTACCTCTGCGGTAGAGGTGGTTGTATCTGCTGTCTGATCGGAGATGGTCGCTCTGACCGCGTGGTCTGGATCCTTCAGCGGGTGAGGATCGACATCGTTGAGCGGCACCACCATGTCCTGCGAAGTGACAAAGCCAGGTTCATTCTCCATTTCTCGTTGATGGGTCAAGATACACGTCAAATCATGAGTGCTAGGTGGCTCGCCGACTCGGATAGGCTCTATCTCGGTCCCAGAGATGCTGGGTGACGTCAATGTCTGCGAGGACGTGTCTACTGGAATGTCTGATGTTGAACGAAGAGAGTCCAACTTGGATAGGGATGGGCGTGGTTCGGCGACCAGGCGTCGACGACCTGCTTTAGGTGTTGAGGTCGCTCTGATGCTCTAAGCTGATATCAGTCACGGGCAATGTCACATAGCAATATAGACTTGCCGCTTTGCGCGAAAGAGTTCTTCTCTTTGCAGGCGTGCACGTCATACCCATGCCCAGGCTCGTCCGTTCCTCGCCTTTTCCTACATTTGGGACTGTATTTGTTGACTGGGCGTAGCTGATAGGGCTGGTTCTCTTCTGTTGCTTGGGCTGGCGCCTCCATCCGGACAAGCCAGAGAGGGTGATACTCTCGGCAGAAGAGGCGCGCTGAAGGCGTTTCCGGCCGCCTGTCCGGCCGCCTGGGAACGGCTGTGATTCGCGGGGTGATGACTGCAGGAGGGGACGCCAAGTTGTGTGCGGTGTTGGAGAGGGCTGGGACATGTTGGGAAAAGAGCGAGCAAGGATCAAGAAGTGGAATGGGGAAGGACAGTGGGGTGAAAGAGATGAGATGTATATATGTTGTGATACGCTCGAGCCGCCCGCGCGCTGCGTCGAGGTGGTCCGTGCGCTGCCCAACTATCCGCTTTCCATGATGAGTTTCTTCGTCGCTGCTGGAAAACAGCATGGACCCTGGGGGCGAGGGAGGCATGGCATTGTCTTGTACTGACGGTCAGCACAGGAAGGCCACTGTACTCGTAGAACTTCCCACGGACATTCGGCCTCGGACCAAGCGCTCATATAACAATACAACGTAAACATACATGATCGTCCAGACCAGCCCGTACAAGCAACTAAGCAGCATACTGCGAGCTTCAGTCAGTCATTACTCTTCAAGACACAAGTGATATAACTCACTCTAGTGAAAGTCCTCCCAAAGAAGTCTTCCATCCCACTCCTCTTCTCCCCTTCGTCCTTCTTCGACTTGAACATGGACTTGACTGCGTCACTCATTCCCTGCTGTGCTTGCAGCCTCTTTCGCTCCTGCTCCAGCAGCTTCTCCTGAACGGACCTCGCCACGGACGGCGGCTGACTGACTGAGGGAACAGCTCGAGGTGCCGGAGAGGACGAGGACGTGCGGGCGGTTTTCATTGGGGGGCCATCTGTGGCTAAAGAAGCGCCATCGACAGATTTGTCAACCTTGGAAGACTTGTCCACCTTGTCGGCTTTGCGTTTTTTGGAAGACTTGGCCGCCGCCCGAGCAAGGATCAGATTGTCGAGAAGCACCTCTTGAACCTCTTTGGGCGGATTGATAGGAATGATGGCTGATACGCTCGTAGGGTCGAAGGCCTTGTTGCAGTTGGGGCAAGCCACCTCCTGTTTGCTCTTCTCTTCGGCGTTGACTACAGGCCTAGCCTCCTCTGGCAGCTCGTCCTTCTCGGCGGCCTGGGCTGTCACGCCTCTCGTAAGGTTCGGGACAACAGCTCTGATCGCGGCGTCGGAGAAGACGCAACCACAAGATCTAAGAGCGATGAAGGGGAATGAGCCTGCCATTTCGCGGAGGGAGAGAGGACAAGCGAAGGGAGCTCGGTTGATGGTGGTGGTGGCGTTTGTAGAAGGGGGCACATAGTCGGGGTTGGACGTGAGGTTGAGCGTGATAAGATCCTGCGTGTCTTGTCAGTCGTGATATCGGAACAGATGAGCTGCATACCTTGACACCCTTCAAATGACCACAGATCTGATCGCCATCGCCGTACTTGGACTTGTCAAGAAAGTACTCTATGAGGTCATCCTTGTTGTAAATCTTGCCAATAGGGTCGATGACTACGGGTTTAGTCAAGGGTTTCTGCAGAAAGAGTCAATATAAAGGCATTGTAAAACAAGCAGGATAACTGACCCTGCTTAGCGCGCAGAAAAGGAAGAGCTCCCTAATAGCCGCTTTGTCGAGCTGCTCAGTTTTGCCTTTAGTCTTGACAAGATCTCTCCTGTCGGGAATGGAACCACCGTCGGCACCCATGATCTCGAGCTGCTTTTGTCTGAAGCAAGGAGATAGATAGATGATCGCGAGGGATAACCGTCGGGCAGAGTGGCAAACAACAAAAAGTGCCACGCGCATGTTCCACTTGTAAGCCCGCAAATTCCGCCAGCTCTCATAAAAACTCATTCACATCTTGATTCTTGATTTTTCAAGCCTCCCATCTTTCTCGACATGGAAACCAAGTAATCCGCCTTATACGCAGCACACACGAGTCCTTCATTGCGATCCTCGTGCATCCATAACTGGTGAGTATCGCTTCTTGTCATTCCTCTTTCTCTTCTCATCTACTATGATGAAACAACTATTCAGTTCTGCTACCGAGTGTTTCGTGAGCGATAACCCAACATACCAAAAAACATTTTCTGAACCTTTTCTCCCTACTTGCTTGATTATACAAATCTGCTTGGGACTGTTGCTGACTCTGGCTTCTAGACATCCTTCATCACACAACGTGAGTTTTAGACTTCGAGGCTCTTCTGCAATTACCCTCGCATCTCGCGTCGATATGATTCAATTTTAGCTCAATCCATTCTCTGAGTTGTCTTCTTTTCCTTTCTGTTCCCTATACCCATTCTTGTATCTCTAGCCCGGTGAAACTTTCCTCACGAGCTGAATCCGACTATCTTCGGAGAAAGGATCCAAGTCGTTGGGGCTTGATTCTACTTAGCGCGATGACGAGGTACTGTTATGGCTCTTGGCGGGGGCCGTTTTGAAGTCTTCAGTCAGCGTTCTGCCGTCTGTAGATGGATGGCGGTGTGTAGTGGAACGGGTCGTGAAGAGTTGGCGATTACGCTTATACTGGCTTCTATGATCCACCATCTTTCATCTACCTGATGTGACATCCGCTGTAGATGCATATGTTGACGAAATCTTGTACAGACTCTGGGAAACATGGCTCACAATCAATCCTCGGCTCAATACCTCGCCTCTGCTCGGCCCAACACCGCTGCTCCTCTTCCCGGCTCGCTTTCTCTTCCGCGCCCCAACTCTACACCATCGACTCCTCAATATCCTCGTACCAATCAAGTTCGCCCACTCAACAATGGACAGCCCTTCCGCCCCAATCCTAACGTTCATAGAACACCAGGACAGGATGTGTTTGGCAGAAGCCGTGTCCCTGCGCCTGTCCATGTACCTTCCCCATCTTATACTACGAATACTCAACAGGCCTCTGCTTCTGGAGGTGAGCGGAGGAGAGGCGTTGAAGGACTTGGTTTGAGAGGTACTATGCGTAATGAGAGTAAGTTTAGACGATGCATATCGGTGCTTTTCACAGCAGTGCTGATTCGGGTTCATGAATCAAGTTTCTCGTTTGATGTATGGGGCCGGTGATGTTGCAGATCCGTTGATGGACACTGTCGACTATATGGAAGATCTGGTTGTTGAGTTTTTGGCTGACCTTGTTCGTAATCTTTCTCGCAGGCGCGATATGGATCTGACCTGTTCACGATAGTGTCGTCCTGTGCCGCCCATCCGTTCTAACCCCACCGTCCAGCATCAAGCTGTGCCCCTCACAGCCGAGATTCTTCGCCATCGCCTTGACTCCACCACGGCTCTTCACAAATATCGCGAACGTTTCGATCACATGCTCCACATGAGCGAAGTGTTGAAGCAGCACAAACGTGTCGCCGATCCCAACTTCCACGACATTGTCAACCAAGTGGGGGGCGAGTATTTGGGGCTGCACGACAATGCTCCCGGTGGAGGAGCTACTGGGGGAGATGACGCTGGGGCTGGAAGTGGAGGGCAAGGGCAAAAGAGGACGCACGACGGAGAAGGTGGTGAACCGCCCAAGAAGAAGGGACGTCCTCCAAAGCCGCCTGGAGAAAGGAAGAAGCCTGGTCCGCAGAAGGGATGGAAGTTGAACAGAGATCCGAATGCCCCTACAAAGAAGGCGCCGAGAGATCCGAATATGCCAAAGAGGAAATACGTGAGAAAGGCGCCTTTGAAGAGCCAGATGGGTACGCCGGCACCAGAATCCCAGTGATCATGCGGACAATCTATGGTTGTAAAGTAGTCAAGTATATTTTGTATGTAGCATCACACGGAAGAGAGACGTCGAAGAATTGAATGCAATTACATGTCTACCAACTGTCTTCTTTCTCCTATCAGTAACAGTGTCCATAACCGGTCCATGCTGGTGGTCTACGGCGCCACGCTCAATCCTGACCGCCATATCCAGCCCCCAACGATCACCAGACACATGACTGCCCTGCCAAGCGGCAGCTGAATAATGGTCAGTATCCAGAGGGTGCCCATTGATGGGGCCTATCGATGGGTCAGCGTGATCGATGTTAAGGCTGACCACTTGGTAAAAGCGCACCTGAGCTGTCACTACGCTCCAGCTGGCTTTGTTGACGAGCCAAATCAGCCTACACCCAGAGAGGATAGATGCAGCCATAAGAGCGGAGTTGGTGGAGAAGTGACCCGCGTGTCTATTTGCTACACAGAGTGTCAGATTGGTAAGCACAGGAAAAGGTATCTTACTGTAGAAGACGAGCAAAGTCAAAGCTAGTAGATATCAGCTCGAGTTTCTCCAGTCGGGAAGCATGCTCACTGGGAAACGCCTTGATGGTGTGGTTGATCAGCAGATCATAACTTGGTCTGTGGCTGTACTGAAGGTGTACCAGTATGTCCAGCAGTATGTACAAGAATGTGAATGGCACGGCCATGATGAGGGTGTTGAAGATCTCATCTTCCCGAGCGTCGTAGACATCGTCTTGACACGTGTGACGCGACTCTAGAGACGCATTGAGAGCCTCGATTTCCTCTGCCGAGGACACATATTGGGGTACGAATCCCGCTGGTGGGACTGTCCCAGGCAGTGGAACATTGAGAAGTGGGGGTGTCGAGGGTGGGTTGGAGGAGGGACGTTTCAGTGGAATTTCAAAGTCGGCTGTTGCCTTTTTCTCTGATTTGGATTTCGATTTGCGGGGAAGTTTGCGATTTCTGATAGGTGGCGGGGAGTCTGGGACATCCTCGAGGATCGCCATCTTTGGAGCTGGTTAGAATGCAATAATGTCTTCGACACGAGTCGTCAGAAAGATCGAACATCCTCGAAAAGGATTATGTAAGGCGAAGCCGTGTTGTTTGGTTCCACTCACTGACGTATGGGATGGCGGACACAGCCGATATCGATATCGTCGATCATGAGCCCTGGAGATGCGTGATAGACTGCTCCACATTGTCTATCCCTTGCCTGCTACTCTCCAAAAGATATGCCGTTTCGACCACCGCCGCGACCGTATCCCTCCTCCTCCTCATCCACCATTCAGCAACATGTGCCCTCCCAGTCCCTGTACAAACTCTTTGCTGGTATGACCTTCCACATAGTCTCTGCCAAGCTCGAGGAAGATATGGCAAGATTGTATGAGTACATTGACGAGCTAGGTGGAAGATGTGTAGGGGTCGAAGACGCATGGTTCATTGTGACGGCTTTGAAGGGGAGGGCAAGGCTTGCACGATCTTTGGATGCACATTGGCTCGTGAGCACTAGGGCGTACAGACCCCCGTGATTAGCTTTGCTGACCTTACCTTGCAAGGATAGCAAACCAGTTCTGAGCGTCAAGTACGTGTATGATGCGTACGAGACATGCTTAAAAGCTGCGACCTCTCAGTCACCTTCATCCCCAAGACTACCACCTCGAGACAAATATTGCCTTGCCTTCAAGCCTCAACAGCCTTTGACCGCTAGCTACCCGATCCCAGAGGCTCTGGATGAAGTCCAAGAGCCGCCTATTAAAAGAAGAAGAATGGAAAGGAGTCCAATATACGGAGAAAGTGAAAGTCACGATGATATGGGGCTTTTCGATCCGGATGTCAGGCTAGAAGACATTCCAGCCTCATGTGTTCTGAGAGGGTCACCCCTCATATGTGTCAATCAAGACATCGTAAGTAGACCTGTTACCGTACTGAATAGACATGGTTATGACCCGTGCCATCATTGCAGGTCGATGCAATCCGTCCCATCTTCCAGGAGAGGGAGTTTGAAGAGCTTCAACAGAAGAACTCGAATGTGCTAAGTTATAGGAGGAGCCTCAGTGTATGTGGATATTACACGAACGGTCTGGTATGAGCTGATGCTAAATCAAAGATACTGAAATGTCCGTGTGATAGTAAGCCATCAGGTCTGATGACATACTAACGACCTATAGCCGTGCCACGGAAGATAACGTCTGGGCAGGAGGCTTTGAAACTCCAAGGTGTCGGCGAGAAGGTTGCCAAACGGGTACTTTACTTCCAGTCAAGTCAGTTCCACTCCTCACCGCTGACCCATTACTTATAGATAGATGAGTTTCTACGCACAGGGACTGTTGCAGAATCCCAAACCATCCTTTCTTCCCCCCGATTCCTTGCTCTCCTCGCCTTCGCCTCTGTCTACACCATCGGCCACCATCGCGCTCGAGAGCTCTATGACCTACACCATTGTCGGTCCTTGGAGGATGTGAAGAGGCACTTTGCGGATATGGAAGGCGATGGGGAAGATACCAAGGATGAAAGGGAAAAGGTGAAGAGGAGGAAAGAGGGGCGAATGAAGGCCGTGGAGATCGTTGAGGAATGGATGAAGTTGAAGGAAGAGCTGGATCAACCGTGAGCGGCTCTATTCACGTCCTGATCGGGGACTAGCTAACAAGATGGTAGGATTCCAAGAGAAGAGGTTGAAGAGATTGCTGCTTGCATCATGGAACATGTGGGAGCATTCATCTCCGATTGTCAACACACTATCTGTGGCGGGTATGCCTCAAACCTCTCGGCTCCACTGCAGCTGACCAAGAATCAGATATAGAAGAGGAAAGACACAGTCAAACGACGTCGACGTTGTTCTCTGTCCACCTGAGCAGGATCAAGACATCGGACTCCTTCGCGCAGCATATCTTCGCATGTCACAGCTCGGCATCATCACGCATGTTCTCCGTGAGTCGTCCATCAGGGACCATCATGATCATTCCTAGACTGACATTATGCAGATGTGACCCACCGGGATATCGCCACACCCATTCGAGCCGCCCCTCAAAACTTTGACAACCTCGACAAAGCGTTTGTCATCTTCAAACTTCCTGGTCCCGGGCGCCTACACCGACGTGTCGATATCATCAGTGCCCCAAGGGATAGATATGCCAGCGCTATCCTGAGCTGGACGGGGAGTATGATGTATGAAAGAGATCTCAAGCGTTACGCCGAAAATGAGTGGGTCTTGCGACGTGAGGAATGGGGCAAAAGCTGATCCTCGCAGACGAGGGTATAAATTTCGAGCAGGGTTGATTGAAATAGCAAGTGGAAAAGAAGTGAATCTTGGGACAGAGCGAGAGATCTTCAAGTTTCTTGGGCTGAAGTACGTGCCGCCAGAGCTGAGAAACGCGGATTGAGGTCGTCAATGGGTCTATCCATGCACACCCTTGAGAGCTGAAGAGGAGATGCACATTCGCATTGAGCATCGCCGTGCTCCAAGAATCAATTTGCATTCCGACTGCATGCTGATGAAGATTGACAAGGAACAAGACGTCTATCATACAGAAGACCATGTACCAATTTCCCCATATTCATTCTGTTTGACATTACAGTACAAGACGATGTCGCCTTTCCTACTTTTCCACAAACTCCCCCCTGACCAAGTCCACATCTCTCTCCCTTTCCCTTTGAGAGGCAGCAGAGGCTGGCACAGGATCCGCCAGGATACGCTGTGCCTCTGGGACTTCCGCAAATGCTTCTCTCAGCTTGTTGGTAGCTATAGTCTTGACTTCTGAAAAGACTGTGCGCGTAATCTGAAGAATGGGTCCAGCGAGGCCGAGCTGGAGGATGATATATCTATTTCTTGTCAGTTTTGATAAGCACAAGAAAACAGAACACGTACCCCGAAGCGGCCAAAACCAGCATCATGGCGAAATACAACGGATTGAACAGCACCGCCATAGCCTCATTCCACCCAAGCACCACCAGCACACCATACATCCAAACCGGGATCTGCGCCACGCTGCTCACCATACTTCTCTTGGCCTCCACATATGCCGCGTCGGCTTCGCGCTTGAAACGAGACTCCACAGCGAATACTTTGGTGGGTGACAAGAGGGTGAACGCGGTGGAGGGGTCGAAGGGCGAGGGGTCGGATTCGAGGTCGAAGGAAGGTTCTGGCACAGGCAGCTCGGGGACGAGCTCGGGATCTGTGGGCGCGACCACAGCAAACAACGGTAAAAGCTCAAGTGTGTCGTCTTTGGCCTTTTTGAAAGCACTGTCAATGTCGTCCTCGGGTTTCCAGACCCTCGGGACACCGGCCTCGTCGTATCGGAAGTTGTCCTCGAATTTGGCGCGGAGAGTGGCAGAGATGGTTGCGTCTGAAGTTTGGTCTTCCAGCTTGCGGCGAAGGGCGAGCCAGGTTCGAGCCTTGAGAGAGGCAAGTGCAGTAACGTTTTCTTCCTCGCTGCAGTTGTAGCCTGGGGAACTGTCAGTTGTACCCCGCTTTGGCTGAGAAAGTGCTCACTCTTTGCCTTGGCTAAATACGCTTTCTCGGCAGTCTCGGACACTTCCTTGTACGTCTGTAAGACAGTATCCCACATGGTCGCAGACGGCTGGCTCAAAGCCACCTCCACAGGCTCCAGCAACTGTCTCTTTACATTCCTCTGCGAGACTATCAGATCCAGCTCAGACACACTGGAGAGAAACGCACCTCGATAAGGTTGACCATCTTCTTGGTCTCATCAGCTCGACATTTGTCGGCGATGATTTTGAGATCCTCATCCAACAACGCCAGCTCATGCTCAAACTCCCAGTCAGTCTCCTCAACCTTGACCTCTAGAGCAACATCAGCTTCGTCCTCCCGATCGTGGGTGGCAACTCACCCCTCGCCCCTTCCAAAAATCTTTCCCTAGCCCTAAGCTTTCCCTCCTCTACAACCTCTCTGAAATCATACCCTGGCTCCTTCACACCCTTCACAATGTCCTTTGAGAATCTCGCCGTCTCGGTCTTGTGGACATTCTTGAGTTGGCCGAGGAAAAGCGGGGAAAGAGAAGCGTGGAGGGAAGAGAGGAGGTCCAGCCGTTTGCGTTGGTATACCGAGGCGTGGTAACGGGAGGCGTCGCGGTCGAATTTGCCTATCACATGGATTATCAGAACAGGGGAGGACCAGAAAACAAGTAGACATACCGAGAGCAGTGTTGAGCCAGTCGCGCATGAGAGCTCCGAGACCCTCGACCACAGAACCAGACTCGACAGGACGGCGGACAATCTTGCTGCTTGCGAGGAAAGCTTCAGTAACCACGCTGGCAATTTCGTCGCATCGGAACTGAGCGAGAAGCTCTTGCTGGGTGGGCAGGTCAAGGTCTTTGTTGGTAAGTACTTGTTGCTGTTTCCTGTCAGCTTCCCGTGCAATACAAACAAGTGGACATACCCAGATGCCTTCCATGTAGAACGCCACACCATCCGCGGGGATCCTCTTGTGGTACGCAGGCTGGAAGACATAGTCCTCCCTGGTCCTATCCGTGAACCGCTTCCTCAACTCTACCACACTCTCCTCAAATTTGTCGGGCAGCAAGATCTTGTGCGGCAGCGCGGCAAACGACAAGTCGAAATACGACTCCAGCGTCGCGTCGGCGAGGTGGGTGGGTTTGGAGATGGATGCCCATATGCGCTGCATATCTTGGGCGAGGGTGGCAGTGAGGTTGGCGAGAGGGGTGGCTCCCACATGGTCACGGATGACGAAAAGAATGAGTGTCTTTTCCTGCGGCCTGCAGACAGTCAGTCGTGCCGCTGCTATGGATGGTGTGAACTCACTGCGGCCTGGTGCTATCGGCACCACCGCCAAACAGGCCAAGATTGACCTCAAATACAGTCTTCAAAAGGCCCATATTGGCACCATTGTACAGACCGATCTGGTGTTCCCTGCTCAACCCGTAAGCTCGGATCCCATACGTAGCGATGACAACTTACCAGAGATTGACCAGAAGCACCTCTGTGCTGGCGAGACTGAACAGTGCACTCTTCCTTTCGAAATCTTGGTCTTCTCCCCTCTCCCGTCCGTCCGTTCCTTCTACATCCATAACGAGCGCACTGCTGTACTCTGAGGGGCACATCCAGATACCCTTGGTCGTCTGCTGACGCTGAGTTTCGTCCATAACGTCGAAAGTTGTGCCGAACAAGCGGTTCAAGAGGGTAGACTTTCCAGTCGATTGGGAACCAAAGACGGCTACAACATCGTAGGCAAAGCCCTTGTCGAGGAGGTTCCACTTGTCAAGGTACGGCGAGAGCTCTTTGCTACGAGCAGTGTCAGCGAGCGGCGCCAGCATCACGCTCCAAGCGACCTACGTGAATTCTTGGTTCTCATTGACCACCTGAAGCCTCTTGGTCGCCTTTGTCCCTGCGAGCTGGGCGGCAGCGGTTGGGGGAGACACGGCCTCCTGGACTGCCTGTCTGGCGGAGTCTGACGTTCTGGGATCGTCCATGAGGCGCTGGAGCTCTGGCGGGGGGTTGTTGACGAGATTCGCTGCTATAGCTGGTGTCTGGTTCATGGCTGTTTGGTGGAAAGTAAAGTCAACGGATTGATTTCTGGTCGGGTTCCATTGTCGTGTTGTGTTGGTCGTGACGTCGCGTTTCCTGGTCAGCCCGTTTTAATTTGGGGCTACATACCCTACCTGAGCCAGTTCGGGCCGCGACATAATGGGCCATTAATTGTTTTCTCTACTCTCGTACGAACTTTGGTTGTTCTTTCAACATCCTCCAACTCTCTTTGCTTGATCCAAAATGGTGTTCGAAGCCACCTCCTCAGCCCCCGTCAACATCGCCTGCATCAAGTAAGCCCCCCTCGGCCCCTGCCACTCCCAAGCTCACCCCCTCTCAGGTACTGGGGCAAGCGCGACACCAAGCTCATCCTCCCCACCAACTCGTCCCTCTCCATCACCCTCGACCAGGATCATCTTCGATCAACCACCACTTCTAGATGTGATTCCTCGTTCGAGGCCGGTGACAGGCTTTGGTTGAACGGCAAGGAAGAGGAGATCAAGGAGGGCGGCAGGTTGTCTGTCTGCATCAGGGAGTTGAGGGCGTGGAGGCAGGAAGTCGAGGACAAAGATGCCAACCTTCCCAAGGTAAGTCTTTCATGATTAGATGTCGTAGCCCTCGCTGATGATATCCCAGCTCTCTTCCTTCCCCCTCCGGATCGCCTCTTACAACAACTTCCCCACCGCTGCTGGTCTCGCCTCATCTGCCTCGGGCCTTGCTGCCCTTGTCGCCTCCCTCGCTTCCCTCTACTCTCTCCCCCAAAGCCCCTCTCAACTCTCCATCGTGGCCCGTCAAGGCTCCGGCTCAGCCTGCCGTTCTCTCTTCGGCGGCTTTGTCGCTTGGCGCGAAGGCACAGACCCTGCTGGTAGCGACTCTCTCGCCGAGGAGGTTGCCCCCCGAGAGCACTGGCCGGACGTGCACGCCCTGATCTGTGTCGTCAGCGACGCCAAGAAGGGCACGAGCAGTACCTCTGGTATGCAAAAGACTGTCGAGACCTCCACTCTCCTCCAGGAGCGTCTCAAGATCGTCCCCGGCAGAATGGACGCCATCTCAAAGGCTATCAAAGACAAAGACTTTGAATCTTTTGCCAAGATCACCATGGCTGATAGCAACTCTTTCCACGCCGTCTGCCTCGACACTGCCCCGCCCATCTTTTACCTCAACGACGTCTCGCGCGCCATCATTGCCGTCGTCGAAGAGCTCAATCGGGCTGCTGGCCGTATTCTCGCGGCATACACCTTTGACGCCGGACCCAACGCTGTGATCTACACGTTGGAGAAGGACATGCCCGTGGTGCTCGGGGCTATCAACAAGTTTTTCCCCACGGCGGAAGAGTTTGAGGACCCGTTCAAGACTGGAGTCAAGGCTCTTCCCGAGGGCTACAATGCTGGTGTCGTGAGGGAGGGTGGCTGGGAGAAGGGCGCGGTCAAGGGGCTGATCCACACCAGGATTGGGGATGGACCCAGGAAGTTGAGTGCCGAGGAGAGTCTGTTGAACGAGGCCGGCGTGCCCAAGACTCTCGCGTAATCATACTTGTAATAGAGCAGCATGTACATGGGCTATAATGTCTATAGTCCCCCTTATGTTATCACCATGCACCCTGACGTGCCCTGTGTCTGTTTATCTACATCTACATACCACGATCTGCAAAGCGTTCATGACGGATTGAAGGGTCGGAGGTGGCCGCCAATATTTTGATTGCCGGCCTCGCTGCAACCTCGAGTCAATGAATATCCCGAGTCGTATCTCTTCCACCTTTTTCCATCTCCACTGCCGCCATGGTCCCGCCCCGCCCCCAGACCACACCCGACCCCAACCCCTACGCCTCCCTCATCTCCCAGAACATCTCCCTCGTCCCCGAGTTCACTCTAGAGTCCGGCGTCACCCTCACCGACGTTCCCGTCGCATACAAGACATGGGGAAAGCTCAACGAGAGAGCCGACAATTGTCTGGTCATCTGCCATGCCCTCACTGGTAGTGCTGATGTCGAAGACTGGTGCGTTCAAGCTTCTATGGTGTTCACGAGCTAATACTGTACCAGGTGGGGACCTCTGCTGGGCGTCGACAAGGCTTTCGACCCCACTCGCTTCTTTATATTCTGCGCCAACACTATCGGATCCCCCTACGGTACCGTATCCTCCGTCACTACCAACCCCGAAACGTCTCGTCCCTACGGCCCCGAAATGCCCGGTTCCGCCGTCAAAGACGACGTCCGTCTCCATTACATTCTATTGAAATCGCTCGGCGTCAAGTCTGTGGCTGCTGTCGTCGGCGGATCCATGGGCGGTATGACAGTCTTGGAATGGCCTTTGAACTCTCCTCCGGGTTTCGTCAAGGCCATCATCCCTTTGGCGACCAGTGCTCGACACTCGGCGTGGTGCATCTCATGGGGAGAAGCTCAAAGACAGTCCATCTACTCTGACCCGGACTACAAGGACGGTTACTACTATGAAGTCGAGGACGCAGACAAAAAGGTCCAAGTCGACTTGATGAAACAGCCCGCTCGAGGGCTCGCTGCGGCCCGAATGGCCGCGCTCTTGACGTACCGTTCCCGAGACTCGTTCGAATCTCGATTTGGCCGTCGTGCCGGTGGGGGCAAATCCCAAGTCCCCAGAGGCGGTGTGCGTATCATGGGCGGTCCGGAGACTACCGATCCCAGTGTGCCGTCCGCTAGCGACTTGGTCAAGTCGCCAAGGGAGAAGGCATGGAGGGAGCATAATGACGGACATAAGGGTGCCGGACAGAGGTCGGCGAGTAGGAGGGGCAGTGATCTGTCTGAAAAGGGTACCGCGGGGAACGCAGAAGTCATCAAGACTGAAGAGATCAAAGCTGAGGGAAAGAATGTTGGGACGGGGGAAGAGCCGCCCAAGGTGTTTTCTGCCCAAAGCTACTTGCGATACCAAGGCGACAAGGTGTGTATATTTTCTATTGCCCATCTCACGCTTTCATTACTGACATGCGCCTTAGTTTACTGGTCGATTCGATGCCAACTGCTATATCCATATCACCCGAAAACTCGACACCCACGATCTTTCAGCTCCCTCCAACGACTCGTCTCTCAACTCGTTGTCCTCTTCCCTCCCCGCCCACTCGCTTGCCTCGGACGACGAGAACGCTAACGAGTCTGAGCTCAATTCGCGTCTCATGCACGCTCTTTCGCTGGAACCCCCAGCTCTTGTCATCGGTATCGAGTCTGACGGGCTGTTCACCACCTCGGAGCAGCGCGAGCTTGCTGCCGGTATCCCCGATGCCGAGCTGGTAGTCATCCCTTCCCCTGATGGCCATGATGGGTTCTTGCTGGAGTTTGAGGCCATCAACGGTTGGGTTGGAGGCTGGCTGAGGAGAAAGATGCCTGAATTCTATAGGGAGAGGGTCATCAGCCTTGAAGAATATGGAGCTGGCGAGGCAGGATTCGAGGTGAAGAAGGAGAGCGTGTTTGGCGAGGCAGAGGCAGATGTCACGAGGTGGTAGAATACCACAAAGACGTAAGCAGAAGGAAGAAGTGTAACCATAGGGACTGCTATAGAGTACAGTACCCAACTACTGTATTACCAAAAGAACTCTACATAGGCATCTCTCCAACAGAGTACGGACCATGCATCAACATAACCAGGGCACCCCCACATAAGGATAGGGTCTGCGACCTCCACCTGCTAAGACCGACCCGATGATGCCATCCACTCTCCCGTCCCGGGCTCCAATTCACAGTATCCTGTTTCTTCTTCGTCTTATTCCATTTAGCAGCATGTCCATCCCCCACCCCTCCCTCAACACCTCCCAAGGTCTCGCCGACTCCCCCCAAGCAGGCTTCAACCTCGCCTCCCCTCACTCCTCCACCGCCCCCGGTGCCCCCGAGAGCGGTGCTGCGGCCCTCGGCAATCTCAATGGCTCCAAGATCATCGAGACCGAGGACAGAAAGGTCGACAGCGATTTGGGCGTCTCGAAGAAGATCGATATCGGGAGGGGCAAAGGTGTTGGGTTTGGAGTGAAGAAGGAGGAGGAGGAGGAAGCAGCTGCGGCTGGGCTCAGGGGTGAGAATGGCTATGTGATTCACCAGGACGAGACTCTTCGAAAGGGCCATCAGAAGCTTGAGAGTATCGTGTTTAGGATTGAGAATGTCTTTGACAAGTGAGCATACGTCAACGAGCCTGGGGTAGCTATTGACTCGGCTATTAGCATCTACCTCAGGGCCAAGCCTTACACCAACAAACTGTTGGCGATTGCTGAGGCCAAACCCCTCCTCTTTGTAAGTGTCTCGCTATCATATCGTCTCTCTACTGACCCCGTGCAGACCTTCTCCGCGATCTGGCTTTCGTTCAGCGCCATCCCTATCGTTGTCTTCACGTGAGCTCATCCGCTGACATCAGCGACCCTATGACGCTGATGCAGTCACTAGGGGCTTTATTCTCCTCTCAATTGCTACTATCCTCGCCGTTGCTGTCTCAACCTTGCTGGTTCTTGTAGTCGGAACTGTGGTTTTGACCCGTAAGCGATACCAGGCCTTTCGGAGATCTAAAGCTGACCGGTCACAGTCTCTGCTATCGTGGCCACTTTGGTCTTTGCTTGTACGTCCACGTCTCTCCATCGATTCGAGAGCCCGCGCTGATGATCAACAGCATTCTTCCTCCTCCCCACACTCTTCGTAACCACAACCTTCTCCGCCATCTCCATCTCCTTCCTCCTCGGCCTCTTCTTCGTCTACCGCCTCTACCAGCACGTCTCTTCTGCCACCCAAGAGGGTCTCTCCTTCAACAACCTCGGCCGAGGTGTAGGTGGCTGGGCGGGAGAGGTCGGCGACAGGGTCGGGGAAGTCGCAGACTATGCCTATCCTTTCCAGTCTACCAAGCCTCCTTCTGCTGTCGTCTCTAGCCTTTCTGAAAAGCTTGGTCTTCCCACTCAGAAACAGGCTTACAGCACCGGACAGAAGGGGCCTTTCGACGAGAAGGCTACTCTGCGAGCGTATCAGGACCCCCCGGCGTTGTCTGAAAAGGTCGGATTGCACAACAACTACAATGCCACCGTCGGCTCGCAGCCGGTCGTCATTACCTAGAAAGTTTTGACCGAACATGGTTATAATTATGCCTGTACGATTCTGATCTGTAGCTTTCCACTTCTGTAGCTCTTCATACACGACCTTTCATCGATCCTCAAGATTAAACAACAAGTCAAAAGATTATATTATGAACTTTGTCCCACGTGGCCCGGTCATTTGCACATAGCACTCCTGACTGGAGCCTGGCTAATCACTGACATGGTCCTTCTCAAAGATGAGCGACGAAGTCCGGCTCCTCTTGACAAATCTGTTCTCTTCCTCACTCCACGGTCCCCAGCGCGCTGCAGGTTTGTGGCGCGTTTCCCGTTTTCTGGCACTCTCTCGTCTGTACCACATGACGGTGATAGTGATGAATCCAACAAGCAACAGAAAGAGCGTCAACGCTAAAAGAGCTGGTTCGACAACATCAGTCGATGATCAATGGGATGAGAGGAGAGCTTACAGCAAAAGACGATACGCTCCGTGAGTAGAGAACCTTCAAGCGTGATCTGGCCCGTGACGTCCTGGCGCGAGCCCATGTTGGGTGATGATAAGGTCTGCGGGGGAAGAGATGCCTTGCGTGGGAGTGGCTAGCTATATGTACATCGCCATGGATATCGGTCACGGGCAGCAAGAAAGTGTGTCACACAACAAAGGAAAGAACATGCATGCACACAAGAGAGCAGCATGGCCAGGGACGGACAAAGGCATCCTTGCCTAGCTGTCCACCACTTTCACGTGACGGGAATAGGTAGCTTGCTTTGGACAGTCTCCTATAGATCAATCTTTCGACCTTTCTGGCTATCTACCAGTCAAAGGTCAAGGGTGAGATGCGTCCATGCTACTTGATAAGCCCAGCCCTATTATTGCGCATTCAAGATCCAAGCTTCGGTCTCTCTTCGTATGGACAATATGTTGTCTTGACAGCCGGTGCCACTGCATTTGCTGTATCAAAAGCAGACTGAGAGTTTCACAACGACGCATCCTTCAGCTTTGATTGACCACTTGAGGCCTGTCAGAACCTCGATGCTCCCTATAATTGCCCGAGTCTGCGCGTCCAGATGTAACATATGATCCTTCAACTTCCCAGCATGGTTATAGTTGGTAGATTGATCTTCGTCACCAGGATCCTCCGTCCACAGCATCTGGAAAGTTATCCCAGGGCTCCTCAAAAAAAAAAAAAAAAAAAAAATCCCACCCCTCATCATCAACGCACTCCCCAAACTCGAAACGCTCCACAAATCGCTCGTCCTCTACATCTGGCTCAGTCTCCGCCTCGAAGTGTCTTTCCCAAATAGGTTGGTGGCGCAAGAGTTGAAGACAAAGTGTGAGGCGGCGTTGGAAGAGTGTGTGCAGAGGTTGCCGGGGTTGAAGATGAAGAAGGGGGCGGTGGATATGGCTGGGAAGGCGTGAGAGAAGAAGGCCGAGGCAGATCGGCTAGGGGAGGAGGAAGGAGTGAAGTGGGGGAGCGGAGCGGAATACCAGAAGACAAAGAAGGCGAGGATCTGGAAGGATGCGGCGCTTTTGAAGGAAGGGGAGGGGGTCAAGAAGAGGTTGGATTCTGGAAAGTAGGCTGTCGCATCTAGACGAGAGGTCTCATAGTTGAATTCTAGAAATGCACAGGCACTTCCAAGGTCTGTTACCCGGGCCAGGGAAGACTGAAGCCGCCCCTCACTATAGGGGTGGCCCAATAAGTGCAAGTAAACCACGTCGTTTGCCACTCTCCTATGGTCACGTATCATATTCTTTCACTACCACCCATCACCCATCCCTGTGGCACACCCTCGCCAACTCATGCCCACGCCAACATGCCAGGCATCGGCGACGCCTCTCCACACACACCCGAATCACTCGCTTCCTGGATAAGGACATTCCCCTTGGACCCTCTCAAGTACGATTCCAAAACGAAAAGCAAGAAGAGCACACGAAAGCCCACCTCCAAAACCTACAAAATATGGGCAGACCTTGACGAGAAAGGTATCAGAGTCATCTATGACCAAACCCTGAACGACCCTGAACGGAAGAATCTCTGCATCTCTCACATCTCAGGAGCTGTTGCTGAGGAAGGGAGTCACTTCTGACATGGAAGAAGCTTTCAGAGTGGGACGGCGTGAAGCTCGAAGCGCAACTGTTGATTCTGAGGATGAGCTATGTGATGTCATGTCGACAAACTTCTTCAAACGCTGTACCGAAGCCATCAATGCCGGGCTTCCCAGTCGCCTCCATGGCAGGTGGAAGAAGTGCTTGGGCGGGGGGAGCGGCCGCTCTGATTGGGTCTTCCTGCGCAACGATATCGCCATTGCTATCGTCGAGGTCAAGCTGTACACCGTTCTAACGACAGCTGGCGAAGGTGCGGTGTCTCAGGCCGATGACCGTGACCACCCGCCGTTTAGAATGATACTTCGTTCGAGGCCGCAAGGTGATACAGCTGGGACCGGAGGGGCCCAAAGCGACACAAGTCACAGCGACCAGTCCCAGGCCAATCAGAAGGAGGATTCGGACAGTGATTACGTGCCTGGCGACGAGGACAAGCCAGATGAGGAAATCTCTCTGCATCTGTCGCTGAAGTTGGAGCGACTGTTGACGGAGTGCAAGCAGGAGGGGGGCTTGAAGCTCATTTTGGCCAAGAGGAAAGATAAAGATGGTAAAGACCAGCCCGCCTTGCGCGTTGTGGACGAAGACGGGACTATCGTGCCGAAAATGACGCACTGGGCCATGGGATTGTCCCAGGTAAGCTCAGAGCACTACTACGACTTGCTATGATGGCTGTTCTGACGAGTTTGCTCAGCTCTGGGAACAATTTTACTGCTACAATCTCGACCTCGTCATACTCACCTCCTACGAAGTCTGGATTCCTTTCGAGCGCGATCCCAAAATCGAGAACCTGCTTCGTATGGGTGAGCCAATCTTCAGGACGGCGCCCGGAACTGCGCCCGAGCCTGGCAAGATGTCGCCCATGGAGCTTGCGGTGGCTTCCGTGATTAATAAGGGGGAACGCGCACCCCCACTCGGCTATACATTACCACCTCTACCTGTCTGGCCTTTGTCCGAAGCGGGGAATGACTCAACGCAGAATGACCAGAACGAGAGCGGGGCAGGGGCATCGGGATCGAGGGGCACGAGCAGTGTTCCTGCAAAGCGTGGATACGACGAAGTTGAAGGCACTGGCGGCGCTGGAAGTGACAATGCTATTGCTGGAGACGCAAACATTCCGAAGATCGTCAGTGCCATTTCACGTTTGATTTTCCTCACGGCTGATTTATATCCTTTTAGCAACTTGTTCCCGTCACTCTGCAGGTTTCTGTGTCCAACAATCGCTCCCCTGACGCTCTTCACGTCTTTGGGCAAGGCAACTTGAATGATGGCTATATCACCGGTCGCCTCTCCCCCTCCGTCATTGCAACCTTGGCCGACGACGACAGCATCCACTCGGGACTGCCTACTGCCGAGCTTAAAGCTGACCTCGCCCTCGTCAGCTATATCAGCTCTGGGCGCCTGTGGGACGCCTACCACTCCGTCCTTACCGTCGAAGGCCGTGTGAGCAAGAACCTCGTCACCAAGGTCATGTGCCCTGATACTTATGATGATGGAGATGAGTATTACAAGGAGCTGTTCGAAGACTCCAAAGAGGCAGTGGCTGCATATCGTCTCGAGGCGGCGCTGTACAGTGGCCCTCTCGCAAGCCTACAAGGAGGGGCTGTCCCCGCAGTGTATGGCTCGTTCAGTGGTGCAATATGTCTCGGGCTTGTCTCTGGGGGCTACCCAATGCACATCGAATTGATGGAGGATGTCGGGGGGCCAGCTGCCGGAGAGGGTGAGCTGCGGGATCTGCCTTTGCAGGATAGGTGAGTGTTTTTCGGCAGCTACAATGGTCTTGTACTGATCACATCCTCAGGCGGGCTATCCGAGACCTCTACCATCAACTTCATGCGGCGCGCGTTCTTCACCGTGACATAGAGCCACGCCACATTCGCCGACGCGCCGACGGCCGCTTCGCTCTTATCGACTTTGACTCCTCTCGCTCGGTGGAGGACGGTCTCGAGGGCGACCGAGCGCTCGCGTCTGAGGGGCGCCGGGTAGCGGCTATGCTTGGGTTGAAAGATCGTGCTGCGGGAAAGACGAAATCTCCTGCCGGAGGTCGACTCAAGCGGGCAGAGATGGTATTCGACCCTTGGGCGGTTGGTCGGGGTGTTCAGGTTGCGTGAATGGCGGCCTACGAGATTGTTGTAACATATCGAATTTCCTTACGACCACATGCACTGTACATACATAACGAACCGCTCGTGGCCTCTGATACATTTATATCTCCCCAGCGGCTTGCCATACTGACCTCTTCTCTTCCTCACTCCACGGTCCCCAGCGCGCTGCAGGTTTGTGGCGCGTCTTTCGTTTCCTGGCACTCTCCCGGCTGTACCACATGACGGTGATAGTGATGAATCCAACAAGCAACAGAAAGAGCGTCAACGCCAATAGAGCTGGTTCGACAACATCAGTCGATGATCAATGGGATAAGAGGGGAGCTAACAGCAAAAGACGATACGCTCCGTGAGTAGAGAACCTTCGAGCGTCATCTGGCCCGTGACGTCCTGGCGCGAGCCCATGTTGGGTGACGATAAGGTCTGTGGGGGAAGAGATGCCTTGCATGGGAGTGGCTAGCTATCTATATATTTCCATGGATGGTAGAAAGGGGACCACATCGGCCACGGGCAGCAAAAAAGTGTGCCACACAACAAAGCACTTTCACGTGACGGGAATATGTAGCTTGCTTTGGACAGTCTCCTATGGATCAATCTTTCGACCTTTCTGGATCTCTACCGGCCAAAGGATAAGAGTGAGATGCATCCATGCTACTTGATAAGCCCAGCCCTATCACTGCACATCCAAGATCCAAACTTCGGTCTCTCTTCGTATGGACACTGTTGTCATGACAGCCTGTAGTAAGTTAGACTGTCCCAAGAAGACCCAGAGGGACTCAATAGGCAAAAGTCAGCCGATACGATGTTTCAAGTGCGCTCAGCTGTTGTGGGCTTGCGATCAGTTCAGAAAGTCTGGGACACGATATGCGTAGACGATCTAGAAGAGGCAGGCTCGACGTCTGTTGGAGTAGGGAAGGAAAGTAAAGAGAATGGAGAAGGGGATTCCCCCAAACATCTGTCTTATATGCATTCAGAGACTGTAAGCCATGACCAAGAGAAAACTAGGGACAACGGCAAAGAAAGGGTCTATTGGGGCATATGGTCCTGATAGACCATGAGGAAGGGCGTTCGCGTTACGAGGTGTGGCAGCCTATGGAATGTGGCGGCAGGCTCGCTACACAGCCGGTGCCACTGCATTTGCTGTATCGAAAGCAGACTGAGAAATTCACAGCGACGCATCCTTCAGCATTGATACTCCATTGAACCCTGTCAGACCTCGATGCTCTCTATGATTGCCCGAGTTTGCGCGTCCAGATGTGACGTATGATCCTTCAACTGCCCAGCAATGGTTGGTAGACCTTCGTCACTAGGATCCTCCGTCGGCAGCATTTGGAAAGCGCAACAAGCCTGGATATCGGTCAGCATATAACAAGTTGGAGAGTGCACATAACTTGCCCCTCGATCATCTGCAGAGATGCCGCAGAGCGTTCCTCGATTTCTCCGTTCGTTGCAGGCTATGATATACTTGGCTATGCGATCTATTTGCGAAGTAATCTTGCTGGCCTAGGCGAACGATAAGCATGAATTCGCGGATCACGGGAATGGCAAACAGCTGGAAGGATAATCGCTCCGATATCGTCGTCTTCCAACGCCTCAACAACACCCCAGATGCCAGCCTCCATCTCAAACACCTGCAACTTTATGCGACTTTGGCAAATGTCCACCTAATGAAGCCATGCTGGTATGTTTTCCTTCTTGTGAACGGGTGGTGCTTAGGGTTCGTAGTATGACGGGCCGTGAGCAAGCTGACAGACGGCGCAGGCATGACACATGTTGAAGCAAGCTGACTTGAGGCTGTCGACGGTGTCTAGCTGCCCCCTCTCCAAGGCGGGCGGCGAGTGTGATATCCGGGTGGGAGAGAGAATCATCCTTTAGATATCAGGGCCCCCAATCATGGATGTCATGGGTGGACCTACTGGGATATCGTTGACCAGGTCTTGCAGCTCCTTTACACGACTCTTTGCGAGCGTCACACTATTCGGCGTCGGTGTCCCAGTTGTCGTGTCCCAGTTGTCCGGCCTGGCGCTGATGTCGTCTGGGTAGCTGTTGACCAGTCTGGTGATAGCGAAGCAGATCATTCCAAAGTGACTAGAGAACTCAGCCGCATTATCCAAAAAGTAGGAGACAAAGAGCGCGCTTACCTGGTAATCTCCAGTGTTAAGGCGCTCCATCTCAGTTTGAAAAGCTAGTTTCGATATTTCAATGACCTCGGCTACAGCATATGCTGCTTGGAACTGATATCTGCGTCAGATGTAATGGATATCGACTAGTTCCGTGTTCACCGGTGGCATCCACCCTGACACAGCGTGCGGCAGGAGACGAATGCAACAATCCAATGCCTTCACGCTGATGTAAAGATCTCGAACATCACTGACATGGCCGAGATTGAGATAAATCTGAGAACGATAATCGCGCACAGCCCGCGCTGTATAGATATGGCAGGACTGAGCAGCACGCTTGGTCTCGAATTGGGCTCGGCGGATGAAGCGTAACCGGACACAGGGATTTGTAGTAAGGATCCGGTCTGGCCATGGGGGAAGGAAAATCTCCTAAAAGTCTTTCTTGAACATGCCGAATGTATAGGAATGGGTTGCAGCGGCGACGAGATCAGAGAGTGACGAAGTAGAGACAAGGCAAGACGTTGAACCATAGTGCGGTCATTGCTGACCGTGGGAACACCTGGAAGAGGCACGGTGTGCGTCGCGATGCGTTGTTCCCAGGTTGTTCCGCTGTGGACGACTTTTCCCGGAGTCCACTTGACATCTTCACGCCCAAAATGCCCCCTGCAACGGACAAGCCCAAGCAGGCAAAGGGGCCTATAAAGTCCCTGCTTGACTTTGGTCTCCAGTTCTTCTTCGACCGCAAGTATTTCTGGCACTTTACATCTCTCCTCTTTCTCGGAGAGATACTTTTAGGTCTGCTCGTCATATGGAAGATCCCATGTACGCTCCAATGGTTGCCAAGCTCGGGATAGGGACTAACGTTTTGCAATACAGACACAAAAATTGATTGGCCTGCGTATATGCAGCAGGTCGGCATGTTTCTTGATGGTGAACAGGACTATTCTAGGATTGAAGGTGAGACTGGACCCCTTGTGTAAGTCTATCGAATGACTCAAATTATGTGTCTCATACGATACTGTAGATACCCCGCCCTCCACCTGTACATATATACTGCCTTCAGCAAGATCATGCCTTCCATCGACGACGTTCGACCAGCTCAATACATCTTCCTCGGCATCTACCTCCTTACCTTCCTGTCGGTAGCCAACATCTACTATCTCGCCGGAAGACCCTCCGCCAATGGCAAGCACTACGTGCAGGCCCTGCTTGTTCCTCTTACGCTTTCCAAGAGGGCGCATTCGATCTTTATGCTGAGACTCTTCAACGACCCCATTGCAATGCTCATATTCTACTGGTCTGTCATTGCTTTCCAGATTGGAGGAAGGAAGGGGTGGAGGGTTGGCTGTGTTTTATTCAGGCAAGTTCTTTCCAGCAGCTAGCAAGGCTGTTTCTGATTTGTGCTGCAGCTTGGCCCTTGGCGTCAAGATGAACATTCTTCTATTCGTCCCCGGATTGTTGGTCCTTCTCTTCCAATACCGAGGTATATATGGACTCGTTGAAGGGGTCTCCGTAATTGCTCTGGTTCAGGTAAGCGCCATTATCTGTATCCCCTGCCGCCTGCTGACACACTCTTCCTAATCAGGTCGCACTCCCCGCACCCTTCTTCCTGTCATCCACCAACCACGCTCTCTCCTACTTGTCTTCGGCATTCGACTTTTCCCGGCAATTCTTGTACGAATGGACAGTCAACTGGAGATTTATAAATGAAGAGTTGTTTTTGAGCCGAGAAAGGGCCGTGTTGTTGCTCTTCGGTCAGGTAAGTGCGCGGAACGGTCTTTTGAATTGTGCTGATCATTGCCAGGTGATCGTTCTCCTGACCTTTGCCGCTTTCAAATGGTCTCCCATCCCTGGCGGAGCTATCCGAGTCGTCAACAACGGACTTCTCCGTCCCTCTCAGTCTGCTGGTGAACCCTCGATTCTCCCTGCTTACCGTACGTCGCACCTAGTTCCTCTCCCTCAGACATCACTGATAATGCCCATTCAGACATTCCCCTTGTACTCTTCACGTCTAATCTAATCGGCGTGATCTTTGCGCGATCACTTCATTATCAGTTCTATAGCTGGTATTTCCATCAACTGCCATTCTTGCTCTTTTCAGGTGGGGCCTGGAACAGCGCAGCAATTGGGTAAGCTCTCTTGCTTTTACTTGTCATTAGAATGGGGCTCATGTGTCACCCAGGAGCATCATCTGGGCACTGATTCAGTGGCCCTGGGAGGTCACACCGGCAACAGCCTTTACATCTCTTCAGCTCCTGGGGAGCCATCTTGTGCTGTTATCTGGCTTATTTTTCCGCAACCCCATATCCAAAGAGGTGGTCCCTTCAAATATAAAGTCAGAGTGATCAGTATAAATGCAAAGAGTCAAACTCGATGCATTGAAAGATAGAAACAACTCTATATATGCTTGGGTGATAATGACAATACTAAAGTAACAGGAATAATGATACAATTGTGAATTAGCAGCGACCTAATCCTCTGCCAGGCGGATTTTACCTTCCCCCTTCCACAACCGTCTGACATCCCACCATCTCCGGGTTGTCCTTTGCGTGTCCCACCCTCTCAGAGCCTCTTCGACGTCACCTTCCTGATCTCGAGCGTCAATCTGATTTTCCACATCCGGATTTTCTCCCCTCATGATCGCCCCTAGACCCAACGGCCCATCGCTCCGACTCCTCCTATTCCTCCCCTCCGGCCCGAGCAACGACCCCGATCCATGGTGAGCCGTCCCATGCCCATGCGGGTGATGTGAATACTCGCTCATACTTCCCGACCTCAGCGCGAAACCAGGACTGGCCGCGCCGAGACCGATGGAGAAGCCTGCGGGGGCACCGTGGGGGGCGATGTCGGGTATGAGGGTACCGTACCGCGGGCCACGGTGTCTGTGTCCGTGAGGACCGTGGGATTGGGAGTGAGACTGTTGGCGGATACGGGGGGATAAGGGAGAGGCGGGGGTACCGGGGGAAGGGGCGAATACGGGATGGTACCTCCCCGGGGGCGTCGGCGGTATCGACAGATCAGAAGGTCGAGGGTGGCGAGCCGGCTCGCTGCTTTCTGGCTCGTTGGAAGTATCACCTCCCAAGAATGTGGCGCCTTCCCCAGCTTCAAGCTCTTCATCGACGTCAGAGTCAGAGTCGCTATCGCAATTGTCTTCTACCCAAGTGCCGACCTCTACGGCAGCGCCTTCTGGTTGTATGGCGGAGACTATCCAGACCCCCAAGAGAAGCAGGGCTGTGCCCAAGGATACGAGGAGGATTTGATACGTCGCAAGCTGGCCGAATTGATCGTAAAAGACAAGTCCGGCTGATGATTGTCAGCTGCGAAGCATATATATGGAGACAGATCGGCTTACCAAAGATGGATGACAAGTTGAAGAAGCAAAAGGCAAGGGGACAGACAAGGGCCGGCCCTGCGTATCTCAGACTGACGTGAAGATACCAGATCTGCGCCACTGCAATGATGTTCATCCCTAGCAACAACACCCAAGTCTCTGCCCTCGCAAATTCATTCCTCCCGGTCCCCGTCCTCCAATGGTCCACAGTCTTCATGACTAGCTCCACGACAGCCTTGGCAAGCACCAGGCACAAACCTGACAAGGTGCCAGACGCTGCCGCGAATCCGAGACCACACAACGTGAGGGTACGCGCTTGGGAAGGGGTCGGCTGCTCGTGGTTCTCTGCCCGATGATTGGAGGGTATAGATAGCGCAGGAAGCCGCCGGGTTGGTGTCTTGTGGCCCAAAGGCGAGTCGCGTTCTTCGCTTGTGGCTTTACTGGGCGGGCTGACGGATCTTGGGCGGGTGGCGCGGAAGGGGATGGCAGCAGGTGAGCGAGGTGAGGCGTAGTTGCTGGGGGGCATAGAGATGGGGGATGTCTCTTCCTCTACATTGCGTTGGAGATTGCGATATATATGCCAGGACGTGAAGTGGGCCTGAAAGAGTATTAGGCACATGGTCATCGACCTGTAGAGAGTAACTCACCAGAGCGAGGACGGCACCCGTCATGAACAGCACAATGGTGAAGAAGGCCACGAAAGATCCTCTCGCCAGCAAAGCCAAGAGCTCATCTAGCCCATGCTCCTCATCGGGGACTACCCCGAATATGGCAATCGTCACTGCTCCTCCGGCAACCAGCCCAGTCCCAGTCACCCAGCTGACACCGAATTTATCGCCGAGCAACAGCCTCGCCAGCAAGGCATTGAAGACTAGTGATACGGCTCCAAGGGGCGCTAGAATGACGATGGGGAGGGCATCTAGCTGGAAAACTGAACCAAAAACATTAGAAGTTATGTATACAGTGAATCCGATGAGCCACAACGGCCGTCGTATAGCAGGGCGCCGGGCAAGCAGAGGTTTGTCGTCTTCTAGTACATGCGACTTGCGCTGGATTGTGAGGCCTGGGAGGTTGAGCAATGATCAGCCCATGCACCTGTGCTGTCGATGTGGCTCACCTAGGGATTGGATGAAGGAGCAAGCGAGACCGATGATGATCGCGCCAAAGACAGGGATACCCATGGCGCCAGATGTCGCTGGCTGTGTGCGGGTTGTGGTTCGTGTCTGTTTTCAGTGGGCCATATGCTTGAGGGGGGATGCAGGGAGATGCAGGGAGATGAATGACCACGAGCCTGCAACGCGCACCCCTTGCCCTTGGACGGACGCGACTCTCTAAGTATTGACCTATTTGATTCCGTTGAACATGTCATAGATCTCTTGCATTCTGCTACTTCTCACACTTCTATACTACTATCTGGATACCATGATACACGCCGAGCTCAGTCGTCCAAAGGCATGATATTCTTGGTGACATCGTGCATATTGCTGCCGTCGGCGAGCTTGACTCGAGGCATGGTCTCATTGTTGACAACGAGGTGGAACAGATCGGGCCTCGAGCTATTGTAGCTGTATCAGCTGAGATCTGGAGCATTGGATCGAATGGTAATTTGACACTCACTAGTGACCAACGCAGTCAGCCATCTGCTTGTGACGGTGAAGATCGTCGAGATCAATGTCGGCAATCACAAGCTCCTCGCTAAACTCGTCTTTGCTCTGCGCAATCTTCTCCCCTGAAGGATGGTAGATGGCGGCAAATCCTCCACCTTCAATTGGAGTGGCCGCCGGGCCTCCTAAGGAAGTGGGCACCTTCATGATCTTGGAACCTGCCTTGCTGATGGTGGCAGTGCAAGCCATGGTGAAGCAGCCGCCCTCGACAGCCGCCATACGAGTGATACAGTCGCCGGATACCTCGGCGGAAGACGAGTTTGGGACACCTGGCTTGGCGCGGGCCACTGAATGATTGTCAGTCTGGCAAGACTTGATGAAGGCAGAGGTGACGCACGGTAAGGCCAAGAAGCGACATGGACTTGTGCGCCCTGAGCGTACTCGTAATACCTCCACAAAGGTTGAAGGTGCTCCCAGCAGTTCATGCCGCCAATCACGAGACCGTAGTCGGTGGTAGTAGTAAACTTGGTGTCTTCGGCTGTGGCAAGTGTCAGAGAGAGAACCATCGGACAATGGATACAACTTACCCATGCCGTCGCCAAAGAGGTATCGCTCAACGTGAGTAGGCTTGAGCTTGCGTCGGTGGTGTGCAACTTCGCCTTGGGGATTGATGAAAGACTGAGCGAGGTAGAGAGTAGAGCCGGCCCTCTCAGAGAACCCGACAACTGCCCTGTAATCACATCAGCACAGAAGATACCCTAGTAGTCGGCAAAGCTCACCAGATGCCTGCGTCGCGAACGGCCCTTCGGATCTTGTTGTACTCGGGCGACCCTACGACCATAGAGTTCTTCTGGTATTGGAGCACAAACTCTTGATCGGGAGCGCTGGTGTAGATTGAAAAGGGGAACCCGGGGACGAAGGTCTCCTGAGCTCTCAGTGTCAGCCGAAGTTTACTCGGGAACACAGTGACGAGTGAGAAGCGCTTACTGGGAAACCGACTACATCGACGCCTTTCTCGCCAGCCTCCTTGATGATGGCACAAGTCTTGTCGACACCAGCTTCGAGGTCAAGCCAGGCAGATTCGGCTTGGACAGCGGCGATACGGTACGTCTGAGGGGATTTGCTTTGGGCCATTGTTGCAAGTTGATAATGTTATGTGTGGGAGAGAGATGGCGGGTGGAAGGATGGGGGTAAACCATTGTCTTTTATATGATCAAAGACGTCTTTTCTTGCGGGGGGTTCTTCCGAGAGATTTCATCTACGAGTACAGTCCGTAATCGAGAACGGTCAAGTACGCTCAAACCCGGTCTTTGCCCGCCCCATGGTGATACCCGGAAGATGCAGTCTACCACCGCCAGCCTATCAGAGCATCGCTTGAGTGTATATCGGTCCATACTGCCGACAATCGAACTCATCACCTCTCTGGCAGGCAGCACAAATCCATGTGGTCGGCAACAACTTGCGATTCTGAAAGTGGATTAGCCAATCAACAAAAGCCACCTCCATGATCTGGAGTGTATCCCGTAATAGCAACCTCTTAGCGTACAATGCAAGGCGTCATTGCCCATTTGAGGCGACTAGGGAGTCGAGGACAGAGCAGTTTGCATAACAGTCGACTTTGCGACGCGTTGATTGGCCATACTCCGGAAGCCCCTACCGAGATGACCACCGGTCATCCCCGATACGCGCTCTGGTTGGCTCAGCTGGGTCGCGTCCGGAAAAGCACTCCGTCTGGCCTATTTATCGCTGATCTTGTACGCACCGTCTGCGATGCATTCTATGGAAACTATCGCGGCATAGTATATATGATGCACCGATTGCTGGCGTCTTTTGCATCCCCTCTACGTAGCAATTACGACGACCGTATCGAGCAACATGCCTGACAACGCCGTCGCGCCCAGAACCAGCACTTACAACCGTCTTGTCTTGCTCGCTCTGTCCATTGGATCATTCAACTATGGGCTCAGCCTTGGTGTCCCTTCGGCCGTCATAGGCTTAGAGGGGTTCCTCAACTACTTCAATGTCGACCTGACGGGCCCCAACCCAAGCTACGCAAGCTCCATGCAAGGCGGCAAGTCCTTCTATTTCGATCTACAATCAGCCTCTGCTAAAGATGGCGTGTAGCCATCGTGGGTGTCTTTTTCGCCGGAGGCTTCTTTGGAAGTTTTTTCTTTGCCTGGCTTGCCGACAAGGTGGGCCGAAAGCGTGCCCTCGATGTCGTCGGTCTCGTTTCGGTAGTCGGGGTCATACTGTCTACTGCCGCCACCCATGTGGGCATGTTGATTGTCGGTCGTATCATCCAGGGTCTCGCGTAAGCACCATTTTCTCTATTGTTTCGTGTTCAATTGACGCGATCCCAGTGGCGGCGGTCTGAACGTCATCTGCCCCATGTTTCAATCCGAAATATCTGTCGCTGAGCACCGTGGAAGTAACGTCGGCCTCCACGGCTTCCTCTTCGTCTCTGGTCTGGCTACAGCTACTTGGGCTGGCTTCGGAGCATACTTTGCTTCCGACCCGTCCCTTCAGTGGCGTGTCCTCTTTGCGATACAAGCCGTCCCCGCTCTGGCCCTTCTCGCGGCAAGATGGTGGCTTCCCGAAAGCCCGAGATGGCTGGCCATGAACGGTCACCCCGAAAAGGCTCTGGAGACTCTGTGCAAGCTCCACGATACCCCCGAAGACCGAGACCACAAGCTTGCCAAAGAAGAGCAACAACTTATCACCAAGCAGCTCGAACTCGACTCTCGACACAACACTTCATGGATCGGCCTTTTCTCGCGAGCCTCTTCTCGCAAGCGGCTCTTCCTCGGCATGTTCCTCATGTTCCTCCAGCAGAGCACGGGCCAGAATGTCTTGTTTGGCTTCCAGGTGAATGTTCTCAATGGTCTGGGTGTCACTGGTTGGAAGTCGCTTCTTGTACTTTCCTTCTACACCACCTGGGCGGCGACACTCAACTTTGTCGGCGGGGCTCTGTTGGACCGACTTGGTAGGAGAACATTGTATCTTGGCGGTCTTGTAAGCACCACTTGGTCTCATCCAATCTCAAGCACTGACTTAGTTCTACAGCTGGGCTGCACTGTTGCCGATGCTATCCACACCCCATTAACCATCAAATACGGCGGTACGAGCAACCTGGCGGGCCAAGGTGCTGCTGTCGCCTTCCTGTTCCTATTCATCACCTGCTTTGCCCCCGGTATTGACGTCAGTGAGTTACCACAGCTATCTTCTCTAGAGGTGCAAGGTACTGACGATTCTTCAGCTTCATATGTATACGGAGCAGAGATCTTCCCAACCTACATGCGTGCAAGAGGTCTTTCAGTGACTATTGCCACCTACTTTGCCTTTGCCGCTCTCTACGTCTCCGTCTCTTCCACTGCCCAGAACGCTATCGGCGCCTACTTTAACATCTGCAAGTCCATCTCGCACTACTCGAGCGCAGAGCTAACGTACGAACAGTGTTCATCGGCATATCCACGATCAACTGGATCGTTGGCTACTTTATCCTCCCAGAGACGAAAGGCTTGTCTCTCGAGAGCATGGGGCTCTTGTTTGGTGAGGCTGATGAGGTCGCGGAGATCGGTAGGGGGGATAAGCCAAGAGGCAACCATACCCCGGAAGATGTTGAAGCTCATACTCCGAGTTCGGAGAAAGGTGACGAGAAGAGAGTTCATGGGGCGCAGATTTCGATCCATGATGTTTCATAGAAGTTGACTGCTACCAGCGTTTCGGACATGATCTAATATTTTAGTTGTACGCAGATACAGAAGTATGCAGATAGATCAAGAAGCTCTACAGAGCCGCTGGTACACTGGTCTATCTGAGAGTCAAGAGATCATCGGCTGCAGAGACTTGAAGAACCAATGGGCATCAGCATCGAGAAAAGGCAGTCCAGAGTCAATGCATCGTCCATCGACGTGAATTAGTTACCAAATCATTTAGATACAGAATACATTACACAAGTCGTCAATAACCCGAACCCAAAGCCATATACGTGAAAAAGGATAAGAAACTATAGTCCGTGAGGGGTTGACATTACATGATGAGGGAAGAATGGGGAGAGCACAGGGAAAAAGAATGAGTCTTGAGAGAATAGATGCGGGTAGACATGGTATGAGAATGTCCTTCTCAACATTTGATTCGGGACACAAGGGAGCGATTGCTATTCGCAATTGTTCTGGACGACATTGTCCTTTCGCCCCTGCGGGCAAATCTATCTCTTTCCAAAAGAGAGAGCATCACACCACAACCTTCTACCTCCTAAAAGAGTCTCGCCTAGCAGGCGCAGCGGTAGGTACAGCCTCAGACCTCTTCTCCGCCTGGGTGATGCCCGCGCCACAAGCACTGCTCGGGACCGCGAGATCCATAGCAGAGTACTCTGGCTGGTAGCTGCACCCGCTAATCGCCACATAGGCTGATCGGGTGTTGGCATTGGCGTTGGCCCAGCCGTTACCGGCGTCGATCGTGGCTGAGGAGCCGGGGCTGGTGAAAGTGGGGGCAGAGGCAGTGATGGGGGTGCCGGTCTGGGTATATTGTGGAAGCTTGGACATGGAGGCAGAGGGGACGTTGGTGAACGTGGCAGGAGGCCAGGGCCAAGAAGAAGAGTCAGAGGAAGCGATATCGCCCTTTTCAGCCTATAACGTTGTCAGTAGGATTTTCTCCAAAGACGAGCAGAGACGTACACCATAGACCCAGTCATGGCCATAAGTACCGTTGAAAGAGTTTTCGGTCACACCATCCGCCAAACAGGTCCCGGCAGCCGTTCGAGGGTCCTTGGGGATCCAACCGTGTTCGAGGCCGAGTCGGTAGTGCCAGAAGGGGTTGGGCTGAGGCACATCGACATCGGTACTGTTTCCAATCTTCCAAGTCCAGAAGAAAAAGTTCTATGGCACGACGTGAGCGCAGATACCGGAATCCAAGATCGATACTCACCTGCATGGCGTCCATGGTACCCAGCATAAAGTGATTGAGCGCATCAACAGTGCTCTGGTTCCACTGGGTGTAGTCGTTCCAGTAGTCACACGACCCGATAGCCTTGCCAGAGTAACCTTCGTAGGTACCGTCGTACCTCTGCCCGGCACCGACATTGTTAATCCATTTACCCTATGCCACAAGTTAGCTTTGCTCCTACAAAAAAGGCCTTTACCACTTACACAATCGTTCCAAGCGGCACTCGTCTCACCAGCGATGGTAGGCCCAAAGGTATTGGAAGTCGTGTTGGTACCCGACGCCCACCACTGACAAGGCATCTTTTTCAAGTCGTCCAAGGTTCCAGTGGGCTGGTCTTGGAAAACCATATAACTGTGCTGGTCCAAGACCATCCTGTCCGCACCGGGGAGATAGTCGTACCAGCTCGAGACACCCAGGAAGCCGTCGTGCATAGCAAGGTGGGGACCGTTACCTTTACCGTAGCCGGTAATGTCTCGGATCATGTCGTGTACTTCAAGATAGAAACTTCCGATGACCTCTTTGCCAATACCATTCCCGTTGGGCTCGTTGATGAAAGACCAGAGGGGGATGACGTCGGTATACTGCTCTTGGACGATGAACTGGGTGATGGTGCGGATGTAGTCGAGAGAACGCTGGGCGTTGGCGAGACCCATGACACCCTTGAGCCAGTTGATTGTTCCCAATCGGCCAGAGTGGTTCCACCCGTCTACGCCAGGTCAGCTTTCATTCTGATCGGTTGGGCGGTTGGGAAAAGAACTCACTCTCAGATCCAGGGACGTTGTGCAAATCAAGGTTGATCCTCAATCCATACTTTCGCGCCCACTTGATAGCCTTCAAAACGTATTGCCAAGAGACACCCTCGAGGTACGGCTCCTCATCCCAAGTCTCGATAGACCAGAACCCGATCGGCAAACGGATCCAGTTGAGACCGGCAGCAGCAATCTCTGCAAAGTCGCGTTCGGTGATGAAGGTATCGTAGTGCTCGGTCATGGCCTGTGTGAGGTTGTCGCCCATGTTTTGGGAGAGGGTGTATTCGTCGACGGCGGTACCGGCAGTGCCGTTGGCATACTTTTCGTAGAGAGCGGGGACGATGAAGGGTTCTGTGGTCTGATCAGCTAAGCTCTATAGAAGCAGGAATATACTTGCCAGTCACGAGCCAGCCGCCGAGGTTGACACCGAACGCAATGTCTTTGCCCCATGTCCAATCCTCGTTCAAAGCAGGAGTCCACGAGTTGCACTTGGCCGAGTTCTACCACTCCATGAGCTCAATTCTGGAAAGCAGAATCCTACTCACATTGAACGGGTTGGCCTCGTCCCACACCCAAGTACCACCAAACTCATTGTCGTAGGTCATGGTCGATCCGTCTTCAAGGGTGATGAGAGAGCCATAGGTACCGCTAGTGGCGGCGGACGATGTAGCAGAGGCAGAGGCAGAGGCAGAGGCAGCGGAGCCAGTCGCAGTTGACGAAGCAGACGAGGAACCATTGTCACCAGTATCGGCGGCAAGGTTGCTGTTACTGCCCTTGCTGTTGTTTCGCGTAAGACTGCCTCCAAGTGAGCTCGACTCTAGGCGATAAACAAGACACTCACCCGACACCAAGACCAACAGCCAATGCAATGACAGCCAGCGCTCCAACGATGAGGGCGGCCCATAGCCACTTTCTCGACTTTTTCGGCGATTCGTTTTCGTCGACTTGTGCCCACCTCTTTTCACCCTCGACTCCAGCGCCCAGACCAGTCCCAATGGCAGCCACGGCAGGGGTAATGTGGCCCTGTTCGTCGTCTTCGTCACTGGTGGACAGGCGACTAGGTGTGCGGCTGTTGGCACCCCAGGGCGCAGAGTTGGCGAGGTTGGAGGAGCCGGCGTTACCTCGGGCCTGCGGCAGGGTCAACACGGGAAAAATCAAACTGCAAAATTCCACTCACTCCTTCACTGGGGTTCAAAGCTGCTCCACTCGCCCAACTATCTCGGTGATCGCCCAGTCCTAATGAAGGTGACCCGCCGACCAAAGTGATACTGTTCCTCGTAGAGTCCCTGCTCATCAGTGACGGCGCCGGCATGAACGTCGAGTCGGGCCTGCCAAGAAGGTTTGCGGCCTCGGGGTCGACGAATGCCGAGTCACGGTTTGGGTTTGGGGAGGCGTTGAGGTCGGGGGACGCATCGTCGGCAGCGACGGGGACGTAGGTTGGGTCCGAGGGGGCCATGGTGGGCTGGCGGCTGAGAGGGGTGTGTTAGGGGCGGTATATATGGTGCGGAGAACGAGGCGGGCATGCACGGACCTCGTGTTTCTGAAATGAGGAAGAAGGGGGAGGTGGTGTATCAGAGAGATGTTTTATATTATAATGTTCGATCTGGGCAGAGTTAGCTCCGTGGACGGCATGGGGTGGAAGGACTGACCTGTTATGGCGACCAAGGGTATACCTTTCCTGGCTCTAGTCGGACGGACGAACGGACGAGTGATCGCGAGGGGGTATACTGAGATGTACGGGGTGGAGTGGCAGGGAGGGGGGAAGGGGGAGAAGTGGCCAGGGACCACGGAGATGGGAGGTGGGAGAGAGAAGAGAAAGAAAGAGAAAGAAAGAGAAAGAAAGAGAAAGAAAGATATCAACAGCGGCAGCGTATGGGTCCGGTTGAAAGACGATCACCTGGCAGGGCACTCAGGAAGGCGGTGCCCCTCCCAGGCACCAGCCCGCTCATCTCATCTCCCGTATCGTGGTCGTGCATCTCAGTCTTGCCCACTTCTTCCTCGCTCATCCCATGCACTTGCAGGCCCGCCCCACTCATCTCTGCAGGCCTGTTGCTCTCAATTTCTCACTACTCACCAGTCCATCACACAGACAACAACCCGCCAAGCGACATTCGGGGATACGTTTCGGAGTGTTTGACAAGGGCAGCGTAGGTCAGGAACCCGGACACGGCGCCCTTCCTCTCCTTGCCTCTTGCCCGTTGCCTGCCTTCTCTCTCCGACCCTATGCTCTCAACCCTATGCTCCCCTGCTCTCCTGCAGCGATACATACCCGGGGCATCTGATCATCTCCTCCTTACCCCTTCATCTCGTGACCATGCAGCAATGTCTCAGCCAAGCCATCCGCCGCTTTATCTTATCAAATTCGCAGCAGAAGAAAGTTGCCGAAAATTACTCCGGCCTCCCCGCCTCGCGTCGCCTCCCGTCAGCCCTTTCACTCGTCAGCCCTTGACCTTCCGGCATCGCCAAGGGGGGTCATCACTGCCTGCATCCGAGCACGACAAGAAGAGCGCCGAGTGATGTAGAAAGCGGCGCTCAGATCGATCTGCCGTAAGGTTGTGCGGTGCGGCGCCCGGCGTGTCTCATGGCGGCCAGCCAATGGAAAGTGTCTCGTGCTCGGCAAACGACCATTTGCCACCCAGATCATGATCAATTGAGCGCCCACCATCGAGTGCTGCGGATTTGCCGCCATGCTGAATAATCGGTGCGCGCTTCGCTGGTCCCGCTGAGGTCTCAAGCCATGTCTCGTCACCCAGACGACCACTTCAACACGCACCTCGACGACCGCGTTTCCTGACAGCCTGCGTATGTTACTGCGTCTCCCCTATCGACCCTTACCTGACTCTCATAACGACCCAATCTCTTGCAATCTCTACACTCGCAATTCCGCCATCCTCACCAGAAAATGTGTACATACCCACAGCCCTTGAGGTACTCTTACTTTACAACAAACCAATCTTCCGGCCCCCGCGGACGATGATGGATGGTTTGATGCGACCAGATCTCTTTCGTCCTCCTTGGCAACCGTCGTGGCTGGACTCTGAACACTCTTCAGCAACGCAGTTACCCATTCCAGGCCCCCGACAGGTCTGAAGGGATGCAAGTATATATGCGTGAGAGTTGACACACCGCGGAGCATTCATATGTCCATTTCAAAACCCTTCTCTCAACCTTGTTGTACCACCCCCGCCACTCTCTTCAATCATCTATCTGCTGGCCAGATAACCCCCCAATGACCCGCCGCTCCCCACCCTCCCACCTCACCCTCCTCCCAACCCACATTCCCACTCCACGTACGTCCCCCATCTCAATCCTCATACACGTACTGCGTGCGTGCGTGGCCAACGAAGCTGACACTATCCAAAAGCCCGGGGTGCCCCCAAATTCTTTCTCCCCCACTTTCCTTGCTCCCTCCCAACAACTTCTTCCTCCCCTATCCCCTCCCTCCCTCTAGGGTCATACGCATACCCTTCTTTCTCCCCCTCCCCGCCCACTGAAATATCCCCAGCTACCCATCCCCGATCTTCTTCTCCATCATCTACTTCATCCCACTCTTCTCCGGGGCATAAGAAATCCCTATCACTAACCCCTTCTCTCCCACCTCCCCCGCCAGAGATCGTTTCTGAAAAACGCTATATCACGCCTACAGATGCAGCGGGGGACGGGAAAAAGGTGGCGCCGTGGTTGAGAAGCAGGGGGTTCGATCAGGCGGGAAGGGAGATGGGGGTGGAGAGGGTGTTGAGACCGCTCGAAGGGGCGCTTGTCATGCGTCGCTAGAAAGCGGAGAACGTGTTGTCGAGATGCATGTAGAGCAATCCCTTTGAATTCTCGAGCATATGATCTATATTCTATAAATGCTTCACAAGTCTGTAGAGTACGAGTACTGTACAAGTCAAGAAAGTCAAGAAAGAGAGGCTGCTCTGCATCGTTATCCTCTCCCGCCGGCACCACGAGGCGAGACCCACATAAGCACAAAGGTTGAACCAAACGACAATGGCATAAGCACCCCTCCATATTACGTGACACTTTCTCAAGAATAATAACCCAAACACCCCCTCTCCCTCTCCCAAGATCCCCAAGATCCCAATTACCCCGGCGCCCTTATCCCTGCTTCCTGTCGATATCCAGGCTCAATATCGGCCTGACCTTGTCCCCCACTGTACCTCGCTGGAAACCCGTACCAGGTCCCCCGTACATATTGGTATTCGGCACCGCCGCAGGACTGCTCCTCCCGCTATACCCACTCTGGCTACTCATCGCCGGTGTCCCCGGCGCAGACGCCGATGCCGACCCCGACTGGGTATACGAGCTCAGCCCCAGCTGACTCCCGCCTGTCCCCGCGTACCCTCTGACATCCGTCATACTCGGCTTCCTCGAACCCGCGTTGGACGCGCCGCCCAGGCCGAGGAGGTTGATCACGCTCGAGGCGCGGCTGGGTTTTTCGGGTTCGCCGAGGATGGGGGCGGAGGTGGTGATGGGGGAGCCGGGGGCGACGGCGATGGAAGTGCGGGGGGCGAGGGCGTTGGCCGGGGTGGGGGCGTTGTAAGAGTAGGTTGCAAAGAGGACCGTGGAGGCGCCGAGGACGAATGTCAGGGTGATGGGGTACGAGAAGAGGGCGACAGATGCCATGAAGGAGATGATGATGGAGAGGGACGTCGCGAATCCTTTCCTGTCATAGAGTCAGCGCTGTGTACGTGAGAGTACGAGATACCAACATGATATTGTCGCTGTATCGAATCACCAATGCAGTGATCAAACCACCCAGCGTCTGCGTCAATACAGTCCCAATCGCCCACCCATTGAAATTGTCAAAGCACCCGAGCACTTTGGTGATATACCCAGCGCCATCAGGTCCCGAGGGGTTGACGACGATCGGCACCAGCGCAGGGATAAGAGAAAAGAGCGAGAGCTGGGTGTTTCTGATCCACAGGTCTGGCGGGGGAGAGTTGGAGCTCGACGATCCCTTCAAGATGAATTCGAAATAGACACCCGCCAGGCCCGAGGTCATACACGCCAGAGTGACGGCGATGAAGCCTCTCATGGGGTGCATCACGCGCTCTGCGGCCACGTTGTGGTCGGGAGGGATTTCGGATCGGAGCCCGTGCTCGTGGCCCGCATGGCTAGTGTGCACGGCAGCAGGAGCCGAAGTCGACTGGATCTGCACGATACCGACGCCGACAGCCAACAAGATGAGACTCGCCCACTTGGCCCGCGTCAGGCGCTTGCGCAACAGCAGAACCGAAAAGAAGGCTGTCGTAAGAATCTTCATCTGGTAGGTGACTTGGAACGTCGCAACATCGAGGTTGGACGCGGCAACGTATTGCAGGTTGTTCTGGATGACATAGAGAATAGCGGGGACAGACAGCTTGTAGCAGTCGGGAGAAAAGATGGCCGAGGAAAGCGTGCGTAACCGGCTGGCGTGAAAGATGGTGGGGAGCTTGCTGAGACGGTTGTCATCGTCGCCGCCCTTTTCGCCATACAGCGCAGGCGGGGGAGAAGTGGTCAAGTCCTTGTCGATCCGTTTCAGCGCGATAAAGAGGGATATAGTACCCTTCAGCAGCTCGTTTGCGAGAACAGCAGCGGCAGCAGAGTAGGCGCGGTTTGGCGAGGCTGTTATCCGCGAATAGTGCATGATGATTGTGAGGAGGGCGTTTTGCAGGGCGAGCGTGATCAGACTGGGCTTATCAGTACAATTCCTGTCAACGGTAAACCACTCACGAGATCCATTTCAGCTCTACACCCCAGAGTTTGGGCGGCCCTTCCTTTTCTCTGCTAGCAGCTGCCATAGCAGTCGCGTACCCGACCATGCCGACCTTTTCATCCAACCGTGGCGGGTTCTGCCTATTGTAGGTAGTGTTATAGTTGTTGGCCGTGGACGAGCCAGTGGAAGACCCATGCGACTGGGCGTTGTTGTGGAAGGACTGTTGTTGGAGCGTCCGGTAGGGATTATGTGTGGGTTCGCCCAGCGGTGACTGGGGCGGGGAGTGCACAGAGGTCGCAGACATGGCTCTATTGAGTTTGGGTTTCAAGTTGGGAAGACTTTTGTCAGTGAGAGGCTGCGTTGGTATGAAAATATCTCTGAAAAACTCCATCTGGAAAAAAACTAGACAACCCAGGCGCTACCAGGCGCACAGACCAGAGTAGCTCCATAGGTTGTGACGGGCGTGAAAGGACGAGATGATGTAGAAAAGCAAAGCTCACCTGCTCAGTCTCCGCTTTGGTCTGGTAACGCCAACGCCAACACCACCAGCCTTGCCCCTTGTAGATCCCTTTTCATCTGCCCTGTCTTTTTCGCGATCTCGCATGGTCAGGCGGTCGTCTTCTGACGAGCCGTTGATGCGCCCCCCAAAGGTCGACTGCAGGGGAGACGAGGCAGCTGGGCTGGTGCCGGTGTGTGAGGCTGAGCGGTCCATGGTCGGGCGGCGGTTGAGGCCTGATGGAGAGCGGGTGGAAGCTCGAGACATGGACATGGATACGGAGACTCCCTGGGGCTCCCAGGAGGTGTCGTACTGCGGGTGTGATTACGTGATGCGGGCGAGAAGAGGTCGGGGGAGAAAGAAGTGTGACGAGGAAGATAGAAGAGGGCAAGAGTGTTTCGAGATCCGAAAAGTAAATAAAGAGCGAGTTGTTTGCGCTGGGAGTATTTGCGGATTGCGGCGTGCGCGGTTGGTCGCTCAACGAAAGTGCGGGTGGGGATAGCCGGGGTGCTCGTGGGCTTCTTGGGCGGCGGGAAAAGAAAGACAGAAGAGACAGAACGTCTTTTCTGGTAGCGCCGTCTGCTGCGAGCCTAGCACGGAAAAGTCACCAGCGGTGCAGGTGGGGGTCGCCGCCCGGCCCATGCATCCTGCTCGTTTCTGGGGCCTCGGGGTCTGCCCATGCATGTGTATGGGGTGCTGCTTCTGCTCTGCTCCCGACCAGAGATGCATGCATGGCTGTCAACAACCCCCTATGCCACACCGCCACGTGGCATACCGAGTGCCTGTGCCTGGTTACTTTTCATCAATCGTCGTGCCAGAGATGCGGCAAAAGTTGATGCTATAAAGCCCATCTCTCCTTTCATCTGCCACCAAAAAGGGTCATCCGCCTGCCCGCTTACCTGTCATCTTCTACTTTAATTTTTACTCTACTGCCCATACGCTTGGCCCATCATGAAGATCACCGACAAGCTGCATAAGGCCGAGAAGGAAGGCCGACCCTTCTGGAGTTTTGAATACTTTCCTCCCAGGACTGCCCAGGTAAGTCCGACTCTCCGAGCTGTGCAATTGCTCACTCTATGTAGGGCCTTCAAAACCTTTTCGACAGAATAGAGCGTATGCGCGACCTCGGCCCCGAGTTCATCGACATTACTTGGTATGCCTCGCGCACGTGTAGTAACTAGCTCGTCACTGACTTGAAGCTAGGGGCGCTGGCGGTAAGAATGCAGACTTGACAAACTCTCTCGTGGAAATCTGTCAGTCCACCATCGGTATCGAAACCTGCATGCACCTCTGCTGCACCGAAAGTAAGTCTACCATCTCCGATCTTTCATCGACCCGCACTGACCGTTCATCAGTGCCCAAGGAAAAGGTCGAATGGGCCCTCAAGCAAGCCAAGCAAAACGGCTGCCAAAACATTCTTGCCCTCCGAGGTGACCCCGTTGCCGGAACGTCCACCTGGGAGCCTACCCCCGGCGGTTTCATGAACGCCATCGATCTCGTCAAGTACATCCACAAGAACTACCCCGGCGACTTTTGCGTCGCCGTCGCTGGGTTCCCCCAGGGCCACCCCGAGTCTCCCTTGACGCCCGAAGGCAAGGAGCAAGAGATGAAGTGGTTGAAGGAAAAGGTCGATGCGGGTGCCGACTTTATCTTTACCCAGATGTTTTACGACACCGACATCTTTTTCGACTGGGTCAAGCGGGTCAGGGCTGCGGGTATCACCGTGCCCATCATCCCCGGTATCATGCCGATCCAGAACTGGGAAAAGTTTGACAAGTGGGTCCAGCGCGAAAACATTATCGTCCCCCAGCACTTTTACGATGCCCTCAACCCCGTCAAGGGCGACGACGAAAAGGTCCGCCAAGTCGGTACCAAGCTTGTTGCAGAGATGTGCCGGAAGATCTTGGACAACAAGGAGGCGGGTATCAAGGGTCTGCATGTGTACACTTTGAACTTGGAGAAGGGCGCGAGGATGTTGTTGCAGGAGCTCGGATTTGAAGGCAGGAGGGAGCAGATTGCGCCTTTGCCCTGGAGGCCTAGTTTGACGCCAAACAGGAGGGACGAGACTATCAGGCCAATCTTCTGGTAAGTGGTGCATTGTCACGGAGGGGCACGATACTGACGTTGAGCAGGGCCAATCGAACGCGGTCATACATTTCCAGAACCGAAGACTGGGACGAGTTCCCCAACGGGCGATGGGGTGATTCCCGATCTCCTGCTTATGGCGATCTTGACGGATACCCCGTATCCATCGGCATCTCTGCCACTGAAGCTTACAACCTCTGGGGCAACCCCACCACCACCACCGAGATCTACAACCTCTTTGCTCGCTTCTGCCGCGGCGAACTGACCAAGCTCCCATGGTCTACCCAGCCTCCTGCTTCCGAGACCTCCGTCATCACCGACCAGCTCACCAAGATGAACGAGCTCGGTTACTTGACCATCAACTCGCAGCCTGCCGTCGACGGTGTGGCGAGCGACGACAAGGTCCACGGATGGGGTCCCTCGGGCGGGTATGTCTATCAGAAGGCATACCTCGAGTTCTTTGTCTCCCCCGAGCTTCTCTCGCCGTTGATCAGGCGGATCGAGCGTGACCCTCGTATCACCTACTATGCCGTCAACAAGCAAGGCGACCTCCGGACCAACACCCATAGCGAAGGCCCCAACGCCGTCACTTGGGGTGTCTTCCCCGGCAAGGAGATCATCCAGCCCACCATCGTCGAGGCCGTGTCTTTTGTCGCGTGGAAGGACGAAGCTTTCGAGCTCGGTCTCCAGTGGGCCAACCTCTACCCCGCGGGTTCTCCCTCCAGAGAGCTGATCACAAAGGTGATGAACGATTCATATCTCGTCAACATTGTCGCCAACGACTTTAGGGATGGTCTGTCCATCTTTGAGCCCTTCTTGCTCGATCAGACGCCTGTCGGCAAAGTCGTCGAAGGCGTGAAGGGCGTCGTGGAGGGCGTCGTGGAGGGCGTGAAGAGCGTCGTGGCAGAGTAGATCTCGTGTCAATGAGAAGGATGAGATGAGGCGAGAGTTTTGTCCTCAACGGACTTTTCGGAGAGTGGCGCGGCACGTTCAACTCGTGTCATTCGCCCTTTCCAGCTCTTGTCGAATCTGATCCTTTCTTGTCTGGCTCTCTTTTTTTCTTTTTCTCAGCATACCCCTCTCTAACGACATACCACACAAAACTGATCATTCGTATCACACCGCCTGTTCTAATGGCATTTTAACGATCTCTCCACAAAGCATTTCAACAATCACTGTATCTCCCTAGACTTCCTTCTTATCATAGTTGTAAACAATAAAAACTACCAATTCACAATCTAGAGGAGAGCGTTCAACACCGCATTATACTGCCATACTGGTCGATGCATATATTATCAATCACGGGCTGCAGAGTCGGGAAAGTTTTGATCCTGGACGATGCCCAAGAACCATTTGCCTACGCCAGCATTTGGCAGAATATGATACATTAAAATTATACAGCCCGAAGATAGTACAATCACCTTCTCCTCTCGGTCTTCCACTTCCAGACCTTTCCTTGCCACTTCTTCCTCTCCCCATTCCGATCTTCCGGCTGACTCTCATCCTCCACATACCCCTGCTCCCTGACTTTTTGCGCGGCACCCTTGCCCATCATACCCTTGGTAGTTTTGAGCTTGGATTCCGCTTGGCGAAGAAGCTTGAGACGGTTGAGGTGGGCGGAAAGAGAGGAGAGAAGGTCGAGACGGTGTTCGCGAGAGGCGGCAGCCGCTGCCTCTTCGTCAATCTCGACTACTTCGGGAGCGGGGGCCTTTGATCTTCTCTTCTTGGAAGGTTGGGGGTCTTCCCATCCGAGATCGACAGCCTCTTCTGTTTCTCCCTCGACTTCTTCTGTGGATGATTCACCGTATTGATCGACTTGTACATGTCAGATTGTTATGTAGACGCGGGGTGAAAAAGACTCACATTCCGAACGATCTTCGGCAAAAACGACATGTCCCTCAGCAGGCGCCTTTCCCTTTCCCTTGCCCTTCTTGGACTGACGAGGATTGAGGACAATACCCATTTCGGCAAGCTTCTCCACCTCGGCGAGCTCAGAGGCGGCTGTCCATTCATCGCTGGAGGAAGAGCTAGGCGCGGTCACTTCGAGTTCGGCGCGGATTTTGCTGATAGCCTACACTTCTGTTTATTCAACTCATTACTGTCACTCGGGTCACTCACCTTTTCATCCTTGGCGATCTGCACTCGGACATAGCCCAGATCCTGGGTCTTCAACAGCTTCACAACGTCCGTACTCAACGCCTCGTTACCCCTGTCTCCAATTGCCACACCGTCCTTCGTCTTTCCCTTGATCATACCCCAGTAGAACTCGTCCTTGTTTCGAAAGGCGGCAATTTCTCGCAGCTTCCTAATCCTGTCCTGCTTGGACTTGTAGTCTCGGGCTCGATGGACATAGTCCTTGTGCTTTTCGAGGTTGCCGAGCTTGGCCCGGTGGAGGGGTTGAGCCCTCTCCTTGTGGTTTCGCCTGGACATGGCATCTGTATATTGTTAGCTGCAATAGAGGGCACTGGACAAGACCCACTCTTTCTCGCTGCGTTCACCATGATGTATAGCTTCGTTGATTATAAAAGTCAACTTGTAAACATTTGCTTCGCCAAATGGAAATCTTGTAGTGCGCGACAAAATTGATACCGTTTTTTCCACATGTCCTCTGACTTTTCCGGCATCTCTCAGCATCGCACTGTAAAGTTCATCGCGCTGGTCGAATAGCGATGGCCTCCATAACGGGCCTCCGCCTGGCCACAAAATTACTACATAGACCCCTGGCAACACACGCCGCCCAGCTACACCCCACCTTCCGCCAGCTCCTCCGCCCCACCCCTGCCCATCTCGAATGGCGCTATTACTCTCAACAACGGCCGACCAGTAAACGGAAAGAAGATGAGAACGAAAATATAGAGGATAGAGGTGCTCCTGCGCCTTCACCAATCCCCATACATCCCCCAGCCGCCATCAACCTGCCGTCCGCTACGGCCGCTGTGACTACGTCTCAGTCTTCAAGCGGCGGTAAAGACCCCAAACCCGATGCCTCGTCTATCCTTAAACTCTTGTCGCTCGCCAAGCCTCAATGGAGGCTGCTATCTACGGGTGTCGTATTCCTCTCGGTCTCTACTGCTGTCAACCTGTCCATCCCATGGGCAATCGGACGTATCATCGATTTCTTCGCGCCCGGCTCGGAGGCTACGCTGCTATTCGGCTTGCCTCTGGAACAGGCTACGGGTGCTTTGGCCGTTGTCTTGTTAATTGGTGCTGCTGCAAATTCTGGAAGAAGTATCTGTCTGAGACTTGCCGGTCAGCGTACCGTCGCTAGTATCAGGTATGTTCTTGCCTTTCTATATCTGCTCGGCGACCCGCTGACAAAGACCCTCACAGGAACCAGACCTACGGAAAATACCTCTCCATGCCTCCCTCTCATATCGAACAAGCCGGTGTCGGAGACGCCCTCTCCCGTCTTGGTCAAGACACGTCTATTGTCGGTCAATCGCTCAGTGAAAACCTCGGTGAAGGCTTGAAAGCAATCCTTGGTGCTGGTGCCGGTATCGGTGCCATGTACCTCATCTCGCCTACCCTCACCTATGTTATGCTTTGCATTATCCCTCCCATCGCCCTTGGTACCTTCTTCTACGGCAGATTCATCCGAAAACTGTCGCTGAAGACCCAGGAGGCTATGGGAGGTATGAGCAAGCTGGCTGAGGAACGTCTTTCTGCACACCGTACTATCACTGCTAGTAACACTCAACCCAGCGAAAGCAGTCTTTATGCCACCAAGGTTGATGGTGTCTACAGCCTTCAGAAGAAGGAGACTTTTGCCAACGGTCTCTTCCAAGGTGCCAATGAGGTTGCTGGAGATATCGGAATGATTGGTCTTCTTATCTACGGAGGTGTTCTTGTGAGGCGAGGCGAAATTACTGTTGGTGATATGACATCGCTCTTTATCTATGTGAATTGGATCGAGTGGAGTTTGAACAGTGAGTAGCAAATAATGGACGTTTGAATGAGGCTGACTCCATGGCAGCCCTTGCCGGATTCTTCACTGGCTTGATGAAGGGTGTTGGTGCTTCCCAACGTATCATTGGTCTTCACGCGCTTCCCTCTCCTATCCCTCTATCGATCGGCCAAGATCTTCCCAAGTCCGATGTCGGCTCTATCGAGCTGCGCAACGTCGATTTCGCCTACCCCTCTCGCCCAGACACCAAGGTTCTTGATGGTCTGAACCTGAGGATTGACAAGGGCGAGCGGATTGCTTTGGTGTAAGTGCTTCTCGTTGTTGGTGACCGATTATGCTCACGAAGGCGACCAGCGGCGGCTCCGGTTCTGGTAAATCCTCCATCCAACTCTTGTTGCTCCGTTTCTACGACCCCACCTCTGGATCTGTTCTCTTCTCCAACAAGGACATTCGTTCATACGTTCCCGAATCTTGGCGCTCCAGGATCGGTGTCGTTCAACAGGATCCTATTCTGTTCGGTGGAACAATCGAGGAAAACATCGCGTATGGACACGTTGGCGCTACAAGGGAAGATGTGAAGAAGGCTGCTGCTGTCGCGCACTGTGATTTCATTGAGAAGCTTCCTCAGGGATACGCTACCATGAGTGAGTATGCACATTGCGTGAGCGGCGTGATGCTGACAACGAATAGTCACAAAGAACTCTTTGTCTGGAGGCCAGCGTCAACGAATTGCCATTGCCCGAGCCCTTGTCGGCAATCCCTCTGTTTTGCTCATGGACGAAGCCACCTCAGCTTTGGACTCCGAGTCTGAGCGCGCGGTCAATGCTGCACTCAACGACCTATTCGCCAACTCTGATATCACCGTGATTCTCATCGCACACCGTCTCTCTTCTATTGCTTCTGCCGATCGAGTCGTGCTGCTTGAAGGTGGCAAGGTCGCCGAGGACGGCACTTTCAACGGTCTCATAACCAAGAAGGACGGCAAATTCAGAAAGATGGTCGAAGGACAGTTGGCTAGGGTTCAAGTGGGTGAGCCGGAGAAGTCACCGGATCCTGAAGAAGAGGAACAGCACAAGATTGAAGAGGGAAAAGAGCAGAAGGAGCAGGAGAATGAGAAGCAGTCGCAGGAGAAGGCTGGCGTAAAAGCTGCCCCTACGACTTCTTCACCCTTTTCCCAGGGTGGCCAGAAGCGTCAGGCTCACACCCTCGCTCGCCGAGCTCACTCTGAGCCCCGACCTTTCTTCTCTGCCCACCCCAATCCTCTCTCCAGTCCTATCAAGACAGTCTACGATGCCGCCAATGCGCCTGTCCCTTCTTTTCCTGACTTGGGATTACCCCCCATCTCTGGGCCTGGTGCACCCATCAGCGCCTACAAGCCTTTGCCACCCATGACCTGGAAAAGGCTCGCTGGCGTTTACTCTGCCTTGTCAAAGAGGAATCTCACCATCTTGATGACCTTGACTGCTACAACTGGTCTTGCGCTCTCTCCTCTGCCTTTGAGCATACCCCTGCTGCTCAACTTGACCATCGGTACCCTGCTTACATCTGCTGCTGCCAATACTTTCAACCAGATCCTTGAATCGCCCATCGATGCCCAGACCCCCCGAACCCGGGTGAGGCCGCTTGTCACTCGACGAGTGTCATCCTTCCATGCGGCCATGTTCGGTCTCATCTGCACGGTTGTCGGCGGCACCGTTCTTTGGTACGGGTGCAACCCCACCACTGCTGCTTTGGGCATTGGCAATCTCCTGCTGTATGCCGCTGTCTACACTCCCATGAAGCGTTTCTCTGTCGCCAACACCTGGGTCGGTGCGGTCGTCGGCGGTATCACACCTCTGATGGGCTGGACTGCCACTGGTGGTTCGCTCTGGCCCACGGCCGAACAACCTCTCCTCTGGCACACACCTGGCTCCGACCTGCCAGACTCGCCCAACCCTCTCATCCCTCTCACACTCTTTTGCCTTCTCTTTTCCTGGCAGTTTCCCCACTTCAACGCCTTATCCCATATGATCAGGCCCTTCTACGCTCTATCAGGCTACCCCATGCTGTCGGTCCTCTCTCCAAGACTCAACGCGCTTGTTTCGTTGCGCCACGCTATCCTCCTTGTGCCTTTCACCGCCGTCCTCGCGCCTCTGTCTGGATGCGTTGACTGGTCATTCGCCCTGACAAGCGCGTTACCGAATGCGATCTTTGTCAGGGACGCTTGGAAATTCTACAAGCAAACGAATGAAGTGAGGGCAAAGAGGGTGTTCTTTGTGAGCTTGTGGTATCTGCCGGTGGTGTTGGGGTTAATGTTGCTGCATAAGAATGCGGCACAGTGGTTCCAAAATTTGTGGGGTAGCAAGAAGGAAATAGAAGAAAAGGCAGAGCTTGTGGTTGAAGAAAGAAGATGAC